CCTCCTGCCTCTGCTGGGATTAAAAATGTGCACCACCATGCCAGATTTCAAATCACCTGAAGTCTTTGAGAGTGGGGAATTTTTTTTTAACTTTAAACTAAATGAGCCAAGTCTCCTACCTACTTTTCCCTGGCACTGGTGGCTCCAAACCCCCTGTACCGCTGTAGGAAGCACAGTGTGATTCTGAACTCACATAGTCTCCTCTTTCTCTCTCCTTTTTATAAATTAATGAGGACGGAGGTTTTTGGTTTGTTTTGCCTGCATGTATGCCTGTATGCCAGAAGAGGGCACCAGATCTCATTACAGATGGTTGTGAGCCACCATTGTGGGCTGCTGGGACTTGAACTCAAGGACCTCTGGAAGAGCAGCCAGTGCTCTTAACCGCTGAGCCATCTCTCTAGTTGTCATGTTTGTTTGGTTTTGGTTTTTCAAGACAGGGTTTCTCTGTGGCTTTGGAGCCTGTCCTGGAACTAGCTCCGTAGACCAGGCTGGCCTCGAACTCCCAGAGATCCGCCTGCCTCTGCCTCCCAAGTGCTGGGATTAAAGGCGTGTGCCACCAACGCCCGGCCCAGTAGTCACTTTCAAACTGATTGCTTTTCATGGCACAGTGATTCTACATCTAAAAACCCATAGAGCTTTATCTTTATATGTACTTCTAGGTTCTTATCAGTTTCGTTTTATATGTGTGTGTGTGTGTGTTTTTCCTGCATGTCTGTCTGTGTGAAAGTGTTAGGTACCCTGGAACTGACAGACAGTTGTGAGCTGCCATATGGGTGCTGGGAATTGAACCCTGGTCTTCTGGAAGAGCAAGCAGTGTTTTTAACCCCTAAGTGGTATTCACAAGAAGAGGTCAGATACAAGGACTCCCCTGCTGTGACTTTATCAGACCCTGCAAATACCAGTAGGCTGTATACTGTGCTAGGGGTATTTTACACCACTTCCCTTTCTGGGTGATGTGGAAATTGAAAATCTCACTGCCTTGCTTAGTTAGCCTTGAGTACCCAGCTCCACTTGAGCACCAATAAGATCCTCCTGCCTCAACTGCCCAATGGCTGAGGCTACAGGTGTCTGCCACCATACTCAGAAGGCTTTGAAGACACAGTTTATTTGAGTAGATAAGTGAATGCAATTAAGTTATAGCTTGGGGAAAAATGGTAGGATCAGACCTGAGCTTTAAAAGGATTGTTTGAGCCGGGTGGTGGTGGTGGTGGTGGTGGTGGTGGTGGTGGTGCACACCTTTAATCCCAGCACTTGGGAAGCTGAGGCAGGCAGATCTCTGTGAGTTCAAGGCCAGCCTGGTCTACAGAGCAAGTTCCAGAAGAGACTCCAAAGCTACAGAGAAACCCTGTCTCAAAAAAAGAAAAAAAGAAAAAAGATTGTTTGAGTCCCAGTGCAGTGGCAGGCCTACTGTCTACACAAAACCAGATGTAGTAGTTAGTGGCCCTGCCAGGAGGCTGAAGCAGGAGACTCGTTGAGTCAGGCCAACTTGGGCCTGTAAGTTCAAGGCCAGCCTGGGTGACTTAGTAAGACCCTCTCTCAAAATTCAAACTTAAAGATTTACTATTATTTGTCTTTAATGTGTGTGAGTACTTTGCCCACATGCACATATGTGCACCAAGCGGTGCCTGATGTGAGCAGGGGCCAGAAGAGGGCATCAGATTCCATGGAGCTGGACTTACAGATGGTTGTGAGCTGCCATGTGGGTGCTGGGAACTGAACCAGAGTCCTCAGGAAGACCAGTAAGTATATTTAATCACTGGGCCATGCCAACAGGCCCCTCAAAATATAAATTTAAGAACTAGATAGGGACATAGCTCAGTCTCAGTAGTACAGAGCTTGCCTAGAATATGCATGCCCAATATACAATTCCCAGGACTACAACCACCACTATGAATATGTATATATACATACATACATGTTTGTGTGTAAGTAAATGAGACCCAACTGCACCCTTGTAATCCTAGCCCTTGGGAGGTAGAGGCAACAGGACCCAGAGTTTAAAGCCAGTTCTCAGTTTTGCAGCAAATTTGAGGCCAGTGTAGGTAACAAGAAACCTGTTGCAAAAGCAAACACATAAACAAACTAAAGTACAACCAAAATAAAGTCAATAGGGTTGGGGAGATGGTTCAGTAGTGTGCTCGACCTGCGAGTGTGAGCACCTGAGCCTGATCCCCAGTGCCAGGCCAAAGGCTGCATGTGGAGTCCTGCTCTTGTAATCTCAGCAATGGGAGGCAACAGGAAGAGTCCCGGGTTCACTGGCAATAACCTAGCCTCATGTGGTGCACATATATGCATGCGGGATAGCACACATGCACATAAAACAAAATAAATAGGGAGAAAGAATGACTTGCTACAACAGTGCTCTGTTCTTGTCAAGAAATAGTCTATCTCACCACTTGAACCTGGGGGAGGCAGGTGGAGTCTGTGCCTTTTTTCAGACTAATAATGCGTGGTGGAAGTCACGTTACTGGGTAGACTCCAGGGTGCAGAAGCCAAGAGGCCCTTGCCTTCTTAGGTGCTTTTGCCTCCATGTTGGGAAGTGGGAAGTTCAGTTCCAGCTGGATCATTCATTGATGAAAGACACAGGAGGGGTGGGGGTGGGGGCAGAGACAGAGTCTGACTCAGCCAGTAGCCAGCACCCAGGCCCAGATACTCAAGATCCTTCTGGACTTTCTACTTCCATTGAGACTTCAGCCCCATTAGCAAATACAGGACAGCAAACAAGAGAGTGGCTAACTCAACCCACAGATTGCTGAGAAAGAATACATTGTTTTTCTGGGCCAGCGCTTGGAAGGCAAAGGCAACTGCATCTCTAGGAGTTCAAGACTAGGGTCTATGACAAAGAGTGCTCTGGGGCAGCCTGGGCTACATAGGGACACATTGCCTCAAAAAAATACCCAGCATTCAGGAGGCAGATCTCTGAGTTCAAGGCCAGCCTGGTCTACAAAGCTACACAGAGAATACAAAGAGAAACTCTGTCTCAAAAAACCAAAACAGAAAAACAAACTCAATACAAACAAAAAATACAAAAACAAATAAAAACCTCCGCCGCTGGGCGTTAGTGAGTGGCACATGCCTTTAATCACAGCACTCGGGAGGCAGAGGCAGGTGGTTCGAGGCCAGCCTGGTCTTCAGAACGAGTTCCAGGACAGCCTCCAAAACAATACAGAGAAACCCTGTCTCGAAAAACAAAAAACCAAACCAAAACAAAAAAACCCTCCTCTAGACCCCAAAGTGTTTTTAAGCCATAGCCACTAAGTACTGATGTTTATTATTATTATTGTTGTTTTTTTGAGACAGGGTTTCTTTATGTACCCCTGGTTGTCCTGGAACTTGCTTTGTAGACCAGGCTGGCCTTGAACTCAGAGATCCACTTGCCTCTGCCTCCAGAATGCTGGAATTAAAGGTGTGAACCACTAAACCCAGTATTGGCTATGATGATAATGATGCTTATTATACATCAGCAATGCAGTGAACTTTTTTAAATGACTTATTTTTATTTTATGTGCGTTGGTGTTTTTGCCTGCATGTATGTCTGTGTGAGGGTGTAGGGTCCCCCGGAACTGCAGTTACAGACAAGTTGTGAGCTGCTATGTGGGTGCTGGGAATTGAACCTGTGTCCTCCAGAACAGCCAGCTGTACTTAGCTGAGTCATTTCTCCAGTCCCCCCTTTGTCTTTGTGTGCGTGTCCGAGTGTGTTCTGGGGGCTGAACAAAAGACAAGCCTCATGCATGCCACTGTTACAACCCCAAACTCTATGAATAAACTTAAATGTCAGGAAAATAGAGACCTTGTCTGTCATGCTTACTTCTTTCAGCAAACCTGGGCCAGTGTCTGGTCCAGTTCCTGCAGAACATGCTCAATAGACCTTTTTCTTTTCTTTTTTTTTTTTTAAGACAAAATCTCTGGGACTCAAATTCACTATGTAGCTGAGGCCATAATGAGTTTGAACTCATGACTTTCCTGTCTTCACCTTTTAAATTCTGCAATTATAGGCCTAGGCCACAAAGCCTGGTTTTTTGTTTTTGACAAGGTCTTACATATGAGTCTTGGGTGGCTTGATAATTGTTTAGCCCAGGTTGGTCTTGAACTGACAGCATCCTCCTGCCTCAACTCTTGAGTTCAGAGATCAAAAAATATTTGTTGAGCAGTATGATGGTGGCGAACATCTTTAATCCAGCACTCAGGAGGCAGAGGCAGGTGGATCTCTGTGAGTTTCAGGCCAGTCTGGTCTACAAAGAGAGTTCTAGGACAGCCAGGGCTGTTACACAGAGAAACCCTGTCTTGAAAAAAACAAAACAAACAAAAAAGAAAAACAAAGGCCCAGAATCCCCCCCTTTTTTTCACCCCCCCCAGACAAGGTTTCTTTCTTTAGCTCTGGCTGTTCTGGAACTCGCTCTGTAGACCAGACTGGCCTCAAGAGATCCACCTGCCTCTGCCTCTTGCGTGCTGGGATTAGAAACGTGTGCCTCCACTGCTGACTTCAGAGGCCTAGAATCTTTTCAACAAAACCTCCAGCCCAAAGCTACTTGTAGTGGTGCACCGCTTTAATTCAGTATTAGGGAAGTAGAGGCAAGTGGATCTCTTGTGAGTTTGAAGCCAGAATGATCTACATACAGAGTTGTAGTCCAGTCAGGGTTACAAGGTAACCGTTGTCTTAAAAACACAAAACCAAAAACCAATACCAGCCAACCATCGCAGGTATTTTCCTCTTCGTTATGTATTTTCACAACGGGTGTTTTTCCATCTACGATCCACAGCTTTTTGGGTAGGCAGCAAATGGGAAAGTACCTCTAGGACCCCGAGCTCCTTTCTCTTTCTTTATGAATGAACCGGCTCAGGTCTACGCATGCGCAGCTCCCAAAGCTCCTGTTCCACGTGAGCCCACCAGTCCCTCCTTGTGGGCGATTCCGCCCGCCCTCATTCTAATGGACCAATGAGGAGCAGCCTTGGGGGCGGGGCCGGGAGCCGCCCGGCTGGGTATTCTGCCCCTCCCCCGCCCCTGGCGCCCGGCTCCCTTGCGTAGAGCCGCGGTGTTGTGATCACGTGGGCTGCCCGGGGCGCGCGGCTTGTTTTGGTTTCCCTAGCGCTCACCCGGCGTAGCTTCGGTGAGCCGCTGTCCTTCTCGGGCTCCACTGCCACCTGCACCCCAGCTGGTGTTCGGGCTCTCTCGGCCCACGCTCCTAGGAGCCCCTCGGAGCGGCGTCCTGTCATGCCTCTGGTGCGCTAAAGGAAGGTGGCCATCCTGGGGTACCGCTCCGTAGGTGAGTCTCCGCCCTCCCGGGAGCACCAGCGGTGGCACCGTTGCTTTGTGGCCAGTAGAGGCGCGCAGTCGCGGGAACGTGACAAGAGCCAGTAAGGCCTGGGAAGAAGGCGGGTTTACTACCCGGCAATGGAAGGGTGGAGGGATGCTGGAAGAGGAGCGCTCAAGGGTTAAAGTGGACCGGGCTGTGGTTGCATCTGTGGTCCCCGCGTTACTCTGGGAGCAGGGATGGGATCAGCATTTGAAGGTGTGGTGGAGGTCTGCGCGGGCACACACTTGCAAGTGTCGGTGGGCAGGTGCACTAGATCCTGGGGAGTCGTGGATCTTCCTGTGGCGCTGCTGAATGCATCCCCGTAGCCAAACTGCTGCGGAGTCAACGTGTTAGGATGTTGGTAGTAATAGTCCAAGGGGAAGCATTGCTTGGGGGGAAATCTTTCACTGAATGGGAAGCTGATTTAGGATGCGTTTTGGTCCTAGCCACAGTCCAAAAGGACAAAAGGTATGAATATAGGTGGATGACTATATTACAACAATCTCTGGTCCTTAAAGGGAAGACATCTTTGGCACATCAATTTGTGGAAGGCGAGTTCCTGGAAGGCTACGATCCTACAGTGGAGAATAGTGAGTAATGTTCTTTAGTGTGAGGAGATGGAACCTACATAGACTGGGTGCCCTCTCCAGCTCCATAATTTGATATTTATTTGTTACCAAGGGGCTGATTTATTTATGTGTTAATCAGATCAGTTCTGGGAATCCTGTTCCGTGTCTAGACCTGGTTCTCAGCCCTCCTCATGCTGTGACCCTTTAGTGCAGCTCCTCATGTTTCCCCCACCATAAAATTATTTCCTGGCTACTTCATAACTGTAATTTTGCTACTGTTATGAGTTGTAATGCAAATATCTGATACACAGGATAGATGATATTTGACCCTCCAAAAGGTTGAGAACCGATGGTCTAGAGAGTGAAACTTGTAAGATTCTAGCCTGGGGTAGTATAGAATCTTTACTAAAGATGAGGACAGCAAGAACCCTAGCATAACTCTTCAGTTTCTTGGAGAGTTCCCCGGAACTAGTCTGTCTCTGTCACTTCCAGGGTCAGGAATATAAAGGAACACACATCACTGGTCCTACAAAGCCCCTCACAGTCAAGACGTTTTCCTCTTTGTTTTCGCAGCTTACAGCAAGACAGTGACTCTTGGCAAAGATGAGTTTCATCTACATCTAGTGGACACAGCAGGACAGGTACCAGTTGGGGTAGGGAGTCCAAATGTTGCAGTTCAGCCCTACATAAAGTCTTGTGGTCTGTGTGGTTCATGTGTGACGGTAGCATGAAAAGGGAAGCATTTCTGCTGTTATCAGTTGCTAGGCTCATTGGAGCTACTTCATAAATACCTGTTGAATGGGAGCAAGGCATGTCCCCACGAGGGCCACCTGTGTGCTATCCCACTGGCTTATGCCATTTGAATGATGTGGCTCTTGATACTCACGTTTGTTTCTTGTCAGGATGAGTACAGAGTTCTGCCCTATTCACTCATCATCGGGGTCCATGGCTACGTGCTTGTGTACTCTGTCACCTCTCTGCATAGGTATGTGACTAAGATTTTGAGTGGTGCTTGGAGGACTCAACAATAATCCCAGAACTGAGATTAGAGCTCTATCTCTTACATTTTGAAGCTTCCAAATCATTAAGAGCCTGTACCAAAAGCTACATGAAGGCCATGGTGAAACTCGGTAAGTGGCCTCGGGAAACAAAGTGTGGACGTGCTGGTCTGGAAGAAAGCAAACGTGTGGGTTCTTCAGGGAAGCTGGACATAGACCATGCCTGGCTTGTTTGGGAAATCATCTTGCATTGCTGTAGTTAGACTAGTTGGGGTCCATAGAGAATGGGGAAAGGGCTCTTTTTTTTTTTAATAGTTTATTTTTTACATTCCAGGGAAAGGGCTCTTATAATCATACAATAGTAACTGCTGTTTCATCACAGGCTGCCTGTGGTGCTTGTGGGGAACAAGGCAGATCTCTCTCCAGACAGGTGTGTAAACCTCTGCTGCTCATGGCAAAGGAAAGTAAGTTGTACTAGGGATCAGTCAAGCTATAGTCCTTCCCGCTATGTTTGAGACCGGATCTTCAGCATGTAGTCCAGACTGTCCTTTTTTTTTTTTTTTTGGTTTTTCAAGACAGGGTTTCTCTGTATTGTTTTGGAGGCTGTCCTAGAACTCACTCTGTAGACCAGGATGGCCTCAAACTCACAGAGATCCACCTGCCTCTGCCTCCTGAATGCTGTGATTAAAGGCATGAGCCACCAACGCCCGGCCAGACTGTCCTTTTAACTCCCTGTCCTCTTGCCTTTCCAGCAGTGCCAGTGGAGATTGTAGGGGTGGGTCACCATGTCTGGCCATTTTTCCCCCTTTTCATCATTACCTTGATGGTTACTTAAGGACAACTCTGTCATAAAGTCACAATTCCTATTTCAGGCTTTAGTCTTGCATTTATTTACCCATCATGCTTTTGTTTACATGTATTTTTTCTCACCTCACCCTCATCAAACCATGGGGGAGGGGTGTGAAGCATCAAGAGGAAATCTAAATCTCAAAGAATCTTCAGAGAGTTTTCAGGCATTGTTTGTTTGGGTTTTTTTTTTTTTTTTTTTTGGTATTTATGAGACAGGGTTTCTCTGTATTGTTTTGGAGTCTGTCCTGGAACTCGCTCTGTAGACCAGGCTGGTCTAGAACTCACAGAGATCCGCCTGCCTCTGCCTCCCGAGTGCTGGGATTAAAGGCATGCGCCAGTCTACAGGCATTGTTATCTGCCTTCCATCTTTATGTTCCAAATTTGCTTCCAGGGAGGTGCAGGCAATTCAAGGGAAGAAGCTAGCGGAGTCCTGGGGCGCTACGTTTGTGGAATCATCTGCTAGAGAGAACCAGGTGCTAACCTAAATTCTAGACTTCGTGACAGTGTCTTCCTTACACACTGCTTGGTGGTGGGGATGGTGAGGGGGTGGCGTGTGTGCCTCAGGGTTGGGTAGTATTGGCACTGATCCAATTGATACACCTCTGAATATGCTTATTCCTTGTAGCTAACTCAAGATATTTTCATCAAAGTTATCCAGGAAATTGCCCGTGTGGAGAATTCTTATGGGCAAGACCGCCGATGCTATCTTATGTGAGCTCTTGGCACGGAGTAGCTTCCTTGTTTCTGCTGTAGGCATTTTCCAGCCTGCAGTCAGGGGCAGACCCTCAGGACTTAACTGGTATGGGTATGGTTGTCAACTATGTCCCTGAACCTCTGGGCATATGGTGTGGTGCCCTCATTTTTTGCACACTCATCCCAGGTTCTGGTAGCCCGGATGTTAATGTTTACAAAGGGGCAAGATGTCTCATGGACACTGGCTTCTAACTCCTTGTTTTTCTAAATAAACTTTTATAATCTGCTCAGTTGGGATATGAGTCTTGGGCACTGATTCTCCACCCTCCTGGGTAGGTTTTGGGTATTGGTTGTGTAAGAGCATTGGTTGCTTGGCAGTTCTGAAGTAGAACTGGCTTCTGGGGTGACAATGTGCATTTGCAAATAAACTCAGAAATCTCTTGTGGTTGACTTCTGTCTGGGGAGAGCTGAGGGTCGACGGTTTCAATATTTAGTATGGAATCTTTTCTTACTCCTTGATTACTTAAGGACGGCTACTCTAAGAGTTAAGTACTTACCTTCTTCATTTATTTTGCCGTTTTTGTTTTCCTATACTTCACCAGTTGCTCTTGGGCTGCCCCACCCATAGAAGTTTGTGGGTTCTGAAGATCCCCTTACCTACAGTATACTGCCCTCTAGTGGCCAGCTGCCATATGCTGACTAGCTGTAGTACTGGGTCCTTGACATTTGCTGCACCTGAGCACGGAGGAGGGAAGCCCCTCATTTCTGGTGATATCAGAGAGAGCAGAGGTAGAGGCTATAAGTGTGTGATTACCCAAGAAAATTGAGAAAAGTAAAAAGTAATGTGCTTGGTGGACGTCAGTTCTGGCACCCCTCATGTCCCTTGTCTCTTTCTATATTGTGACTTTTTTCTTTTCTTTTTTAATTCGTTTGCTTATCTTTTTGTATCTTGCACGCCTTTGGAATTGTGCTACATTTTAGGTGTCAAAGATTTGTTTATGCCCTATATTATCCACTGTTGCAGTAGGGTGGGTATTTCAGCTAAGGGCGGGTCTTTTTAACACTACCTTTAAAACTGTGTGTGTGGGGTGTATGTCTGAGTGCAGATGCCTGAGGAGACAGGCTCTGATTCCTTGAAGCTGTAGTTACCCGGGGTGGTGAGTCACCAAACATGGGTACTGGAAACTGTACATGGGTCCTCTGCATAAGCAGAGCTGTCTTTCCAGCCCCTGCATCCGTTTCCCATGACTATTCGTCCCCACCCCCCAATTCATCCTCTAAGGAAGTTGTAAGGGTTACCTAAGAGGCACCACAGCATAATAGAGGACAAAGACCTCTTCCAAGTGGGGGAAGCTGCTTTACCCAGTATGCCTAAGTTTCCCATTTGTGAAGTAAGGTCGGCTTCAGGTATGGCGGTACCCCTGTAATCTCAGCATTTTGAAGGCTGAGGAAGGGGGGCCATCCTAGTCTGTATATGATGATGTCACATATTAGTCAAATACTCTGCCACTGAGCTATAGCTCCAGTCCCTTTTTATTTTTGGTTGAGACAGGGTTTCTCTGTGTAGTTCTGGTTGTCTTGGAACTCATTCTGTAGACCACGCTGGCCTCAAACTCAGAGATTCATCTGCCTCTGCTTCCCAAGGCCTGGGATTAAAGGCACATACCACCACTGCCCGGCTATTCCTTTTTGGAAAAAACTGTATTTTAAAAATACTATGTGTGTGGGCATACCATAACATTTAAATGGAGGTTAGAAGGTGACTGGTAAGAGTTGATTCTCTTCTACATGTGGGTCCTGGGGGTCAAACTCAGATCTTCAGGTATGAAAGTGTCTTTTGTTTATTGGGCTACCTAGTCAGCCCTCTAGAGAGTTCTTTTTGAACTTTTTTAAGGTTTATTTTTTATCTGGGCAGTGGTGGCACATGCCTTTAATCTCAGCACTTGGGAGGCAGACGCAGGCGGATCTCTGAGTCTGAGGCTAGCCTGGCCTACAGAGTAATTTCCAGGATAGCCAGGGCTTCATAGAGAATCCCTGTCTTGAAAAAACAAAAACAACAATAAAATATTTATTTTTATTGTCTGGGTGTTTTGCCTATATCTGTGTACCACTCATGTATTGTGCCAGAAGAGCACATCAGATCTCTTGGAAATGGAGTTATGGATGGCTGTGAGCCAACAAAGAAAGTTCTGGGAACCAAACCTAAGTCAGCTGGAAGATCAACCAGTGAGTGCCCTTAACTCCTGACAATCACCCAGGCCCTGAATGTACTGAATAGGGTCTCACTAAGTTGCTGAGGTAGGCCTTAGCTTTGCTGGTGTTGCCTAATCCTCTCAGTAGATAGGTGCTACCAAGCCTGGTTGTCCTTTTGATAGGAGTGTGTGTGTGTGTGTGTGTGTGTGTGTGTGTGTGTGTGTGTGTGTATGAGCAGTGTGCAAGCGTGTGTGTGCACGAATATGCAAAACTGTGGTACAAGTGTGGAGGTCAGAGGACAACTTTCAGGAATTGATTCTCTCCATCCACTGTCCTGGGATTGAAGAGGTTTGGTAGCAAACTATCTCCTGAGCCATTTTAGCCCAGACTATGACTTTGAAGTCCTCATCTTCCTCCTGTTTTCACATTATTGGGTTATGTAGGATTGCAGTGCTTAAGACCTTGTATTAAAAAAGAAGCCTTGAAGCCGGGCGGTGGTGGCACACGCCTTTAATCCCAGCATTGGGGAGGCAGAGGCAGGCGGATCTCTGTGAGTTCCAGGCCAGGCTGGACCGACAGCCTCCAAAACAATACAGACAAACCCTGTCTCGTGTAAAAAAACAAAACAAAACAAAAAAAAAAGCCTTGAGCTGAAGAGATGACTCAGTGGTTAAGAACATGTATCGCTCTTGCAGAGGACCTGAGTTCAATTCCCAGTATCTACATCAGGTAGCTTGCAACTGCTTGTAACTCCAGCTCCAGGGGATGGCCCTGACCTCAGGAACACGCACATATACAGATATACACACATGTACACATAAATTAGCCTTGGAGCTCAGTTGTTAAGAGTACTTAATGCTTTTGCAGAGGACCTAGGTTTGGTTCCCACCCCCCACACAGCAGCTCACAACTGCCTATATCATCAGTTCTAGGGGCTTTGATGCCCTCTTCTGGCCTTTGGGGGTTCCTGCATCCAGGTGTAGTACACACAAACTCACAAACATATACACAAATACATACATAAATAAAAATTTTAAGTGTTTCAGAGGATTAAGGTGGGGGATGAGGGGCCAAGTATGGTACATGCCTTTAATTCTAGCTCTCCGGAGGCCGAAGAACATGGATCTGAGTTAGAGGGTAGCCGTGTCTAGATGGCAGATTCCAAGGTAGTCAGGGTTTCACAAGACCTTATCTAAAAAACAAAACAACCCTCCCCCAAGCCCCCGAAAACAAAAAGTGAGGCAATATATACAATGTTCAGGATAGTCCAATCACAGGTTAATCTGTCAGTGAGGGTCTGCTTCTTTCCTTTTTGGGTATAGGCAGCAAGGAGGTACTTCCACTTTTCAACTCCTAGTTAAGCAAACTAGTTCTACTATAGCTTCAGACAGTTGTGGGGTTACTTGAAGTTTCTTTTTTAAAAATTTTGCTGCCAGGCTTCAGTGATCAGACTAGAAAACATGACACCAATGTATGGATAGCAGCATGTGTCTACTACTGAACTTCCTTTGACTGTGGCCTGATCAATTGTCACTGTCCAATATGGAAGGTCACACATGACTAAGTTTAACATAGTTATAATTAAGTTACTGAGTTGCACCACCTACCAACATTTCAAAGTACTCAACAGCTACATATATCTAAAGGCTGTATTCATGTGGATACAGCACATTTTACTCAACAGCTACATGTATCTAAAGGCTGTATTCATGTGGATACAGCACATTTTACTCAACAGCTACATGTATCTAAAGGCTGTATTCATGTAGATACAGCACATTTCCATCATAGTGAATCATGTTCTTTCCCCATAAAGGTAGCCTTAGACCCAATTTGTCAGCTTCTTTTCACTTTTTCCTCTTTAATTTTTTAAAACTGCATTTATCAGTTTATCCTGTGTGCTTGTGTGTCTGGGCACAATGGGTATGTGAAGGTCAGAGGACAGTTTGCAATGAGTTCTTCCACTAGGTGGGCCACAGGGATCAAACCCAGGTCTCCAGGCTTGGCAGTAAGTGCCTTTTACCCTCCAGGTCATCTCATTGGCCCTTAATTAATTAATTAATTAATTAAATCTTTGGGGGAGAATGTTGCGTTTGGTTTGAATTATGGGTTAATTTCTCAGGGTGACTCCTCGGCGATTTCCTCTAGTTTAGCCTCAGTCTTTTCATCTGTAATATGGAGATAATTCCTCCAAGCTGGTGAGGAAAAACTAAGATGATATAAAGTATCAAGTATACAGTTAATTTGTCTCAACCCGCTTACTCCATGTATAGTCTATGTAGAAAAGGTAATTCTATTTTTCCTATCAGACTTGGGGTGCGAGCGCTGGCCAAGGTCTTATCCAGATTAACAATATCCTAGTCAACTAGCACGGCATTTAGCTTAGTTTTTTTTTTTTTTAATAGGGAGACAGGTTCAGAAGATTTTTGTGAAAAATTAAATACTAGGTGAGCCACTCTAGATAGATGTTTTGGTAGGGAAGTGGTGTTTGGGGATCGTGAGGACACAGTATTTCCGTAAGAAAGGGTCTCGGAGTTAGAAGACCTGAGACTCGTCCAGCTCTCTTCCGGCCCCCGAACGTGGCAAGAACCCACCCTTTGCAGCGCCAGGCGCCGTGCCTCACTTTCTCCATTTGCGGACTCCAGTTCCCAGGATGCAGAGCAGCGGCCAATCTCCAGGCTCTTTTTCCATACACCCCCCCGCGCAATGATTGTCCCCAGCCAAAGCAAAGAGTTCCAAGGGTCAATCTCCTTTTAGGGAACAGAATTAAGAAGTGACCAGAATTCTAGTTTCACCACCCAGAAGGTAAAGGAGGCAGTTCCTGGGCCGCGGCGGCGAAGAGGGGGGCTTTATTCCCACGTGTCTGCCCGGCCGCCAGCCTGGCGCAGTAGGGGTTAACCTGCGGCGGAGGGATCCCGGAGCGTGTGCGTAGAACTGCAGAGTCACAGCCTTTCCTCCAAGAGGGTTGTACCCATCCGCCGCCCCGCTCCAACACAAAATAGGGCCTCCCCTTCTCCTTTCTCCCCTCGGGAGTGGGGTTCCCCAGGCAAAAGGCCCCCCTGGACCTCGCGCCGGACGCTCCTCGAGTTTCCACGACCGCTGCCCCGATCTCTGGCGAGGAAACAGCCTCTTCGCAGGAACCACCCTACCGGCCGAGCAGGAGGCGGAGGGGGGAGGCGGAGCGGCGCCGCGCTGCACTACTTTCCTCTCCGGTTGCAAATGGCTGCCTCGTTCCCCACTTTCCGCTCAGTTTCCTGACCCCCCGGCGCCGGGAGCCGGGGTTGGACCATGCACCTCTAGACCCCCCGCGATCATAGCCTGCCGGGGGTCTAGGGGGTGCTGCAGACCACAGCGGGCCAGGCCGGGGGCGGGGCAGCTCCCGAGGCCAGAGGGGAAGGGAGGCGAGCTCTGGGCCTGGAGCGGCCGAAGGGGAGCGGGCAGAGGGCTCGCACCGCCCGCCCCTTCCTCTTCCTCGCCCACCAACCCTCCTCCCTTCCCCGGGGGGAGCAGAAGGTGGGGGGCTCGAAGCCGCCGAGGGGGGACGCTCGGGGTCGCGGAGCCCGGCCGCTGGGTGTGTGTCAGGTTCGGCCCCGCCGGCTCCGCGTCGCCGTAGCTCGCGCGGCCCCAGGGCGCCGGCCGGGCGGGGAGAGGGGCTCGGCGCGGCTGCGAGGGGCTCACGTTCCATCCGGGCCCGGCGCGCGGCGCGGCGCGGCGCGGCATTCCTTCCGGGCTGCTGGGGAGGCGCCTCGACGTTCCATCTGGAGAGCCTCGACGTTCCGCCCGAGCCCGGCGCGGGCGGCCGGGGCGCTGGCCGGGCCCTAGGACTGCGAGGCCGCCCGGCGACGCGGATGCGGAGCCTGTTCGCCCAAGATCAAAGCCACCGGTGCTCTCTTTGTGTCCGCTCGGGATTCGCCGCCCTGGGGCTGTCCATGGAAACCTAAACTGCTGGAACCCGAGGCAGAGAACCCTTCTTGGCTTCTTGCTTTTTTTTTTTTTTCCGGGGGAAGGGTGGCCACTCCGACCTGGATTTACCGTTCTTGGCCCCCTTAAGCCCCCCCGAGTGGGGGGCGGCTGTGATCGCTCTGGCGGTTGGAGGTCGGGGAGCGGCCCGGGCTCTGGCCATGTTCTCGGATGAAGATTTCTGGATCGCCCTGTGAAGAGGTGAGTGAAGTCCGCCCGGCCTGGGCCCAGAAAGGGTTGGACTGGGGGCACAGCCAGATGGACTATCTTGGCCGGTGCTGGCCTTTAGGTTGGAGAAGGGGGTGCCAGAACTGGGGAGGGTTTCTTTGGCGGGGTCTGTCAAGGGAGCCTGAGCTAGCCGCCAAGGCAGAACTGAGGCCTGGTTTCTTGGGGTGTGCCTTTTTGAAGATTGGGGGTTCAGGGAACTACAGGAGTTTGGGAACATGTCCAGATAGCTTCTCTGCCTGTTTATTTTTGTGTTGAGGGAGTTCGACCAAACTAGGACCCAGGCCCTGATGCCAGCACCAATCCAGGCTGCTGTCCCCCACCCCCACCCTCCAGGGTTCCTTGGGACAGAGCAACCTGGGGCGGGGGTGCCATTGCCAGGTCGGACTTACTGCCAGATTGGACTTTAATGTTGTTCCTACCTAGCCGGGCACCCAAAACAGTCTGGGAAACTCAAGGAGCCCTGGGTCCTTCACCAGAGGGAGGGTGGTGGAAACTGGTGCGAGGAAGGGGGTGGCTGGGGCAAGAAGGAGGTGGGGCTGGGGCAGCTCTGGCCTTGCTGTTCAACTTGAAACTACCCCTGCATGGCAAAGTGACCCCAGCAAGGCCTAGTGGTGTCTTAACCTGCTTTGCTTCCCCTCCTCTCGGGATGGACATAATCTCCAGGGGATTATAGAGGAGGCTGTTGAGATTTGTTCTCCACGAATGTGGGCTGCAAAAAAAAAAAAAATGGCTTTTGTCTCCTGCCTTCTCTGGGCCTAGTGTAGAGAGTTAACTGCCCATGAGCCCCTAGTCTATCCTGAAACCCCCCCCGCCAGATCTCTACAGTGCTTTTCTGGCTACCGAGTGGCAAATAGTTCTCTGATGCTGTCCCAGCCCTGCAGAATGGCGAGGCTTGTACCTCTTTGGTGGAGAAATGACTTTATTTGTGCTCTTTGCTGCTGCAAGCCAGTGTTTCCACCCCTGGTAGGAGGTGCTGGGGAGAAGGGGTGTGTATGTGCAGCAGGAAGGGTGCACAATGAGCCTCCCGCCTCAGCCTCTGGGCCCTGGGCTGGGACAGCCTCTCTCACACCTGTCATGTTGACCAGCAGGGATTTGGCTAGTGCATTTTGCTCCCTCATTTCTACCCCCCGTAATACATTTGCTACATCTTCCTTGAGTCTCGTCTCAGCAAGGGGAAAGTAGGCTTCTGTCCTTGAGAGATTTGAGAGGTGGCACAGGGGTGGTGGAGTAGGGTAAGCTGTCACCTGTGGTCTCTGAGTCTGTTGTCTGCTCTCCAATGACTTCCTTAGGTGGCACTGTACCTTGTTAGCTCTGGCTACCCCCTAGGCTGACCTGACCCAGGGACAGTGTGTTACCATTTGGATCCTTCCTAGTGGACTGCCCGAAAATGGGGGTGGAGAGAGGTGCGGTTTGATTCTCTAGTTGGGAACCAGGAAGTCCTGAGTCCCACTGAAGAGCTGTTCACTCAAGGGCCTGCTCCAGCCTTTCACCCCTCCAAGCCTCCATTTCCTCCCTTGCAGAGAAAATGGAGTGAAATCTGTTGGTCTAGGGTGAACACAGGAAGGAGAGTGGCTGAGTAAATCTCTGCCTTCTTTCTTGCTGTTTTGGGCCTTTTAGATGTAAGACCAAGAAGTGTCAGCTACTAGAACAGAGGAAGCCTGGCCCAGGTACTAGCCTAGTTTCGATCCAGGGAAACCCCCTTGGGATGTGTATGTGTGTCTGTGTTTACTGGCTGCGACTGATGGGACGGGGAACCTTTGCCTTTCTTTGCTTAAATGCCTCTGGGGACTTGATTGCTATGGCACTTGGTATTTTGGTATAGATGCCGAACTGCAGGCTTGAGTAGTCGGGCTAAGGTTTCAGGCTTCTTGGAGATGCTCCTGGACTCTCTATGGTGCAGAAGGAGGACAGTTTGCTCTTTGCTGATCAGTCTTCCACCTTCCGTAGCTCCGTGAGTGGGACTCTTACTTTGGAGGGCCTTGCTACTCTGTTCCTCAAGGCTGGATGAAGAAGGTAGTTTCTGTACCTTCTTGGGCAGTGCTCGCTTTACCAGCCTGAGAAAGCTGTGCTTGGGGGAGGACAGAGGAATTTGTCCCTCTGGCCTTGTGTGAGGCGGTTCTCCTCCTACCCACTGCGTTATCACTGCTGCTTTCTATGTGTTGCTGTTTGTGGCTCCCTTGGCCTCAACTCTGAGAACAAAGTTGGTGGAGGATCCTTAAGGAAAAAATATGGTAAATGCAAACATTTAGAAAACTCTGAAGTCCTCTTGGACCTTTGGTATGACCATTGAGTAGCAAGAGGGACTTGGCTTGAGCCTTGACCCCCAGTTCCCACTTCCTACAGGTGGCTTGGAAGGGCCTGTTGAAGTTCAGACCGTGCTTCTGTAAGCTGGCTGGAGGGGCCCTGCTGTCTTCTAAATGGACTGTTGTGTGTGAGGTTTGGAAAGGAGGTAGTTTGGGAATGGAGGTAATAGGTGTCAGGTGAAGCCTTGTGTCTCTAACCTGGTAGGGTTTGAGGGTCGGAAGGAAAGTAAAGTAGCATCCTTCACTTTGACATGGCTCAGGAATTGCCAGCATTTGGAAATGCAATTCTGAACCTAGGGAAGGAAAACGACTGATTTTGTGCTCGCTAGGGAATTGGTTTACTGATCTTGGGCACTTTGAGTGTTTCCTTTGCTATTCAGCCCCAAATGATGGACCGGGATATATGCTGTCCTGTTTCAGAGGACAGGATTATGTGTACTCAGGTTAGTGATCACTGGCTAAACAAGAGGAGAGGAGAAGATGGGAGGTGAATTTCTTAGGCTTTTATTATTTACAGTTTCTTTTCTAGCATTCTCCATACCTCACCTTTAGAAGCACTAGACTCTCTGATTAAGAAAAGGGTCTACTCTACTCACTAACAGCTGCAGGCACTTATCCTTTTCAGCCTGATGTAAGGTTTCTTTCCTAGTTATATATACTCTTGGTAATTCTTGTCTGTTTACAACAGTTTAACTATGTAACTCTTACTGGCCTGGAGCTCTTTATGTAGATCAGACTGACCTCCAACTTGCATTGATCCCTCTGTTTCTGTCTCCCAAGAAATGGCATTATTGTATGTGCCACCAGGCCTGGCATCTCTAATTCTTACTCTTGCCTCCTCTCAGTCTTTAATGTGCTGCTTTGGAGGTCAAGGGAAATCACCCAGTGTTCTGTGGGTCTTAAGCTTTTCAGATGTAGATTTGTGTATTTCATTAGGTTTTGATATATGTTGGCCCTGTGAGAAGGGAGAGAGGGACCGTTAACTCTGCAAGTATTTGGAAACCCTACTTGACTTAAGAGGAAGGAAACTATTCTGCTCTGTTATGTCCTGCCCCATTTAGCCCTCCTCCAAGTAGCAATGTGCTTCCTGAGACTACAACTCCCAGCATGCTTAGCCCCAAGCCTGCTTACACATGCTCAGTAACTCTTAAGGCCCACTTCTGTTAACTACTAGGAGCATCTAAGAAAGAAGGGCAGTTGGCGTTGCTAAGGGCAACAACCTGAGGCCTTCATGCTAGGTGAGACCCAGGGCGCATTTAGGGCTGGGGCCAATAGTGGTACTGAGTTTCATGCCTGGCTATTGCAGGCTCCTTCTGTTGTGTTTGAGATGTCCTTGTTGAAAGCAGTGGAGATCCATTCATATCTAGCCTTTAGGTTAGTACTGTTTTGAATCTCTTGCAAGACCCTAGGACTCTGCCCTTTCAGAGAGGGATTTTGGCATGACTGAGACTTCTGGCCTAGTAGGTTGCTACTTTCAGGACTGTAGGATGGTAGCTGACCTGAGACCTAAGCATAAAGGCTAAGGATTAGGACCCAGGAGTTAAGATGAGACAATGGACTGTACTAAGTGTAACTGGATGTATTTTTACTTGGATGTGATTGCATCAGGAACTGCTATGGAGGAGGGTGGAAGTGGGAAAGTAGAATAGATGCCCTGAGAGCCCAGGATGAGAGAAGGAGGTATGTGTTTGGGGAGGAAGTGGGCAGTGGGATAAGACACAGAATGGTTTTATTTGTCATTACTGTAGAGGTTTGTAGACAAGCTTTGTCTCTGATGTCTAAGGGTTAGCTGACTTCTTATAATGGGAAAAAGGGTCACTGGAGAAGCTTATTGGACATACAAATACCTTTTGGGACCAACAGGTCTCCCCGAGAGGGCCCTGCCCAGTCGGAGAGAGGGATGGACAGCCAGAAGCCGCCTGGTGAAGACAAAGATTCAGAACCGGCAGGTGGGTAGGACAAATTCTGAGTGTGCTGACAGCTTTGGCTCCTCGTGGGTAGCCCTTTATTTCTGGTCCTGGCACAAGTTCTGGCTAAGTCTGTAATAGACAGGTAATTGAAGAACTTTGTCCTTTGAGATGGAAGTTTCAGTTCCATCTCTGTGAGCCACTGAGAATTTAGATAATTTCATGCATCTGTTGAGTGAATTTAGTAATCTAAGTCAGGCTGACATGTACTCTTCTGTTTATTCAGCTGATGGACCTGCAGCCTCTGAGGAGCCAGGTGCCACTGAGCCAGACCTTCCTAACCTGTGTGTTGGGGAGGTCTCTGTCCCTAGTTCTGGGAGTCCCAGGCTTCAGAAGCCTCCTCATGACTGCAGGTAACTTGTTTGTGGAAAATGGAACTTTCTGGGCACATAAAGGTTTGATTGGTGTGTCTAGGGCTTTACAAGAGCGGATGTGAGAGAATGAATGAGTAGGATACATGAGATGCCAATCATGGGGTTATCAGGGCCTGGCATAGTGCTGATGTTTGTGTGTCCACAGTGGGGGTCCAGCACGGCGATGTGCTCTCTGTAACTGCGGGGAGCCCAGCCTGCATGGGCAGAGGGAGCTCCAGTGCTTTGAATTGCCATTTGACTGGCCCCGGTCTCCAGTGGTGTCCTCTGGGGGAAACCCAGGACCCTGTGAAGCAGTGCTGCCCAGTGAGGACCTGTCACAAATTGGTTTCCCTGAGGGCCTTACACCTGCCCACCTAGGAGAACCTGGAGGTAAGTGAGAGAGGTGGGTTTGGCAGCAGTGTGGAGGCTGGGCAGTCTTGAGTTACTGGCCACTGTATTCATTTGTTCCTCTCTGTTTCCCTCTTCCCACCTGTGAAGGGCACTGCTGGGCACATCACTGGTGTGCTGTGTGGTCAGCGGGTGTATGGGGGCAGGAGGGCCCAGAACTATGTGGTGTGGACAAGGCCATCTTCTCAGGGATCTCACAGGTAGGACTGAGGTCAGATGATTGTGTAGGTGAAGGCAGGGCTGGGCTTCTGGGAGTCAGGGCAGAGTGACCATACTGAGGAGGGGCTGGTGGCCAAGCCGTTTGTCTGGAGAGAGCTGGCTGGCTCTGAGGCTCTCTCCATTCTTGCAGCGCTGCTCTCACTGCACCAGGTTCGGTGCCTCCATTCCTTGCCGCTCACCTGGATGTCCACGGCTTTACCACTTCCCCTGTGCGACTGCCAGTGGTTCCTTCTTATCCATGAAAACATTGCAGCTGCTCTGCCCAGACCACAGTGAGGGGGCTGCACATTTGGGTGAGAAGTCCTATTCTCTGGAAATAGAGCAAATGAAGGACCAAGTGGGCCTTGGATTTTGGTACCCCACAAAACATTCTTCAAAGACATAAAGCCATTCTGCCCCAGGAAAATGGATGCAAACTTTGTTAGAACAGGGACTTTGCCTATATTTATTTACTCTGGTATCTGCCGTGCCTACAATAGTACCTAGCATGTATTTATAGGCACTTGGTAACTCTTTTTTATTCTGAGTCAATGCAATACCTGGTGGCTGTATATCACAGTGCTCAGTTGTATGAGCACCTGTAGCTGACCTGCTCTGTCTCTTCCTTCCTACTGCAGAGGAGGCTCGCTGTGCAGTGTGTGAGGGGCCGGGAGAGCTGTGCGACCTCTTCTTCTGTACCAGTTGTGGGCATCACTATCATGGAGCCTGTCTGGACACTGCTCTGACTGCCCGCAAGCGTGCTGGCTGGCAGTGCCCTGAATGCAAAGAGTGCCAAGCCTGCAGGTAAGGGTGTGAGGGCTGATGTGCAGCCACATGCAAAGTGGGAACAGAAAACGAGGCTGGGAAGGATCCCATCATGTGTCCTCTGCCCCTCAGGAAACCTGGGAATGATTCTAAGATGTTGGTCTGTGAGACGTGTGACAAAGGATATCATACTTTCTGCTTAAAACCACCCATAGAGGAACTGCCTGCTCACTCATGGAAATGTATGGTGAGTATCTTCTGATGCCAGCTCCTTCAGCATCTGCAGAGTTGACTTGCATTTACCATCCTGTGTACTCCTGTCTTCAACTGTGCTTTGACTAGTGCCTGTCTTGCCTGCTTGCTTCCCCTAGACATGCCGGGTATGTCGGGCCTGTGGGGCAGGCTCAGCAGAACTGAATCCGAACTCTGAATGGTTTGAGAACTATTCGCTCTGTCACCGTTGTCATAAAGCCCAGGGAGGTCAGCCTGTCATTTCTGTTGCTGAGCAGCGGCCACCTGTCCGTAGTAGGTAAGCAGTGTAGACTGAGTTGGGACGGGGCCATGTAAATCAATGGCCAGTCAGCAGTGCAGTCCACAGTGTTTATGCCGTGTCCCAGTGTGCTCTCTAGGAGCTGTTAGCTGGTGAGAGCCACAGTGCCTGCTTCCCTGTACCCTCTGCAGATTTTCACCCCCAGAGCCTGGCGATGTCCCCACTGATGAGCCTGATGCTCTGTACGTTGCATGCCAAGGGCAGCCAAAGGGTGGGCACGTGACCTCTATGCAACCCAAGGAACCTGGACCCCTGCAATGTGACGCCAAACCACTAGGTGAGTAGGGTTTAAAGGTCCCTGAAACTAATCTTTTGTTCTGTGGCAAGAGACAGTTTTTGCTTTGCCCCAGACCCTGTACTTTTTGTGGAGTTTGAGCTCGATAGGAGTAGACTATGTTGTGTCTGCAGGGAGAGCAGGGACCCAACTTGAAGCCCAGTTGGAGGCTCCCGTAAATGAGGAGATGCCACTGCTGCCCCCGCCTGAGGAGTCACCCCTGTCTCCACCACCTGAAGAATCACCTACATCTCCACCACCCGAAGCCTCACGTTTGTCCCCACCACCTGATGAATCACCTGAATCCATGCTACCTGAGGCATCACACCTGTCCCCACCGACTGAGGAATCACCCCTTTCTCCACCACCTGAGGAATCTCCTTTGTCCCCTCCACCTGAATCGTCACCTTTTTCTCCATTGGAGGAGTCACCTCCATCTCCTGCACTAGAGACGCCCCTGTCCCCACCACCTGAAGCCTCACCCCTGTCTCCACCATTCGAGGAATCTCCTCTCTCCCCTCCACCTGAGGAATTGCCCACCTCCCCACCACCTGAGGCATCTCGCCTATCTCCACCACCTGAGGAGTCACCCATGTCCCCTCCACCTGAGGAGTCACCCATGTCCCCTCCACCCGAGGCATCTCGTCTGTTCCCGCCATTTGAGGAGTCTCCTCTGTCTCCTCCACCTGAAGAGTCTCCTCTGTCTCCACCTCCGGAGGCATCACGACTGTCCCCACCCCCTGAGGACTCACCCATGTCTCCCCCACCTGAAGACTCACCTATGTCCCCCCCCACCTGAAGTATCACGCTTCTCCCCCTTGCCTGTCCTGTCACACTTATCTCCCCTGCCTGAGGTATCGCGGCTTTCCCCACCTCCTGAGGAATCTCCCCTGTCCCCACCTCCTGAGGACTCTCCCACGTCACCTCCACCTGAGGCTTCACGACTATCCCCTCCCCCCTGAAGACTCTCCGGTGTCACCACCACCAGAGGACTCACTCATGTCCCTGCCACTGGAGGAGTCACCCTTGTCACCACTGCCTGAGGCACCGAGACTCTGCCCTCAGCCCGAGGAACCATACCTGTCTCCTCAGCCTGAAGAGCCCCGACTCTGTCCCCAGCCTGAGGAGCTGCCCCTGTCTCCACGGTCTGAGGAGCCATGCCTGTCCCCTGTGCTTGCAGAGCCGTGTCTATCTTCTCAGCCTGAGGAACCACACTTGTCTCCTGTGCTTCAGGAACAACATTTGTCCCCTCAGCCTGAGGAACCGCATCTGTCCCCTCAGCCTAAGGACCCACACCTGTCTCCCCAGTCTGAGGAGCCTTGCCTGTCCCCCAAGCCTGAGGAACTGTACCAATCTCCTCGACCTGAAGAACCTCCTGAGGAACCAAGCCAGTGCCCTGCACCTAAGGAGTTGTCCTTGTTTCCCCCAACTGGGGAGCCACCTTTATCGCCCATGCTCGGAGAGCCAGTCGTGTCTGAGCCTGGGGAGCCACCTCTATCCCCACTTCCTGAGGAGCTGCCCTTGTCTCTATCGGAGGAGCCAGCCTTGTCACCTCAGCTGATGCCACCAGGTAAGGAGAAGTTAATGTCCCCCTCCTCTGGGGCAGTCTTGGCACTTCGGCACATCTAATCTAAGGGCCTCTCTTTTTCTCTTCTCCCTCAGATCCTCTTCCTCCTCCGCTCTCGCCCATTATCCCAGCTGCGGCTCCTCCAGCCTTGTCTCCTTTGGGGGAGTTAGAGTACCCCTTTGGTGCCAAAGGGGACAGTGACCCTGAGTCACCATTGGCTGCCCCCATCCTAGAGACACCTATCAGCCCTCCACCAGAAGCTAACTGCACTGACCCTGAGCCTGTGCCCCCGATGATCCTTCCCCCATCTCCAGGCTCCCCACTGGGACCTGCTTCTCCTGCCCTCATGGAGCCCCTCCCTCCACCTTGTTCTCCGCTCCTCGAGCATTCCTTGCCTCCTCCACCTTCTCCTCCTTCCCAGTGTTCACCTCCTGCTCTGCCACTGTCTCTGCCCTCCCCATTGAGTCCTGTGCAGAAGGGTGTGGATGTCTCAGATGAGGCTGAGATGCATGAAATGGAGACTGAGAAAGGTCCAGAACCTGAGTGTCCAGCCTTGGAACCCAGTGCCACCAGTCCTCTGCCATCCCCTATGGGGGACCTCTCTTGCCCTGCCCCTAGCCCTGCCCCTGCCCTGGATGACTTCTCTGGCTTGGGAGAAGACACAGCCCCTCTAGATGGGACTGATGCTAATGCTTCACAGTCACGGACCGGACAGACCCCTGGCAGTTTGGCTGGTGAACTTAAAGGTTCTCCTGTGCTCCTGGACCCTGAGGAGCTGACCCCTGTGACCCCTATGGAGGTCTATGGCCCAGATTGCAAGCAGGCAGGGCAGGGCTCGCCCTGTGAAGAACAGGAGGAGCTGGGTGCACCCCTGGCCCCCATGCCGCCTACTCTCATCAAATCAGACATCGTTAATGAGATCTCAAATCTGAGCCAGGGCGATGCAAGTGCCAGTTTTCCTGGTTCAGAGCCCCTACTGGGTTCTCCTGATCCTGAGGGGGGTGGCTCCTTGTCCATGGAGCTGGGAGTGTCTACAGATGTTAGTCCAGCCCGAGATGAGGGCTCCCTGCGCCTCTGTACCGACTCACTACCAGAGACTGATGACTCACTGTTGTGTGACACTGGGACAACCATCAGTGGAGGCAAAGCGGAGGGAGACAAGGGGCGTCGGCGCAGCTCCCCAGCCCGCTCCCGAATCAAACAGGTAACTTCAGCACTGAGCATGCTCACACTCCTGTCAGTCACAGCCCTGAGCTGTAGTCTGGATTCGTCCAGAGATCCTTCAGGTCAGCTCTGCCTAGCCGACCTCTGTGCATAGAGGGGAAATCATTTACCCAGGTTCACAGTCACTCAGAAATAGAATTGGGACCTAAAACCTGGTACTTTCAACTCATTTTTGTTTTTTCCCTTATCCCACATTCACTGTTCTTAGAACAGAAGACTGGCCTGATCACTACTTGTTGCTATTTGGAAACTTGGCTTTCCTGTCCTCTGAGTGGGACACGAGCTTTTTTTTTCTTTAAACCTGTTACACTCCGTCATCTTTCTTCCCTCCAAGCCTGTGGGCCCAACACACCTGGTGCAGTGATGGACCTCTTCCCTCACTTAGGGTCGTAGCAGTAGTTTCCCAGGAAGACGCCGGCCTCGTGGAGGAGCACATGGAGGACGAGGGAGAGGACGGGCTCGGCTGAAATCAACCACTTCTTCCATTGAGACACTGGTAGTAAGGACAGGCTCTATTCCTGCCCCCCCCCCAACCATGCTTCACATGCTCCTTCTGAGTTAAGCATGCTTAAAATCCTGTCAGTTGTCCCCTCATAGTCTAGGGCTTGACTGCTTGGCTCTGAGGGTTCTTGAGACCTCTGCTATTGCACCCCCCAGCTGGAGAATTTCAGTGCTCTGCCTCTGAGACCTTCATCTTAGCCAGGAATTCACACCTCTTTCCTGAGTGTGGGAGAGAGGACAGCTTAGCAGGCTTCTCTTCTTCACTTTCTACAACTTTCTCCTTGTTAAGGTGGCTGATATCGATGGTTCTCCTAGCAAGGAGGAGGAAGAGGAAGATGATGACACCATGCAGAATACCGTGGTTCTCTTCTCTAACACAGACAAATTTGTTCTAATGCAGGTACCGTACTGAACTGGGATGACCCCAGCTTTAACGGTGAAAGTAGGCATGCTGAGCTGTGTGTGTGTGTGTGTGTGTGTGTGTGTGTGTGTGTGTGTGTGTGTGTGTGTGTGTGTGTGTGTGTGAACTTACTTTGCTGTGAGGGTGGGTGGGAAAAACCAGGGACCCACTTTGCTAACGAGGAAGTGGATGGCGATTGCCCGCATTGTGTAAAGGGCAGAAATGTAGTCGCAGGAGCCTGTATATGTTGCCACCTAAATAATCTTGAAGCTGCTGTGCATTTTGTCATATACAACTCTTACCAGACAAGTCTTCACCCTGTCTTGTCTTCCTGTGACTTCTTACATGTACTGATGCTGGACTGGATTTCTGGTTACTTGACAAGTCCAGGAGGGCATCCTAGGGAGGTGCAGCTTTTGTGAATTGGGTGGGAGATGCAAGGGTCTCCTGGTGACCTAGTAAGTGTCATAATACTGTGACTTGGTCTTCTGATTGCCTCCCTGGTCTTTGTCTGGGACCTGGGACAACAGCAAAGAGACTTATTTGCAGGGCTAGGTAGATGGTTTAGTAGTAATGCTTGTTTTGCAAGCAAAAGGACCTGAGTTCAAATCCCCAGTACCTATTTAAAAGCTGGCTATGGCTGTCCATGCCTGTAACCTGTAACCTCAAGGGTTATGGGGAGGAGACAGATAGATGCCAGGAGCTTAGTTGAAATTATGAGCTTCAGGTCTGTTGAGAGACCCTGTCTCAAGAAATAGACTGGAAAGTAATAGAAGAAACCCTTGACTTCTATATTATCCCCCCCCCCACTCCAGACAGACAAAGAGACATAGAGGCAGAGGCAGAGGCATGCATGACGTTGGGGTCTCTGTGTTTCCACAGGACATGTGTGTGGTGTGTGGCAGCTTTGGCCGGGGCGCTGAGGGCCACCTCTTGGCCTGTTCCCAGTGTTCCCAGTGCTATCACCCTTACTGTGTCAACAGCAAGGTGAGTTCAGGGCCCAAGATGTATAGGCTGCAGGCAGAGTCATTCCCCTGTTACCCTAGTCCCCCATTCTTGCCTCACTGTTTTTATTATTTTATTACATTTATCTGGTGCGTATGGTGGGGGAAGGAGGGAGTGCATGTGCCAGGGTGTAATTGTTAAGGTCAGAGGACAACTTGTAGGATCATTCCTTTCCTTCCACCATGTGGATCCCAGGGATCAAACTTAGGTCATCAGACTTGGTGGCAAGTACTTTTATCTTCAGAGCCATCTTATCATCCCGACATACAATTTCTTAAGGTGACTGTGGCTCTTGGAAGTCATTGACTAGTTGTCAGTGCTGTCAAACTCAGAAAAGTGCTTGGGAATTCACAGTGGACTTTGTAGTTTCTTTGCATAGGCAAAACATGCTGGTGTGATTCAGTCCATTGTGTAAATGCTGACAACTTTACTAGTAGAAAACATGGTGTATGGCCAGGAGTGGTGGCATACACCTTTAATTCCACCCAGAGACAGACAGATCTTTTGTGAGTTTAAAATCAACCTGGTCTATATAGTGAGCTCCACGGCAGTCAGAATTACATAGTTGAGACCCTGTTTCAACAAAACCAAACCATGGTATAGTCTGGAAGTAGATGAGAATCAAGACTCTTAACTCCATATCCATAAATAGATAGCAATGTCTTTAACCTAAGGCATAGCCAGTCATTTGGGGTTTTTCCAAAACTATTGATTGATTAATTAATCCACTGCTAGCATTTACCAGCTTGTATCAGTAGCAGATTCTAAAAGGTGAAGAAAAGTTGGGGAAAATGATCTTGCTAAGTCATCAGTTTGGGGGTCTGCTTAGTGAAGGATGTGTAGCTCACTCTTGCAATGGAGCTGTGGCTAGTGTGGTGGCTCTCTGTTCAGCAGAGACCCCAGGAGCCTCTGGAGACACGCTTTTGGGGACAAAGAGTGCTCTGTATAAATTTTTCTTTCCTTCCGCCATATTAAGTCCTGTGCCCCCCTGCCCATACACACACCTGAGGCATCTCTTTCTCTGTACCAGATCACCAAGGTGATGCTTCTAAAGGGCTGGCGTTGTGTGGAGTGTATCGTGTGTGAGGTATGCGGCCAGGCCTCCGACCCTTCACGCCTGCTGCTCTGTGATGACTGTGACATTAGCTACCACACGTACTGCCTGGATCCTCCACTGCTCACTGTGCCCAAGGGTGGCTGGAAGTGCAAGTGGTAAGGACCCTGGGAGTCTTCAGGGTCAGACAGGAGATGGAGAATGGGCTGGAGACACAGTTAGAATGGACACAGTGTTGAATGTCTGTGTTTAGGAGACCAGCCTGCTGGTTTGGGTCTCAGTGAGGGTGCCTCCGGGAAACCAGGTAAGGTGTTGAAGGTCTTTCTGCCTCTCCTAGGTGTGTGTCTTGTATGCAATGTGGGGCTGCCTCCCCTGGCTTCCACTGTGAATGGCAGAATAGTTACACACATTGCGGGCCCTGTGCCAGCCTGGTGACCTGTCCTGTTTGTCACGCTCCCTATGTGGAGGAAGATCTGCTCATCCAGTGTCGCCACTGTGAACGGTGAGAGCATCCCTTTCTCCTCATGTCCACTGCATGTGCTGGTGTCTGCTGGCTTTGTCGTGCTCATCCCCACCTCCCTCCCAGGTGGATGCATGCTGGCTGCGAGAGCCTCTTCACAGAGGATGAAGTGGAGCAGGCTGCCGACGAAGGCTTTGACTGTGTTTCCTGTCAGCCCTATGTGGTGAAGCCTGTGGGTGAGTGTCGACTTGGAAGAAGCAAAGAGGACACGGTGTGTCTTCCTTGGGGACAGCGCCCTAAGCTGCTTGTGGTTTGTCCTTCCCACAGCACCTGTTGCCCCACCAGAACTGGTACCCGTGAAGGTGAAAGAGCCAGGTAAGTCACAGAGATTGTGAATACCCAAACCAGCTAAGACCATGTCTTCTGCTCCATCCTCAGGGTAAATGGCCTACCTAAGGTCACTTACCAAGTTAGTGGCAAAGTTGTGGTTAGAACCAAAGCTTCCTATCTTTACTAGGCAAGTCAGCTTCTCTGCTAGGAGAATTTCATTCAAGAGAGCACACCTTTCTTCTTACAGAAGGGGACAAGGCCATCTTTTCTGCCACAGTGTGGGCACCACTCTTGCAGCCTAGGCCTCTGAGTGCTGGCATTTAGCAAGTAGAGTCCTTCCTGTCCCTTGTCAGTGTGAGAATCCATTTGGTGAACCCGTGGTTAATAGGTTCTGGATACAGCTGGGTCTCTGCAGTAACAGACTCACTTGGTGTGTCCCTCAGTCACTAGTAGAGCCTCCGGTGTCTCTTATCTCCAGCCCTTAGAGTCTGGCAGGACTTGTCTGTCTGTCACTGTTTGCGTCTCAGCTGGGACCAGGGGTTGAAATTTGGAGTTTTGGTTTCCCTGGGCCTCCGTCCAGGGGTCACATGTTCTTCCCTCTTGTCCAGAGCCCCAGTTCTTTCGCTTCGAGGGTGTGTGGCTGACAGAAACTGGCATGGCGGTGCTGCGCAACCTGACCATGTCACCACTACACAAGCGGCGCCAGCGGCGAGGACGGCTAGGCCTCCCAGGCGAGGCAGGGCTGGAGGGTTCTGAGCCCTCAGATGCCCTTGGCCCTGATGACAAGAAGGATGGGGACCTGGACACTGAGGAGCTGCTCAAGGGTGAAGGTTGGGCTGGGGAATCTCAGAGAAAGGCAGATAGTGGGAAGAGCACAGCCCATTGGAGTTGGGATGTTGGGTAGGGGCTACATAGCCACTACTGGTCATCCTCTAGCATTGTTGGTCTTGTTCAGGTGGCACTGTGGCAGGTTCCTGGGCTCCCTCTTGCAGGATGACAAGTGTAAAAGGGCCCATTCCTCTGACCTGCCTCCGTCTCTTGCGTCACACACAGGTGGTGTGGAGCACATGGAGTGTGAAATTAAACTAGAAGGCCCTGCCAGCCCTGATGTAGAACCTGGCAAAGAAGAGACAGAGGAAAGCAAAAAGCGCAAGCGCAAACCGTATCGGCCCGGTAAGGCCCTGGAGTGGGGTCGTGGAGCAGTGAGGGGCCCAGGTCTCTAGTGGCTTCTCCTTCCTAACTCTGCTTCCACACAGGCATTGGTGGCTTCATGGTGCGGCAGCGGAAATCTCATCCACGTGTGAAAAGGGGGCCTGCTGCACAGGCCGAGGTGTTGAGTGGGGATGGGCAGCCCGACGAGGGTGAGACGGGTGAGGGCACCAGTGGGGCCTGGGAAGAAGGTGGGGTTACAGCACACGGGCAGTGCCAGGGAGACCAGGGCAAAGTGGGGGAGGTCTGACTGGCTGGGGAAGGCGTAGGTAGGGAGAGTCTCCCCACAGAGTTGACCCTGGCATGCCCAGTGTCTCCAGAAAGCCTGAGCTCTTCTCCCTTGTCCGTAGTGATGCCTGTTGATCTGCCAGCCGAGGGCTCTGTGGAACCAAGCCTTGCTGAGGGGGATGAGAAGAAGAAGCAACAGCGAAGAGGGCGCAAAAAGAGCAAACTGGAAGACATGTTCCCTGCTTACTTGCAGGTAGGTTTCAGACTCCCTAGGGCGAGGGAGGGTCTGCACCCACAGGGCATCACGAAACCATCTCTCTTGACTCTTCCTTCCTGCAGGAAGCCTTCTTTGGGAAGGAGCTGCTGGACCTGAGTCGGAAGTCCCTTTTTGCAGTTGGGGTGGGCCGGCCAAGCTTCGGACTCGGAACTCAAAAGCCTCGGGGGGATGGAGGTTCAGAGAAGAAGGAGCTCACTGCCTTGCACAAAGGTCAGTTGATGGAAATGATATGTTCTGGGGTGTCCAGCCCACCTTTCTGCTTTGTAGTTGGCAAAGGTGTCTAGGGGGAGGGCCCCCCCATTATGGGCATCGGGTGTCACTCACCTCTGATTGGAGTGAAATTGTTGCTTATAGGAGACGATGGTCCAGATGTTGCAGATGAAGAGTCCCATGGGCCTGAGGGCATGGCTGATATGCCAGGTGAGGGTTGTTGAGGGAACTGAGTCCTGCTTGGTTTTGCTTGTTATCAGTTGGTTCTGCCCCTGAACACGGCCAGAGCTGGAGCCTGGACACCGTTCCATGCCTCCTGGGGTTCACATTGGCCTGTGTGGTACCACCATACCTCTGTGACTGGTGGTTTTCTTCTGAAAGTTACAGGGCTTGAGGATGGGGGTGTGAAGGCATCACCAGTGCCCAGTGACCCTGAGAAGCCAGGTACCCCAGGTGAAGGAATGCTTAGCTCCGACTTAGACAGGATTCCCACAGAAGGTAAGGCTTGTACGAGGTCTTCTGTATAAAGGTGCTCCATGTCTGTGGGACTGATCTGGACTGCTCTGGTGGGAGAGTCCTGGTTACCTTCCTTGGCCGTGACCATTTGTAGATCTCTGGTGTCACGTGAACCAGCGACTCAGCGGTGTGCTTTGTCATCCCCACAGAACTGCCCAAGATGGAGTCCAAGGACCTGCAGCAGCTCTTTAAGGATGTCCTGGGTTCAGAAAGAGAACAGCATTTGGGTTGTGGAACTCCTGGCCTAGAAGGCAGCCGCACACCACTGCAGAGGCCCTTTCTCCAAGGTGCTTATGGTGGGGAGCTGATTATGTGGAAGGCGCCTTGTTCCTTCAGCAGGTGTATTGCTCCTTTTCTCACTGACCCTGTTGCTCTTGTAGGTGGACTCCCTTTGGGCAGCCTCCCCTCTAGTAGCCCAATGGACTCCTACCCAGGCCTCTGCCAGTCTCCCTTCTTAGATTCTAGGTTGGTATCTGTGCTTAACTGTATGGGTGGCCCCTATTGTCCTTGCCCTCTGCATAGTCCCTGCCTTGCCTCCTCTTGACTCTGAGCCAATGAAGAGACAACTGTCTTGTTCTTCCTACTCTCTTCTTAGTGGCCTTCCTCCAGTGGGCTAGAACAGTGGCTTGGGGCTCTGGGCGATTTGTCTGGGGTGGGTCTTGAAATCCTTACCCTCTGTGACTTTCTGCCCCTGCGCCCCAGGGAGCGCGGGGGCTTCTTTAGCCCAGAACCGGGTGAGCCAGACAGCCCCTGGACAGGCTCAGGGGGCACCACGCCCTCCACTCCCACCACCCCTACCACCGAGGGTGAGGGCGACGGGCTGTCCTATAACCAGCGGAGTCTGCAGCGCTGGGAAAAAGACGAGGAACTGGGCCAGCTCTCCACTATTTCACCTGTCCTCTATGCCAACATTAACTTTCCTAATCTCAAGCAAGATTACCCAGGTACCTCTGGGTGAGGGCTAGGGGTACACCCTGGCAGGTGGAGGGGTCACCTGCCAAGCCTCCTGACTTATTAATCTTTCTGCCCTCCAGACTGGTCTAGCCGATGTAAACAAATCATGAAGCTTTGGAGAAAGGTTCCAGCCGCTGACAAAGCCCCCTACCTGGTAAGAGACCATTGTGGCAGCTTGAGGCCTAATGCAGAAGCATCTTTAGGGTTTCATCTCAGTCCCTTCCTCTCCTTCTGTCCTTCTTCTCCTGTCTCCTTCCATCCCAGAGCATCTGGGTTGGAAGACTGATTCTGGGGAGACAATGTGGCAAGGTTGGGGGCTGGGCTTGACACTAAGCAGGGAGCCCTACGTTGTGTTCTTGTCCTTCAGCAAAAGGCCAAAGATAACCGGGCTGCTCACCGCATCAACAAGGTGCAGAAGGTGAGTGGATGGCTTTTCTAGGATTGAGGACCATGGATCATTCCTATAGCAAACAGTCTAACTGTTCTGCTTGGTCTCTCTCTATAGCAGGCTGAGAGCCAGATCAACAAGCAGGCTAAGGTGGGCGACATAGCCCGTAAGACTGATCGACCGGCCCTCCATCTCCGCATTCCCTCCCAGCCAGGGGCACTGGGCAGTCCGCCTCCTGCTGCGGCCCCCACTATTTTCATTGGCAGTCCCACTACCCCTGCTGGCTTGTCTACCTCTGCGGACGGGTTCCTGAAGCCACCAGCGGGCACAGTGCCCGGCCCTGACTCACCTGGTGAGCTCTTCCTCAAGCTCCCGCCCCAGGTGCCCGCCCAAGTGCCTTCGCAGGACCCCTTTGGACTGGCCCCTGCCTACGCCCCGGAGCCACGCTTCTCTGCGGCACCACCCACTTATCCTCCTTACCCAAGTCCCTCTGGAGCCCCTGCCCAGCCCCCAATATTGGGCACCACAACTCGACCTGGGACTGGCCAGCCAGGGGAATTCCACACTACCCCACCGGGTACCCCCAGACACCAGCCTTCCACGCCTGACCCCTTCCTCAAGCCCCGCTGCCCCTCATTGGACAACCTGGCTGTGCCTGAGAGCCCAGGGGTAGCGGGAGGCAAGGCTTCTGAGCCTCTGCTCTCATCCCCACCTTTTGGGGAGTCCCGGAAGACCCTAGAGGTGAAGAAGGAAGAGCTTGGGGCATCCTCTCCTGGCTATGGTCCCCCAAACCTGGGCTGTGTTGACTCACCCTCCTCAGGCCCCCACCTGGGTGGCTTGGAGTTAAAGGCACCTGATGTCTTCAAAGCCCCCCTAACCCCTCGGGCATCTCAGGTAGAGCCCCAGAGCCCGGGCCTGGGCCTACGGGCCCAGGAGCCACCCCCAGCCCAGGCTTTGGCCCCTTCTCCTCCCAACCACCCTGACGTCTTTCGTTCTGCCTCCTACCCTGACCCCTATGCCCAGCCCCCATTGACTCCTCGACCCCAGCCCCCACCCCCTGAGAGCTGCTGTGCCCTGCCTCCTCGATCACTGCCCTCTGACCCTTTCTCCAGAGTGCCCGCTAGTCCTCAGTCCCAGTCCAGTTCCCAGTCACCGTTGACCCCACGTCCTCTGTCTGCTGAGGCTTTCTGCCCATCCCCTGTCACCCCTCGCTTCCAGTCTCCTGACCCTTATTCTCGTCCGCCCTCACGCCCTCAGTCCCGTGACCCCTTTGCCCCACTGCATAAGCCACCCCGACCCCAGCCCCCTGAAGTTGCCTTTAAGGCTGGGCCCCTAGCCCACACTCCCCTGGGAGCTGGGGGCTTCCCAGCAGCCCTGCCCTCCGGCCCAGCAGGTGAGCTCCATGCCAAGGTCCCAAGTGGGCAACCCCCCAATTTTGCCCGTTCTCCTGGGACAGGCGCATTTGTGGGCACCCCATCTCCCATGCGGTTCACTTTCCCACAGGGGGTAGGGGAGCCTTCCCTAAAACCCCCTGTCCCTCAGCCTGGTCTCCCTCCACCCCATGGGATCAACAGCCATTTTGGGCCTAGCCCCACCTTGGGCAAGCCTCAAAGCACAAACTACGCAGTAGCCACAGGGAACTTTCACCCATCAGGCAGCCCCCTGGGGCCCAGCAGTGGGCCCACAGGGGAGGGCTATGGGCTGTCCCCACTACGCCCCGCATCTGTTCTGCCACCTCCCACACCCGAGGGACCCCTCCCCTATTTGTCCCACGGAGCCTCACAAAGGGCAGGCATCACATCTCCAGTGGAAAAGCGAGAAGATGCAGGGTCTACAATGAGTGGTAGCTCTTTGGCAACACCTGAACTCTCAAGTGCCCAGGATGCAGGCATGTCTAGCCTCAGCCAGACAGAGCTGGAGAAACAACGGCAGGTGAGTAGATACTCTGTAACTGGTCCCACCATACTTCTCTCTCCTCCAGCCCCATGATTAGAATGTTTTTTCGTTTTTGTGTTTGTGTTTGTTTTTTTTTTTTGAGACAGGGTTTCTCTGTATTGTTTTGGAGGCTGTCCTGGAACTTGATCTGTAGACCAGGCTGGCCTTGAACTCACAGAGATCCACCTGCCTCTGCCTCCTGAGTGGGGCGTGCACCACTAACCGCCTGGCTCCATGATTAGAATGGGCTTACTTTTGTTTTCTGGACAGCGCCAGAGACTACGGGAACTGCTGATTCGACAGCAGATTCAGCGTAACAACTTGCGGCAGGAGAAGGAAACAGCTGCAGCAGCTGCAGGTGCAGTGGGGCCTCCAGGCAACTGGGGCGCTGAGCCCAGCAGCCCTGCCTTTGAACAGCTGAGTAGAGGCCAGGCCCCTTTCACTGGGTCCCAGGTAGGTAGATTGACACGGGGTGGTGGGGCCAGAGGACTGAAGGCTGGCTACACCTTCATCTACTTCTGTTGTCTAGGATAAGAGCAGTATTGTGGGGTTACCTTCAAGCAAGCTAGGTGGTCCTATCCTGGGACCAGGAGCCTTCTCCAGTGATGACCGACTCTCCAGGCCACTTCCACCAGCCACACCTTCCTCTATGGATGTGAACAGCAGGTGAGGTTCCAGGAGGGTGGGTGTGTGAGAGAGGGAGGGAGAGGGAAACAGACAGAGAATATTATGGGACAGACTTTACCATCACTGCCTTCTGCCTCTGGACTTTGAATCGCTGTCATCAGTCCTTCTCTGTTGTTACTAACTCTTCCTCATTCTTTCCCTCGCTGTTTCTTTCGTCTTCTGTCTCTATCCTATGCCTCTCTTCTGCCTTCCATGCTGATTGCTTCTCACTGACTGAATTTTTTTCAGGCAACTTGTTGGAGGCTCCCAGGCCTTCTATCAGCGTACACCCTATCCTGGGTCCCTACCCCTGCAGCAGCAGCAGCAACTGTGGCAGCAGCAGCAGCAGCAGCAGCAGCAACAACAACAACAACAGACAACAGTAGCGACCTCCATGCGACTTGCTATGTCTGCTCGATTTCCATCAACTCCTGGACCTGAACTTGGCCGCCAAGCACTAGGTTCCCCCTTGGCAGGAATTCCCACCCGCCTTCCAGGCCCTGCTGAGCCAGTGCCTGGTCCAGCTGGTCCTGCTCAGTTTATTGAGTTGCGACACAATGTACAGAAAGGACTTGGACCTGGGGGATCTCCGTTTCCTGGTCAGGGTCCCCCTCAGAGGCCCCGTTTTTACCCGGTAAGCGAGGAACCCCATCGACTGGCTCCTGAAGGTCTTCGGGGCATGGCTATTTCAGGCCTTCCCCCACAAAAACCCTCAGCCCCACCAGCCCCTGAATTGAACAACAACCTCCATCAGACACCCCATACCAAGGGTCCTGCCCTACCAACTGGCTTGGAGCTGGTCAGCCGCCCACCGTCAAACCCTGAACTTGGTCGTCCCCCTCTGACTTTGGAAGCTGGGAAGTTGCCTTGTGAGGATCCTGAGTTGGACGATGAGTTTGATGCCCACAAGGCCCTAGAGGATGATGAAGAGCTAGCTCACTTGGGTTTGGGTGTGGATGTGGCCAAGGGTGATGATGAACTGGGCACCCTAGAAAACCTGGAGACTAATGACCCCCACTTAGATGACCTCCTCAATGGAGATGAATTTGACCTGCTAGCATATACTGACCCTGAGCTAGATACCGGGGACAAGAAGGACATCTTTAATGAGCACCTGAGGCTTGTGGAGTCAGCAAATGAGAAGGCTGAACGAGAAGCCCTGCTGCGGGGGGTGGAGCCAGTATCCTTGGGCCCTGAGGAACGTCCTCCCCCTGCCACAGACAGCTCTGAGCCTCGCCTAACATCTGTGCTCCCTGAGGTGAAGCCCAAAGTGGAGGAGGGAGGACGCCATCCTTCTCCTTGCCAGTTCACCATTAACACCCCCAAGGTGGAGCCAGCACCTCCCGCCACTCCCCTCAGCCTGGGACTGAAGCCAGGTCAGACAGTGACGGGCAACCGGGACACTCAAAGAGTAAGTTCAGGACCATTCCCCAGCAGTGGGCCCACAACGGAGAAGGGTCCATTTGGGACCACAGGAGGAACACCAGCTCACTTGCTGAACCCCAGCTCACTGAGTGGCCCAGGTGGATCCTCCCTTCTGGAAAAATTTGAGCTAGAGAGTGGGGCTCTAACCTTACCCAGTGGACATGCAGCATCTGGGGATGAGCTGGACAAAATGGAGAGCTCCCTGGTGGCCAGTGAGTTGCCTCTGCTCATTGAGGACCTGTTAGAGCACGAGAAGAAGGAGCTTCAGAAGAAGCAGCAGCTTTCAGCACAGCTACAGCCTGCCCAGCAGCAGCAGCAACAGCAGCAGCAACAACATTCCCTCCTTCCTACACCAGGCCCTGCACAGACCCTGCCTTTGCCACATGAGGCTGGGCCCCCACAGCAGCTTGCTCTGGGTCTTGGAAGTACTCGACAGCCAGGTTTGGGCCAGACACTGATGCCCAGCCAGTCACCAGCTCATGCCCTTCAGCAGCGCCTGGCCCCATCTGTGGCTATGGTGTCTAACCAAGGGCATATGCTAAGTGGGCAGCAAGCAGGGCAGACAGGCTTGGTGCCCCCACAGAGCTCACAGCCAGTGTTAGCACAGAAACCCATGAATGCCATGCCAGCTTCCATGTGCATGAAGCCCCCGCAGCTGGCAGTGCAGCAACAACAGCTGGCTAACAGCTTCTTCCCAGACACAGGTAACGTCACGTGGGCATAGCTAGCCTGAGCCTAGGTATCATTGATCGGGTACTGAGTCTGGTACCCTAAGAAACACCTAAGTTAAGGGAATTGGGATTCCAGGGGCTTCAGCTAAACCAAAGTACTGTAAGTAGAAGCAGTGGGCCTGTGGAGCAAAGGCTGTCTGTCTTTGGTAAAGGCTAAATCTAGTCCTCAGAGAAAACACTATAAGGACAAGCAAACCAGGTAAGTGAAAGATGAAATGAAGCTATAGGGCAGGAAAACCTATGGAGAGCAGTGAATGATGCGGAGAGGAGAGTGGTTTTGGAGAGGGAGGTAGTGGAGCCATACTGACTGCATACTCACTCTGGCTACATTTCTTGAATAGTTGCACTTTATCGGACAGTACTATATGCCATTACAGATTCGTTAAATGGGTACTGTAGTTGGCTTTGATTACAAAACAGGAAACCGAGGCATTACAGTTAAGTAACATGTCTAAGATTATACAACTAGCAGAGCTAGATGTGGACTTAACAGCTTTTCTTTCTTTTTTTTTTTTTCCTTTTTCTTTTTTTTTGGTTTTTCGAGACAGGGTTTCTCTGTGTAGCTTTGGAGGCTGTCCTGGAACTCGCTCTGTAGACCAGGCTGGCCTCAAAATCACAGAGATCTGCCTGCTTCTGCCTCCCAAGTGCTAGGATTAAAGGTGCGCGCCACCAACGCCCGGCTGAACTTAACAGCTTTAGAAAGCCCTTTTTACAAAGTTAAGAGTCGATTTTCTAAGCAGATGGTACACTCCCCAGCACTCAAGAGGCTAGCCTACTCCACATAACCTAGTTCCAGGATGGCCAGAACTACTTAGACCATCTCTCAAATAAATTAGCTAATTAATTAAATAAAGCACCCCAAAACAAAATGTAGGGTTTTAGGAAGGTTTGAGATTGTTTTGTGAATTTTGTATTTCTTTTTTTTTTTTTTAATTTGTTTCTTGGGGGGTAGGATAGGAGGTAAGCTAGGGTCTCATGAATCCCAGGCTAACCTCAAACTCGCTGCAACTGAGGATGAAGATGGCAACTGAGGATGGAGACAGGCTGATTCTCCTGTCTCCATTTGTCAAGTGTTGGAATTACAAGTATATGCCACCATACCTGGTTTATTCAAGTTTGTTTGGTTTGTTTTTTGAGGCAGAGTCTCACCATGTAGCATAGGCTGGCCTTAAATTCAAAATCTTTGTATCACAGTCCCTTGAATGCTGGGGTTACAGTTGTACACCACTGTGCCTAGTTAGTTTTTTGTTTTTTTTCTTTTTTTTTTTTTTAATTTTCCTCAGTCCTAGACTGGCAGGACAGTGGATTATTGGGTGATGTTTTTATGTCACAAACAGCTCTGTTGTCAAGAGGCTTTGCCACTGTGCCTATATCGTGGGTTCTTGAGCCATGGTGGTTGTAGAATACTACTTTGAAGAGTACTGTCTGGCTCACGTTGCATGCCTCTATTCTTGTCACATGATCTGTAGCACCACGAAGGAGACAGAGCAGCAATCATGGTCTCTCTTCAAATGAGGGAAACTGAGACTTAAAAAGATTATAGTGATGCTGTCTGAGCGACTCAGTAAATGTTTACTGACTCCCTTAAGCAATGTGCAAACGAAGGACTGTGTGTTCCACGAACATTAGTGCTGCAGCACCAGTTTGCATGGCTCCTGCTGAATGAGTGGACTTGCCACATATTGTTCTACATGTAGAGGAGAGCGTTGGAAAAAGCAGCCATTGTGTCCTGGAGCCCTGGCCCCCAAACCCAGCTTACTTATCTCTTCTCTCCAGATCTGGACAAATTTGCTGCAGAAGATATCATTGATCCTATTGCAAAGGCCAAGATGGTAGCTTTGAAAGGCATCAAGAAAGTGATGGCTCAGGGCAGCATTGGGGTGGCACCTGGTATAAACAGGTGAGACTCTGGGCTGCTGTGGGCTGACTTCCTGTCACACTGTTCTCCTGCTTTCCCTGCCAGTTTGTCCCATTGGTTTGTGTGTGAACTATGCCCTCACTGACACCATAATCCCCTGTGCTTTATGGACTGCAGGCAGCAAGTCTCACTGCTGGCTCAGAGGCTCTCCGGGGGCTCTGGCAATGATCTGCAGAACCATGTGGCACCTGGGAGTGGCCAGGTAAGGGGAAAATAGGAAAACGTGTGTGCTATTTCACTGGGCTACCTTTCTTAGGACCTGGTATGGAACAGTGACCTTCTAGAAATCTCTCTTACCACAGGAGCGGAATTCTAGTGACCCTTCCCAGCCACGTCCCAACCCACCCACCTTTGCCCAGGGAGTGATCAGTGAGTATGGGCAAAGAAGGAGGGTACAAAGAAACGGTTAGGGGTCTGGAAGGGGGTCACTGTTTTGTGGATCCTAACAGAAATTCTACACCCAGATGAGGCTGACCAGCGGCAGTATGAAGAATGGCTGTTCCATACCCAGCAGCTCCTGCAGATGCAGCTGAAGGTGCTAGAGGAGCAGATTGGTGTGCACCGCAAGTCCCGGAAGGCTCTGTGTGCCAAGCAGCGCACTGCCAAAAAGGCCGGCCGTGAGTTTCCGGAAGCTGATGCCGAGAAGCTCAAGCTGGTTACAGAGCAGCAAAGCAAGATCCAGAAACAGCTGGATCAGGTAAGGAAAGCAGAGTTCAGCCAAGTACCCAGAAACCAGGGATATGGGGTGGCAGGGTGGGCAGCCTCTGACTGACTTCTCCAACACTTCAATATTAGGTCCGGAAACAGCAGAAGGAGCACACGAATCTCATGGCAGAATACCGGAACAAGCAGCAACAGCAGCAACAGCAGCAGCAGCAGCAGCAGCAGCAGCAGCAGCAGCACTCAGCTGTACTGGCTCTCAGCCCTTCTCAGAGTTCTCGGGTACTCACCAAGCTCCCTGGCCAGCTGCTCCCTGGCCATGGATTACAGCCGCCACAGGCACCTCCAGGTGGTCAAGCTGGAGGTCTTCGTCTGCCTCCAGGAGGTATGGTACTACCCGGACAGCCTGGTGGTCCATTCCTCAATACTGCCGTGGGCCAGCAGCAGCAACAGCAGCATCCTGGTGTGGCTGGATCCTTGACTGGCCATTCAGGGAACTTCTTCCCTGGAAATCTTGCTCTCCGAAGCCTTGGACCTGACTCAAGGCTTTTACAGGAAAGGCAACTACAGCTGCAGCAGCAACGAATGCAACTGGCCCAGAAATTGCAGCAGCAGCAACAGCAGCAGCAACAGCAACACCTCTTAGGGCAGGTTGCAATCCAACAGCAACAGGGTCCCGGAGTACAGAACCAGGCTCTGGGTCCCAAGCCTCAGGGCCTTCTGCCTCCCAGCAACCACCAGGGCCTCCTGGTCCAACAATTGTCCCCTCAACAGTCACAGGGGTCGCAGGGCATGCTGGGTCCTGCCCAGGTTGCAGTGCTGCAGCAGCAGCAGCACTCTGGAGCTTTGGGTCCTCAGGGCCCTCACAGACAGGTGCTTATGACTCAGTCCAGGGTGCTGAGTTCCCCTCAGCTGGCGCAGCAGGGTCACAACCTTATGGGACACCGACTTCTCACAGCCCAGCAGCCACAGCAGCAGCACCAACAGCAGGGGTCTATGACGGGGCTTTCCCATCTCCAACAAGGAATGATGTCACATGGTGGGCAGCCCAAAATGAGTGCCCAGGCATTGGGCTCCTTACAACAGCAGCAACAGCAGCAGCAACAGCTGCATCTTCAGCAGCAGCTGCACCAGCAACAACAGATGCAGCAGCAACAGCAACATCTTCAGCAGCAACAACAGCAGCAGATGGGCCTCTTGAATCAGAATCGAACTTTACTATCTCCTCAGCAGCAGCAGCAGCAGCAGGTGACACTTGGTCCTGGCATGCCAGCCAAGCCTCTTCAACACTTTTCTAGCCCCGGAGCCCTAGGCCCAACCCTGCTCCTGACAGGCAAGGAACAAAACATTACAGAGGCATCGCTTCCTTCAGAAGTCACTGAGGGCTCCTCCACACATCAAGGAGGGACATTGGCAGTGGGGGCTACACCTGAGCCAATGTCTGTTGAACCAGGGGAGGTAAAGCCCTCCGTTTCTGGAGACTCACAGCTGCTACTTGTCCAGTCCCAGGCCCAGCCTCAGCCCACCCCAGTGCAGCTGCAGCCGCCACTAAGGCTCCCAGGGCAACCCCAGCAGCAGCAAGTGAACTTGCTCCACACGGCAGGTGGAGGAAACCATGGGCAGCAACTAGGGAGTGGATCCTCTTCTGAGGTCCCTTCTGGACCCCACCTGCTGACCCAGCCCTCTGTTTCCTCAGGGGAACAGCCTGGGCCTATGGCCCAGAACCTTCTGGGCTCCCAACCGCCCCTTGGGCTAGATCGGCCCATTCAAACGAACACAGGGCCACAGCCTCCCAAATCAGGACCTGTTCCTCAGTCTGGGCAGGGTCTTCCCGGGGTTGGAGTCATGCCTACAGTGGGTCAACTTCGAGCACAGCTCCAAGGAGTCCTGGCCAAAAACCCACAGCTGCGGCACTTGAGCCCTCAGCAGCAACAGCAGCTACAGGCACTCCTCATGCAGCGACAGCTGCAGCAGAGTCAGGCAGTGCGCCAGACTCCACCGATCCAGGAGCCTGGGACCCAGCCCTCTCCTCTCCAGGGCCTTCTGGGCTGCCAACCTCAATCTGGGAGTTTTTCTGGATCTCAGACTGGACCCCTCCAGGAGCTAGGGGCAGGACCTAGACCTCAGGGCCCACCCCGACTCCCTGTCCCACAAGGAGCCTTATCTACAGGACCAGTGCTTGGCCCTGTCCATCCCACACCTCCACTATCCAGTCCCCAAGAGCCAAAGAGACCTTCACAGTTACCTTCCCCCAGTGCCCAGCTAACCCCCACCCATCCAGGGACTCCAAAGCCCCAGGGGCCAACCTTGGAGCTGCCTCCTGGGAGGGTCTCACCTGCTGCTGCCCAACTTGCAGATACTTTCTTTGGCAAGGGGCTGGGACCCTGGGACCCCTCAGATAACCTAGCTGAAGCCCAGAAGCCAGAGCAGAGCAGCCTGGTATCTGGGCATCTGGAACAGGTGAATGGACAGGTGGTACAAGAGCCACCCCAACTCAGCATCAAACAGGAGCCTCGGGAAGAGTCGTGTGCCCTGGGTGCACAGGCAGTGAAAAGGGAGGCTGATGGGGAGCCAGGAGGGACACCAGGCACCAGCAATCACCTTCTGCTAGCGGGCTCCCGCTCAGAGGCTGGGCATCTGCTCCTGCAGAAGCTTCTGCGGGCAAAGAATGTGCAACTTGGTGCTGGGCGGGGCCCTGAGGGACCTCGAGCTGAGATCAATGGACACATTGACAGCAAACTGTCAGGGCTGGAGCAGAAACTACAGGGTACTTCCAGCAGCAAAGAGGTGAGTGCTTTGGCTAGCATGATGTGACAGTGAAACCTATAATTATGGAGGTCAAATGAGCAGGGCTAGGTCAGACTAGGTGAGGGCAGCAGCCTTCACAGGGCTTCTTTGGTTTAGGACGCAGCCACAAGAAAGCCTTTGACAGCGAAGCCTAAGCGGGTACAGAAGACAAGTGACAGACTGGTGAGCTCCCGAAAGAAGCTGCGGAAAGAAGATGGGGTCAGGGCCAACGAGGCCTTGCTGAAACAGCTAAAACAGGTGATCCCCAAGGAGCCAGTGCTGTGGACCCATCTCAGGAAGGGGGATGGGTAGTCTGTCCCCTGAGCTTGGAGGGGACAGCTGTGAATGCTGCAGCTTTCCAGCTTTGTTATCTTGCCCCCCTCCCCCCCAGGAACTGTCCCAGCTGCCCCTGACGGAGCCTACCATCACCGCCAATTTTAGCCTCTTTGCTCCCTTTGGCAGTGGCTGCCTAGTCAGTGGGCAGAGCCAGCTCAGGGGGGCCTTTGGAAGTGGGGCTCTACACACCGGCCTTGACTACTATTCTCAGCTGCTCACCAAGGTCAGAAAAATGGCAATACTTTTTGGGAATAATAAAGTTCTTGGGGTTGGAGGTAGGGATGAGAGACTGGAGGAAAATGCTGCTGTAATGTGGGACCAGGAGATTATACCAGTCTCCCTTTGCCACCTTGCACACAACACCCACCCCACCCCCCAGAATAACCTGAGTAACCCGCCGACACCACCCTCGTCGCTGCCCCCCCACCCCACCCCCATCGGTGCAGCAGAAGATGGTGAATGGTGTTACGCCCTCTGACGAGCTGGGGGAGCACCCCAAGGATGCAGCCTCTGCCCAGGACTCTGAAGGAACATTGAGGGGTAAGTGGAATTTGGGGGATGAGTTCTGGCCATGAGTGGTACAAGGCCGCTCGGGATCAGAAATACATGGGTTGCATGCTGCCTTGTGCGCGTACACAACAGACATTTGGTGGGAAGGGCCCATTCGTGGTTGTTTGGTTCAGGACAATGATGGGCTTCTAGAGTCTGGTGCAAAGGCATCAGGGGAGGAAGGTAGCAGGGTGAGCCTCAGAGGTTTTGTGAGAAGAATCAGTCTAGCATTTATGGGTGTGAAGCTGCAGTCTGACCTGCATGTGACCCCCAGCACATGAGTGTTTAGCTTAGACCAAGTAGCTTGACTTGTGTGAGCATAGATTTCCTCTCTATAAACTAGATATGTAAAGTTCATGTAACAGTCATTGTTAGAAGACGTAAATAGAGTGTTATGGTGACTTATGATCCCAATCAAAACTGGAGAAGAAAGGCAACAGGGCTTAAGAGTTTGAAGCCAGCTAGCCGTGCTACATAGGAGAAGCAGGCCCTGTCTTTATTCAGATCAGTGTGGCCCACAAGAAAGGCTCAGTGTCTGTATGGTTTCTTGCCACAAGCCGTTAGTGGAGTAGGTAATTGAGCACCATACCTACCAGGACCTGGAACGCTGGGGACAGAGCATCACCGTCCACTCACCCTGACTTCTCCTCTCTCCTTACCCCTCAGATGCTGCAGAGGTGAAGAGTTTAGACCTGCTGGCTGCTCTGCCTACACCCCCTCACAATCAGACTGAGGATGTCAGGTGGGGAATTGGGTGCAGGACAGATGGCCTAGTATTTCCTTAGCTGGGGCAGGCTTCAGTTACGACTACACCTCCTGATGGCTGCCTTTGAGAAGGGGACTCCATGGGTCTGTACCAATACCTGTTTGCATTTGCCTTCAGGATGGAGAGCGATGAGGACAGTGATTCTCCTGATAGTATCGTGCCGGCTTCATCCCCTGAGAGCATCCTTGGGGAAGAGGCCCCACGTTTTCCACAGCTGGGCTCTGGCCGGTGGGAGCAGGACACTCGGGCCCTCTCCCCTGTCATCCCCATCATTCCCCGTGCCAGCATCCCTGGTACGTGCTGCTCATGGCAAGGGCAGGCCCAGTGTGGCTGGTTTGTCAGACGTGAGGGGCACAAGTTTCTCTCTTTTCATCCAGTCTTCCCAGATAGAAAACCTTATGGGACCCTTGACCTGGAGGTTCCTGGAAAGCTACCTGTTACAGCTTGGGAAAAAGGCAAAGGAAGTGAGGTGTCAGTCATGCTGACGGTCTCTGCTGCCGCTGCCAAGGTATGTCTTAGGGGGACCTTGAGGCCAAGGAAAACTTGGGTCAGAGGGTAATCTTCAGTGCTTGTCTGGATTAAAAAGAAAAAAAAATCCCTCTGCCCAAATACTTGTGCTGAGTACCTGCTTTGTTTGAAAGGCTGGCCTATGGGCTGAGGGCTGAGGGAGGGAAGTAGGGTCTCATAGGGCTCATCACCCATGGATAAAGGCAATCAACCAATAGGCTATCAAGTGCCAATAGACTATCAAGAGACCATTCTCCTCCACTCACATTTGGTGGACCCCTTCTGCTGAATTTTATGGTCAAAGAAAGTTGGACAACAGTTTAAACACAAGTTTGTTTGCAAATGTCTGCAGTGTTATTCCCTGCTGTGTGTTCCTGTCATGGTTTAGGAAAGGTTGCGTGGCCACCCTTGTGCAGTGGGTTTGTGTCCTTGCCTTCCCCTAGCAGGGCCCACTGAGGATGCCGCTGTTTTCTCCTATCCTTTCTTCTGCCCCACCAGAATCTGAATGGCGTGATGGTAGCAGTGGCGGAGTTACTAAGCATGAAGATACCCAGTTCCTATGAGGTGCTGTTCCCAGACAGCCCTGCCCGGGGAGGCCTCGAGCCCAAGAAGGTGGAAGCCGAGGGTCCTGGTGAGTAGAGCAGGAGAGCGGGAGACCACTTTCAGGTCAGAGAAGAGTTCTGCTGGAAGACTGACCCTTTCCTTTCTGTAGGTGGGAAAGAAAAGGGTTTGAGTGGCAAGGGCCCAGACACTGGACCTGAATGGCTAAGGCAGTTTGATGCAGTGTTGCCTGGCTACACCCTCAAGAGCCAGTTAGACATCTTGAGCCTCCTGAAACAGGTAGGTCTGGAGGAAGAAGGGTCACTTTTAGGAAGAAGGTGCTCCCAGGGCAAAGAAGACAATGGTTTTTGAGGGAGTAGAGTCTGGTCAAGAGGAGAGAGGGGCTAGTTAGCTGAAGAGCTGGCACTAACAGCCAGGGTGTCTTCCTGTAGGAGAGCCCTGCCCCAGAGCCATCCACCCAGCACAGCTACACCTACAATGTTTCCAACCTGGATGTGAGGCAGCTCTCCGCCCCACCGCCTGAGGAACCTTCCCCACCTCCATCCCCTTTGGCACCCTCTCCTGCCAGCCCCCCTGGCGAGCCCCTGGTTGAACTTCAGGCTGAACCCTCTGCTGAGCCACCAATCCCTTCACCTCTACCACTGGCTTCATCCCCTGAATCTGCCCGGCCCAAACCCCGAGCCCGGCCCCCAGAAGAGAGTGAAGATTCCCGCCCCCCACGCCTCAAAAAGTGGAAAGGGGTTCGCTGGAAGCGGCTGCGACTACTGCTGACCATCCAGAAGGGCAATGGACGACCAGAAGGTGAACGGGAGGTGGCGGAGTTTATGGAGCAGTTTGGTACAGCCTTGAGACCCAACAAGGTGCCTCGAGACATGCGACGATGCTGCTTCTGTCATGAAGAGGGAGATGGTGCCACTGATGGGCCTGCCCGCCTACTCAACCTTGACCTGGACCTCTGGGTGCACCTCAACTGTGCTCTGTGGTCCACGGAGGTGTATGAAACCCAGGGTGGGGCACTGATGAATGTGGAGGTTGCCCTGCACCGAGGATTGCTAACCAAGTGCTCCCTGTGCCAGCGAACTGGTGCCACTAGCAGCTGCAATCGCATGCGTTGCCCCAATGTCTACCATTTTGCCTGTGCCATCCGTGCTAAGTGCATGTTCTTTAAGGACAAGACCATGCTGTGTCCGATGCACAAGATCAAGGGGCCCTGTGAGCAGGAACTGAGCTCCTTTGCTGTCTTCCGGAGGGTCTACATTGAACGGGACGAGGTGAAGCAGATCGCCAGCATCATCCAGAGGGGGGAGCGACTGCACATGTTCCGAGTAGGGGGTCTTGTGTTCCATGCCATTGGACAGCTGCTCCCACACCAGATGGCTGACTTCCACAGTGCCACTGCCCTCTATCCTGTGGGCTACGAGGCCACTCGAATCTACTGGAGTCTTCGTACCAACAATCGCCGCTGCTGCTACCGCTGCTCCATCAGTGAGAATAATGGACGGCCTGAGTTTGTGATCAAAGTCATTGAGCAGGGTTTAGAGGACCTGGTCTTCACTGATGCCTCTCCCCAAGGTAAGCACTTGACTGGGATTGGGAAAGTTTTTCTCAGGAGTCATTGTCCAGACTGAAGCTGTAGTGTCCTGCCTCTACCTCAAGTGGCACGGTGTCCTGAAAACTTGAAAATAATGGGGTTCAGCCTTACTCAGACACTTTAAATACCTTTGCAGTTGAAAATATTTTCTTAGCCAAGCATGGTGCCTCACCCCTGTAATACCAATACATGGGAGATTAAGGCAGGAAGACCTGAGCCCGGGCTATAGGAAACCTTTTCTTGAAAGAAAGAAAAAGAAGTTTCATGTTTAGCTTTTTTCCCTAATCTTGGTAGGTTAAATGATGAAGGGTTTTTTGTGGTATGTTTTTTCGTCTGTTTTTGAGATAAGGTTTTTCTGAGTAGCTTGGCTATCTTGAAACTACTCTGTAGATCAGGCTGACCTTGAACTCAGAGGTCCGACTCTCTGCCTCCCGACTGCTGGGATGAGATTAAAGGCGTGTGCCGCCGCCACCACCCAGTTGAATGGTGCTTTGAGAGCCTGCTGTCTATTATACACAGTTCTAAATTCCCTCTCTTTCCATATGTAAAATTCTTTTTAGAGTTGTGTTTTGTGGTACTGGAGATGGAACCCAGGACTCTGGACATGCTAGGCAAACATACACCATTGAGCTTAAGCCCCACCCTTAAAAAGTTGATTTTTCCCCGAGACAGGGTTTCTCTGTACTGTCTGGGGAGGCTGTCCTGGAACTCACTTTGTAGACCAGGCTGGTCTCTAACTCACAGAGATCCACCTGCCTCTGCCTCCCGAGTGCTGGGACTAAAGGCGTGCACCACCAACGCCTGGCTTTTTTTTTTTAATTTTAACTTTTGTGTGAGTGGGTGTGTTGTGTGCCTGTATGTCTGAGTTTCTCATGCATTCAGTGCCCAGAAGAGAGTGTGTTGGATTCCCTGAGACTAGAAGTAAAAAAGATTGTGAATAAGCTTATGGGTGTTGGGAACCGAACCTGGGTCCTTTGGAAAAGCAGCAATTGATCCTAACTGCTGAGGCCATTCCTTTTTCTTTGTTTCTGTGTTGATGATAAATAAAGCAGTGGGAAGTATGTTTTATTGAGCATGTGTTACAAGTCACAATTCAATTAGTAGGGTGATCATATAGGTTGTTTTGTCCCTGCAGCCCTAGAAAATGAGCACTGTCATTTTGATGTCATGTAGACATACAGTGACAAGTCTTCCCAGTTCCAAAGCCTGTATGCTCACTCAGTAGGAACTGTGGCTTCTGCTGGGTCTCTGGGACCTGTGTTTGTCATTCCCATCCTAGGAGACCAGGAGTCGGTCCTGAAGGTCACAGGGCAGTGACAGTCATATGGTGGAAAGTAGAGCTTCAGAATGGGGTTATGGCTGGAGGTCAGTAAGCAGATGTTGTTATGCTGTCTGTCTCCCCGTAGCTGTGTGGAATCGCGTCATTGAACCTGTGGCTGCCATGAGGAAAGAAGCCGACATGCTGAGGCTCTTCCCTGAGTATCTGAAAGGCGAAGAGCTCTTTGGGTTGACAGTGCATGCTGTGCTCCGTATAGCTGAATCGGTAAGCCAGCGGCCGGGAGCTGGGGCGAGGTGGGCACTGGGAATTCTGGTCCTGTCTCAAAGGGACTGAGGCAGGCTCCCTGTGCCCACAGCTCCCTGGGGTGGAGAGCTGTCAGAACTATTTATTCCGCTATGGGCGCCACCCCCTGATGGAACTGCCACTCATGATCAACCCCACCGGCTGTGCCAGATCAGAACCTAAAATCCTCACACACTACAAACGGTGAGCTTGTGTGGCTGGGGCTATGGGCTGTGCGTGTGGGCAGGGCCGTCTGGCCTCATTGTGGGAGTTTGAGGTGCAGATCAGAATCTTTTCCAAGAACCTGGGGAGTCACCCATAGACCTGGTTAGAGGTACACAAACATCATTGGGTATCCCTTTCCTCTTCCCTCGTCAGCTCAGGTGTCCTGGGTTGACCAGGGATGCAGGACAGAGTGCCCTAGGTACCCTGGGAACGGCTGCTGGGGAGGTTCTTGGTGGAGATGTACGGGAGCTGGTCACTTCTTCCTTCTTTGGTCTTGCTTCCAGAGCGGCCGGTGATACTCCCAAACCTCAGACACCCCATGAGCGCTAGGGTCACCATCCCTTTCCAAAGCTGAGTTGGTTTAGAAATAATTAGAAGTATTATAGAAAAATAATACAATCTTACATTTGTATAGCACTTTATACTTTTTTTTTCAAAGCGTTTTCACATCCATTATCTCATTTGATCCTCACAACAACCTTATGAGGTAGGTAGGGCAGGTGGTATGATCCCCATTTTATAGCTGAGAATACTGAGACCCAGAAAGACTGCGTGACTAGCTAAAGGTCACACAGCTGGGACTAGACCCTCCTCTGAACTTGTGGGTTTCTGGTCTTCTTCCTGTGTACCTCAGTAGCCTAACCTTGGTCTTTGGGTAGAGGGAGGCAGAATCCATGGTAACAGGGCTTCCCATGAAGGCCTTTGGTGACTTGAAGGCTGTCATAGACTGTTGAACACTCTATCCCTAGTTAGCCCTAGTCCTTGATGCCCTACAACAGTGGTTTTCAAACTATTAAGTATACATGTTCCCAAAGCCCCAGAACACAGAAGCCAGTGGGCAGACTTGTCCTTCTGTGTGTAACTTCACCTTCCTCAGATTGAATTTAGCCAGAGGAATTCCAATTTCACCTATGGATTGGAGTCGCGATCAACATTTTGCTGAAGAAAAGAAATTCTACTAGAAACAAAAAAAACAGAAAAGCACCCCAGGCGTTTGAAAACCACTGCTCTGGGCAAGACTCTGGCTGGTGTCTGTGGGTGGCGAAAGGCTACCACCAGGCAGCAGCCATTCCCCTCACTGAGCCCTGTGCCATGCTGCAGAGCAGGACAGTCTGAAGGAAGGAAGGGTACCATCAGGTTGTGAATTCACAGCCACTGCAGTACAGGTGGCCCCCGTTTTCAGGGCATAGCATATGTAGGAGGCAGGACTCAGACAACTGAACAAACCATCAGCTTAAATTCTGGGCCTGGGCTGCTTGGGGGAGACCTCCAAGAGTATGGCCTTGAGCATGGTTTGGCTGGGGCTTGGTAGGCAGTATGGAATGGGAGAGCAGGCTCAGTGTAGGGGAATTGGTGCCTCTTCCCTCTCTATACCTACTCCCTATCCTGGGTGGTCTCTGCTACCCAGGGTGTCCAGAAGGGTCCAGTGACTACTTACTGCCTCTTCTGAGCTGAGACCCAGGTGCTTCCGCTCCATTCCCAGGGCAGCAAGCACTTGGAGTACTTGCTGATTGATGGTATATACCCCAGGGAGGAGGGGGTGATGTATGCTTTGTCTGTGTTGTCATGGACTGTATCACCTCCCAGGCCCCATACCCTGAACAGCACCAGCATGTCTAAGGCATATCAGAGCACCTTCACAGGCGAGACCAACACCCCGTACAGCAAGCAGTTTGTGCACTCCAAGTCATCTCAGTACCGGCGCCTGCGCACTGAGTGGAAGAACAATGTTTATCTGGCTCGCTCCCGTATCCAGGGCCTAGGGCTCTATGCAGCCAAGGACCTAGAAAAGCACACGATGGTCATCGAGTACATTGGCACCATCATTCGCAACGAGGTGGCCAATCGTCGGGAGAAAATCTATGAGGAGCAGGTACTTGAGATTGGCTGGGGGCTGGTGTGGTGGTGAAGTCCACCCTCTGCCAAAGAGCATAGGGCAGGTTTGGATCCAGGAGATGGTTGGAAGACTGCAGGGAGGGAGAAGCAGGAGGATTCAGTCGTGTCAGAGAAGCCCACTGCCTGAGTTTGCTTCCTAAGATTCTTGTTCCTTCCACAACTTGCGCCTGTCTAGAATCGAGGGATCTACATGTTCCGGATAAACAATGAGCATGTGATTGATGCTACATTGACTGGAGGCCCTGCCAGGTGAGCGATGAAGACTTAAGTGTCTCTAGTGGGCACTTCTGGGTGTTGCCTGGTGTCACTGACGCTGACTCTGTCCTGCCATCCAGGTACATTAACCACTCCTGTGCCCCAAACTGTGTAGCAGAAGTTGTGACATTTGACAAGGAGGACAAAATCATCATCATCTCCAGCCGGCGAATCCCCAAAGGAGAGGAGGTGAGAGGAAGCTTCCTGAGTAGGGTGATAGAGCAATCCCTCCTCTCCTGCCATTGCCTAAGGAGTTAGATTCCGAGGTCACTGCCCTTGGGTAGCATCTCGGCCCCTAGCCTCTTCCTCACCATGACTCTGTCGTCTTTCTTTCTAGCTGACCTATGACTATCAGTTTGATTTTGAGGATGATCAGCACAAGATCCCCTGTCACTGTGGAGCCTGGAACTGTCGGAAATGGATGAACTAAGAAGCTTTGAGGCTACCAGGCAGGGGAGTCCCCCAACCCCCCACCTCTTCCCTGAAAGGGATGAGGGGGAAGAGCGGTAGCAGCCAGAGCTAGGACCCAGGGCTGGGGCTGCCGGCTGACCGGAGCCCCTGGAGCAGGAGGCTGGGGCAGAGGGCCCTAGGCCAAGCCCACCCTGGGCACCAGGGACAACCTTCTTCCCTGCCACCGGCCCTTAGGCTGGCATCCCTGCCCCCAGCCCCAGGAGGGGACAGACAGGAGCAGCCACTGGGCATCTCAGGTTTGAGGGGGTATGGGCCGGGAACTACCCAGAAGTGTCTGGGAGGCAGCAGGGAGGGAGGAGGAGGATGTGTGGCCGGGCCTCACAGCCCTGCTGCCTCCACCGACCTCTCTGGCCCAACTCAAGGCTGCAAAGAGACTTGACTAAAGCTTGACAATCCCAAAGGCCGGGTCCCACACCTGGCCCTGCCTGCCGGGTCCTGCCCCTACCCTCACCCCCATCCCCTTCCTTCCTCTCTATCTGTCTCTGTCTCCTCTTTTCCTCTGTGTCTCTGTCTCTCTATGGGTTGTGTTTCCTTGTTTTCCACTCTGACAAATGCAACGTGATGGGAAAGAGGCATCCAGATGCCCAGGAGGGCAAGCTGGGCAAGCCGGGCAAGGAGACCCCGCACCCACACCTACCTCATTTAAGTGTTGGATTTTTTGCTGTTTTGAAATGTGAGACCCTCTCCAAGCCCCCTACTGCCCCAACTCTCTCCCCCACCTCACTGCCCTCGTCTAGTGGGTGGAAGGGGGGTAGGAGGAGGAGAACAACAACAATAACAACAACAAAAATCCATCTTTGTTTTTAATTATGGGCATGGGATGGTGGTTGAGGCAAACGGTGAAGATTGGGGATGACTGGCCCCTAGTTGCTCTAGAACTTCCTTCTCCATCTGGACATGGAGGTGGGAGGGGTGTGCTAAACCTAGGACCAGGATCTCTCTCTCCTGTTTGCTCAGCCTCATCCTGAGCCCATTTGCCCTCCGGCCCCTGGATGGGGTGTGGGGGTAAGGGTGAGGGCTATCCCTGTGTGGCATGCCCATACCCAATGAGGCAGGGTGTGGCCCAGAGCTCTCGCTTTCCCTCAGTCACCAAACTGCTGCTGGTCTGGTGGGAATGGGTGGTGATGTGGGGGTGGGGAGCTTAGTGTCAGCGCGGGGAGGGTGGGGGGTATTTATCTATTTATACATGGGGTTGTACATAGTCTTGTGGGGCATGGGGGAGCCGGCTGGAGGTGAGAACCCTCCCCTCTCCCCCAACCCCCGGGGAGAGCAAATGTAAAACTACTAATTTTTGTGCTTTATATATTCTATATAAATATATCTATTTTCTTTTTACAAAACCAGTTTATAAATGGTAGGGGGGTGTGGGGCGGACACATGGAGCTCCCCTTGTGGGGGGCCCCTCCACTACCCAACCTACCGCCCTTTCCTTACCCCCTTTCCCACCCCCTGGCTGTGACTGCTGAAAGGTGGGGGTATAGAGAGAAGCTGGGTGATCCTCACCCCAGTGGTATAGTTGGACTATGTTATAACGCACAAAAGTAAGCTGGCCCCAGGGGGAGCCAGAGGGTGATGGGTTCCCTTATTTTCCTTTCCCTTCCTCTTTCTGCCTAAGCTTGTGCTGCAGTTGAACCTCTTCCTGGGGGTGGTGGTAGGGTAGAGGGTGTGTGAGGCCTCAGACCCCTCTCTGGTAGGGAGCCGTGGGGTGAAGATAAAGCTTATATGCAGTTCTCTCCTGGGGGCTGTGGGCAAAGGGCATTTTTGTAATTAATATTTTCAAGAATCAGATATCTGGATTGTAGACGGGCTTGATGGTGGCAAATGGGCCTGCTGGAGGGGTAGCACGGTTGCTGTTGTGATTCTAGGTTTTTGTTTTGTTTTAAATTTGGGGGATTGTGGATTGATGGGGGTAGGGAGATTTTTTTTCCTGGCTTTTTTTTTTTTTTTGAAAGCTGCTTCCTCAACTGTTTCAAGCTCCAAATGTTTAAGAGAGTAACAACTCCCCCACACACTCCCACAGAACCCATTGTAATTAGATCAGACCGTGGGAAGACTGGGCTTCTGTCCCCAAAGCCACAGAGCTGAAAGGTCTAGGCACTAGGTGGGGGAGATTGTCTCCTGTGGGTCAGGCTCTGGTTGGGGCTTGGGCCCAACTGGGAAAGGAGAAGGGGCAGACTTTGTGAGCATATGCTAGGTATCCGATAGTCCTGTAGAATTTAGTGAAGAAACCTTATACAGTTTTTAATTTTTATATAAACTATAACTCAGACCCACGCTACAAGGTTGGAATTTTGGTTGTTGTTTTTTTTTTAAGTACCCCGCCTGTATAATTGCATCAGGATCCCACCCCCGTGTTTGTATTTTGGGTTGGTTTACACTTGCACATACTCAATTTTCAGTTTCCCCATTTTACCTTCTACCCTCACCTCCAGGACCCTCCCCCTTTTTAAAAAATAAATCGCTGACAAGTGTGAATCCCGTGAAGAACTTTATTTTGTGTTGTGTGTATCCTGTACAGCAAGGTTGGTCCTTCGTAACAACGGATGAAATGGTTCCCTTTTTTAAAGCGCTCTCTCTTCCTCCACCCCCAGCGCCCCTGTCCTTGGCATGTTTTGTATCAGCGATCATTCTGAACTGTACATAATTTATGTTGCGAGAGGCAAAGGGCAAGTTTTGGATTTTGCTTCTTCAAAGTTTGTTTTTAAACGACAAATAAAAAAAGAACATTTTAAATACAAGCGCCTCCGTCCCATGACCCTCGCCGGCAGCCAGACCTTAAGGTCCTAAAGGACCTGGGGGAGGGAGATTATCCAAGCCAGACTCAGCCACTGCCGGAAGGGTGGGTTCCTCGCCTTCCGCCCTGGGGCTGCGATGGCGTGATGTAGGCGGAAGTGCCGTGAGGCACCGGATGTGGGGCGGGGTCTGCTGCAAGGGCGCTTTCTAAGCTGAGGAACTGGCGGGCGATTGCAATGGAGTCGGTGAGTGGCGCAGGAGGGCGGCCGGGGGCGCTGTGGAGCCGGAGACCCCCCGCTAGGAGCCGGGGAGGACCGGGTCGGGCTTGGTGCTGCAGTCCCGGAACCTCCCTCTTCTGCTTCGGCGGGTGCCCCAACTGGGCCACCCCCGTGCCGTCCTGGGGTCCGAGGTACCCTGGGAGAGCCGGCTTGGAGCGTACGAACGCCGCGCTCCTCTTGGCCTCCTGCCTGCCTGAGAGAGCCTCGAGCTCTTTCAGAAGTTTGCATGGGAGCGGGGTTGTGAGCCCCGCTTGCAGGGAGCTTCAGGACCCCATCTGTGCAACTTTTGCTGCAGTTCTTGGCAGACGTCTGAAAGACTACACTGCATCCAGTCCCGAAGCTACATTCCTTCAATAAGTTCTAGAATTGATGTTTCCGTGAAGGATTCCAAGAGGCCACCGTGTGTGTCTCTTTGGACAAGTTTAGGTCGCGTCCTGATCAGTGACGCTATGCATGCGTTTTGACTTGGCGAGCAGCGTGGACCAATGGAGACAGGTCCCTGTCACCTCTTAGACACGCTGCAGGTTATCTGCTACGTGTTTGACCTCATTCTCTGGAGCTTTCTCTCTAACACCCCGAGAGCCCTCCCATCGACTTCCTGCTCCATGGTTTTTCACCTCGTATCTCCTGTGGACAGTAGAACCTGCAGGTTCACCCTTATTTTTTTTTCTCCTCTTTGAGTCAGATGCTTGCCCACAGTAACTTTTGCGCCACACCTTTGTCTGCAGAGGAGTAGTGTACCTTAACTTACAAAGAAGAGAACAGATACAGTGGGAAAGTGGTATGCAATTGGTCATCCATGCAAGGAGAACATTATAAGCAAAAGTAATCTAATTACATTAACTTTAAAACGGTGCTGCTATTTTTTTACTTGTAAATGTACTATTTATACTATAATATTTTAAAACTATAAGCTATCGTTTAAAACCTTCTTATGTATATTTCCAAATTTATCCCTTATGCTTTATATACTGGATTGCAGAGAGAGTGAGACAGTTAGGAGGGATGTTAGTTAGGGTAGGCCAACCGTAGTAAGTACTATCTGTCATCAGGATACAAAAAACTGCCAGTAGTGGTGGTGCACACCTTTAATCCCAGCACTGGGGGAGGCAGAGGCAGGCAGATCTCTTTAAGTTTGAAGTCAGCCTGGTCTACAGAGTGAGTTCCAGGACAGCCACGGCTGTCTTGAAAAACAAAAACAAAATACAAAAAGCTGAGAGCATAAAGGAAGGGAAAATTACATTGGGCCTAGGAGCACAGTACAGACTGTTGAAGAGTATATAGGCCCATGCTTGATGTTGTTGAGATTTTGGGTTTTAGTCATGGTATAGGAAAAGTCAGTCAAGACCAAGTTGGAAGTATTGAATTATTGAATGCTGTGCTAAGTTCACACACACACACACACACACACTTTTTTTTTTTGAGATGGGGTCCCAGTAGGTAGCTCATGTTAGGCATCACACTCACTCTGACTTTTGTAATAAGGGGTTTGTGGGAGATTTATGAACAAGGCAGTCAGTGAATATGCTTCTGAGAATATTCTTAACCGCTTTCTGTGAATAGGCTGAGCCATTTAGAAAGTAGGTTTTTAAATTACGAATTTTGTGTGTGCGCACTCGTGTAAGAGAGAAGAAAAACGGGGTGCACAGGTGTCATGGAATGGATGTGGAGGCAGAGGACAGCTTTCTGGAGTTGCTTTTCTTCTACCATGATGGCAGGTGTGGGGATCAAACTCAGGTTATCCGACTTGTCTGGTAAACTCTTTCACTCCCGAGCCATCTTGCAAACCTTGGGAAGTGTCTTTATGTGGCTAAAGATGAAAATCTCTCCAGATGAGCTGCTTTGGTTGGAGAACTTGGTCAAAGCACAGAAGGTGATTGAGCAGGCATTGGGTGTGGGGCGAGGAGACTAGTATTGAGAGTGCTATGAAGCTGGAGGTGTGGCCAAGAGCCTACCCATGACTGTGAGGTCCAGACTCCAGCACCATCCCTTGACGGCTTATGGAAACTTAGAGGGAGTTACAAGTGAGCGGAGAGAGATTTGATGCATTTTTAATACTAGTTTAGCATCACAAGCCCTTACATGTTAAGGAAGACGGAAGAGTTACAGTCCCGGACACTAGGAAGATAGAAGAATTGCATTGGGGAGGGAGGGAGGGAGAGAGAGCGAGGGGGAGAGAGAGAGAGAGAGAGAGAGAGAGAGAGAGAGAGAGAGAGAGAGAGAGAGAGAGAGAGAGAGAGAGAGAGGCTAAGAACTGGTTGAAGGATAGATGTTCTGTCTTAAAGTATTATGAGTAGTCTCTGTACCACGGGGTTGGCATACAACTGGGCATGCAGATGAGTTTGGAGAGCAATCTGTCTTAGTGTCAGATATAGCCTCTCTCTGTAGTAATATTTTATTTTTTTATTTTTTATTTTTTTGGTTTTTCGAGACAGGGTTTCTCTGGCTTTGGAGGCTGTCCTGGAACTCGCTTGGTAGTCCAGGCTGGCCTTGAACTCACAGAGATTCGCCTGCCTCTGCCTCCCGAGTGCTGGGATTAAAGGCGTGCGCCACCAACGCCCGACTCTGTAGTAATACTTTATACTTGTGTATAAATGAGTGATATATTCTTGGTTCCCTAAAATGTTTTGTTTTGGGAGTTTTGTTGTTACTGTTTTGAATCGTAGTGTAATGTAGCACAGGCTAACCTTGAGGTCACTCTGTAGCTAAGGTTGGTCTTAAACTCCTAATCCTTCTAATTCTACCTCCTGAGCACTGGGAATACAGTTGTACACCACTACACAGGGCCCTCAGTCCCCCGTCTTATTAAAAGGAAGAGAGGAATGAACATAATTTGCCCACTTGTGGATAAACAGGATAAAATCATGTTAATTGTGTCTGTGATGGCTGGCTTTGTCAACTTGATACAGCTTAGAATCACCTGGAAGAAAATCTCAGTGAGGGGTCATCTGTCTGTCACAGTGGGTTGGCATGTGGGCATGTCTGTGGGGGATTGTCTCAGTTAATTGCAGTGGGAAGACCTAGCCCACTGTGAGTAACACCATTCTCTAGGTAGAATAAACTGTATAAGAGTGGACAAATGAGCCGGGCGTTGGTGGTGCACGCCTTTAATCCCAGCACTCGGGAGGCAGAGGCAGGCGGATCTCTGTGAGTTCAAGGCCAGCCTGGTCTACCAAGGGAGGTCCAGGACAGGCTCCAAGACAATACAGAGAAACCCTGTCTCGAAAAACCAAAAAAAAAAAAAAAAGAGTGGACAAATGAAACAACACAGCAAGCAAGCAAATAAGAGTACACATACTCATTTTTTTCTGCTCTTGACTGCCGTCTGCTGTCTGAAGTCCCTGCTGCTGCGACCTCCCCATATCCATGGCCTGTAACCTGGAATTGTCACCTAGAACGAGCCTGTCCTCCCCTAAATTGCAAATTGCTTTTTAGCAGGGTGTTTGACCACAGCAACAGGAAAGAAATGAGAGCATCTCTGATTCTTTTGTTGTTATCTGTATCTCTAGCTGTGTAGCTTCTTTTTCTTTTTTTTTTTTATTTATTAATATGTACACAATGTTCTGTCTGCACGCCAGAAGAGGGCACCAGATCTCATTACAGATGGTTGTGAGCCACCATACGGGTGCTGGGAATTGAACTAAGGACCTCTGGAAGAGCAGCCAGTGCTCTTAACCTCTGAGCCATCTCCCCAGCCCCGCTGTGTAGCTTCTTTATCTCTCGGTCTTGGGTTTCTGTCCATCTGTTTTCGTCATCATTATGAGTTTCCTTAAACTGTAAATTATATATAGTGCTCCATGCTAGGGGAGTCAAATACAAGATAGAAGGTAGTCGAAGGCTTCTGGGAATTTATAATCTGTTTCTGTAGATAATGCACTAAATAACCGTAGCACGGTGTGATGTGTGTTGTGAGTTGGGTGCCATCACCTTCAGAAGTAGCTACTTCTCTGCCCTTCGTAGCTCATGAGACTGGCATGTATATCTTTACCCATGGAAGATCCTTTTCTGGTTTAAGCGGTGAGGCTGTTGTTTGACGATAAGTCTTGCCAAAAAAAAAAAAAAAGCCAGACCAGGCTGCAGATTTCATCAAACCCAGAGAGAAGAGAGAAGTATTTGCTCACCTCAGTGTACTAGAGGGAGATTCAGGGTTGTCTTGCATACTTCATCCTGTTTGCCAGCCATCTTTATGTTCAAACAAGCCTTTTACTTCATATCACTATATAACCTGTGAAAGTGAAAGTTCATTTTTTAAAAGATGTATTTATTATATATACAGTGCCTGAATGTACCCCTGCAGGCCAGAAGAGGGCACCAGATCTCATTGCATATGGTTGTGAGCCATCATGTGGATGCTGGGAATTAAAACTTAGGTTCTCTGGAAGACCAGCCATCTCTCTAGCCCATGAAATAATTTTTTTTTTGTATAGGGGATATTACACAGAGCAGATGGAGCCACAAATATGGATGACAATAGAGAAATATTTTCTTTTTCATGCCTCCTAAGTTCCTAGACTATCTACTCGAAAGAGCTATGCGAATCTGTGTAAGATCTTTCTCTCTCTTGGTTTTTGACAGTGTTTCTGTGTAGCCCTGATTGTCCTGGAACTCACTCTATAGACAGACTGGCCTTGAACTCAGAGATCTGCCTCCCTCTGCGGGGGGCGTGGGTGTGTGTGTGTGTGAAGGGTAGGGGTGGGGTGGGGGTGTGGAGTGTGTGTATTTGTGTGTGTGTGTCTTAACTCTTACTTTGTTTTGGAATTTTTGTAACAGATTCTTACTGTGTAGCCCTGGCTAGCCTGGAATTCACTGATTCATTATGTAGAACAGGCTGGTCTCACATATGCTATGATCCCCCTGTCTGATATTATAAGCATGCTCTATCATGGCTGTTTTTAGACTTAATGTTTTGTTTTTCCCTGTAATATTCACCTGTACTCTTGGCACTAGGAAGACTAAGGCAGGGGTTTTTAAGTTTTATCTCAGCCTAGTTAGTCTGTGTATTGAAATATTACCTTAAATAACCAACCAGCCAACAAAAGACCTAATATTTAATTAGAAAATGTGTTCTGTAAGAATGTGAGCTTTGGGGGCTGGAGAGATGGCTCAGAGGTTAAGAGCACTGCATGTTCTTCCAAAGGTCCCGAGTTCAATTCCCAGCAACTACATGGTGGCTCACAACCATCTATAATGAGGTCTGATGCCTTCTCCTGGGGTACATGCATGTACACAGATAAAAAACTGTATGCATAATAAATAAATAATTTAAAAAAAGGAATGTGAGCTTTGTTGGGCATGATGGCCCACTCCTTTAATCTGAGTACCCAGGAGGCAAAGGCAGGCGGATCTCTATGAGTTCAGGGTCAGCCTGTTCCACAAAATGAGTTACAGGATTGTCAGGGCTACACAGAGAAACCTTGTCTTGAAAAAAACCAAAATCCAAACAAACAAAAGACATAAGCTTTGAGTTCCTACTTCACCTTTTAGAAGCCACGTGAGCTTGGGCAGGCGGTTCCTTGTGGACTCTTGACTCTCCTTTTCTATTGGTTTTTTTTTTTTTTTTTTTTTTTTTGGTTTTTCAAGACAGGGTTTCTCTGTGGCTTTGGAGGTTGTCCTGGAACTTGCTTGGTAGTCCAGGCTGGTCTCGAACTCACAGAGATCCGCCTGCCTCTGCCTCCCGAGTGCTGGGATTAAAGGCGTGCGCCACTAACGCCCGGCTTTCCTTTTCTATTGTTAATAACACTAGATGATATAATATTTCTTTCTCTTTTCTTTTGAGAGGATGTTGAGACAGTGTCTTATGTAGCCCAGGCTAACCTCAAATCTGTTGTGTAGCAAAGGTTTGTGTCAAGCTCCTGTTCTCCCTGCCTCAGTCTCCCAAGTGGTGAGTGCTACCATACTGAAATGAAGAGCCTTGCAGTGCTTTTTAAAGGAAATCGTTAGTTCGCAAGCTCTTTTTTAAAGATTTATTAAGTATGCATACAGTGTTCTGCCTGCATGTATGCCTGCAGACCAGAAGAGGGCACCAGATCTCATTATAGATGGTTGTGGTGCCTGGGAATTGAACTCAGGACCTTTGGAAGAACAGCCAGTGAGTGTTCTTAACCTCTGAGCCATCTCTCCAGCCCCCTATAAGTACTTTAAAAAACAAAACAATACTGGGAATTGAACCTAGGGCCTCACACATATTACCACTGATCTGTATCCCTGCCATACCAGCTTGTTTTTGTCTTTTTGAGATGAAGTTTTGCTTAGATAGCCCAGGCTGGCCTGGCTTCAAGTTCATGATGCTGTTCCCACTGTAGCCTTTCTCTAATGCGAGGCTACGAGAGGACAGTCTGGACAGTCTCAGTCAAGGTGACTTTGCTTCCTTGTCTTTCAGGTCGCTTCGGAGAGCTCCGCGGCTCCAGAGAATGAGCATTTTCAAGGTACGTTGTCTGTGAAGTCAGCCAAGAGAGCCTGATGTGAGAGCCGTAGCCTGACCTTATCTTCAGTGCTAAGTTTAGAGTCTCCTGGGAAAGAGGCAGGATTTCTAGGGATGTAGTTCAGAGGTAGAGCTCTTGCCTAGAATGTGTGAGGCCTTCCTTAGGTTCCAGCCCCAGTACCACAAGTGAATGAAGTAATCAGTTTGTCACCTCTCTGGGAATGGGTTTTGCCTGGAAGCACTCTCACTTTTCCTAAGATTTTTATCTTTATTGTTAGCTACATATTTCCCCAAAAGATTAAAATAGAAACTGAGTATAAATTTCAAGAGATTATATAGTGGGGCTGGAGAGATGATGGTTCAGTGTTTTAAGAACACTTCCTGTGCAGTACTGAGGACTGTAAAAGATCCCATAACCTTATAGATAGCAATCCAGGTGTTCCACACAGCCAGCCTACAGCTCAAACTCAAGGGAGTTTGAGACAGAAGGATCGATAGGGCTTGCTGGCTGTAGCTTAGCTGAGAAAACATGACCTCCAACTTTAAGGAGAGACCCCTAGGACAGCCAGAGCTATTACACAGAGAAACCCGTCTCAAAAAAATGAAGAGAGAGAGAGAGAAAGAACTACACCTGATCCTCTCTTCTAGACTCCACACATGAGCAGTCCTTGATTATGTTCTCTGTGTCAACAGTTTTCAGTTTCTGTGACCTTGGACCTCATACACCAAGCTTTTCAGGTTTCTTAGGATACACACACACACACACACACACACACACACTAAACAAACAAACAAAAAACAGGGTCTCGGCCGGGCGTTGGTGGCGCACGCCTTTAATCCTAGCACTTGGGAGGCAGAGGCAGGCGGATCTCTGTGAGTTCGAGGCCAGCCTGGTCTACAAGAGCTAGTTCCAGGACAGCCTCCAAAGCCACAGAGAAACCCTGTCTCGAAAAACAAACAAACAAACAAACAAAAAAAACCAGGGTCTCACTGTAGCCCATGCTGAGCTTAAATTTGATTTGTAGCAGTGCTGTCAAGTTTTGTATCAACTTGACACAAGCTAGAGTCATCTGAGAGGAAGGGAACCTCAACTGAGAAAATGTCACCATAAGATCTATCTGTGGGTGCCAAGTATTGGTAGTGCATGTCTTTAATGCCAGCACTCAGAAGGTAGAGGCAGGTGGATCTCAGTGAGTTCGAGGCTAGCCTGGTTTACAGAGTGAGTGCCAGGACTGTTTCACAGAGAAACCCTGCCCCAAAAAGCCAAAATACATAAGATAAATTAAAAAAATAAAAGATCTGGCTGTAGGCAAGCCCTGTAGGGCACTGAATTAGTGATTCATGTGGGAGGCCCACCTCATTATGGGTGGTGCCATCTCTGGGGTCCTGAGTGATGCAACTTTAGCCAGCCAGTGAGCAGCATTCCTCCATGGCCTCTGTCTGCATCAGCGCTTGGCTCCAGTAAGCAGCACTCCTCCATGGTCTCGGCATCAGCTCTTGGCTCCAGGTTCTCTTCTGGTTTGAGTTCCTGCCTTGGTTTTTCTTGGTAGACTATTCCTACCCAAGTTGCTTTTGGTCATAGTGTTTGATCACAGTGACAGCAACCCTAAAACAGTAGCTGAAGATGACTTTGAACTTCTGATCACCTTGTCTTCCACCCCCTAAACACAGCTATGCCCATTATGTGCAGGACTGAGAATTGAACCCAGGGCTTTGTGCAACCTAGATATACCCCAACCTGGAAATCCCCTTTATAACTTTTGTTTTGTTTTCGAGACAGGGTTTCTCTGTGGCTTTGGAGGTTGTCCTGAAACTTGCTCTTGTAGACCAGGCTGGTCTTGAACTCACAGAGATCTGCCTCCTGAGTGCTGGGAGTAAAGGCGTGCACTCCCTTTATAACTTTTGAAACTTTTTTGTTTATTTATGTGTATGATTTTTTTGTCTGCATGTATGTGTACCCCATGTTTGCCTAGAAGATGGTGTTGGATCCTCTGAGACTAGAGTTAACAGGCAGTTGTCAGCTGCTGTGTGGGTGCTGGGAAATGAGCCCGGTCCTCTGGGAAAGCAGCCAGTGTCTTTTGAGCCATCTCTCCAGCCCCCAAATCCCATTTAAAAATGTCTCTTACCTGTTTTCTGATGAAATGTTTTTGCTTGAGTATATCATCTTGTTGTCGAGGTTCCTGTTCTGTGTACAAGTTCCCTGTACTTTTCCTCCAATCGTCCATTTCTGCTTGTTTCCCTGTACTATATTTGTTTTTTGTTTTTGTTTTGTTTGTTTGTTTTGGTTTTACGAGACAGGGTTTCTCTGTATTGTTTTGGAGGTTGTCGGACCAGCCTGGCCTCGAACTCACAGAGATCCGCCTGCCTCTGCCTCCCGAGTGCTGGGATTAAAGGTGGCCCAGCCTCCCTGTACTATATTTGTATGTGGGACAACTTGGATCACTTTTTTATGCTACAATTTTTTTATGTGTATGAGTGTTTGGCCTGCGTGTATGTCTGTGCACTGGGAATGTGCTGGTGCCTGTGGAGGTCAGAAGAGGTTGTTGGAGCCTCCAGAACTGGGATCACACATGGTTGTGAGCTACCATGTAGGTGCTGAGAACTGAGCTCAGGTGTCTGTAAGAACAAGTTCTCTTAACCACTGAGTCATCTTTTCCAGCCCCTACACTTTGTTTAGATGTTTCTGAGTCCTTGGTTTAAAACAGAATTCAATGGGAAAGCTCTTGCTTTGTAAATGTGAGGAGTGGAGTTTGAATTTCCAGAACTCAGGTAATGGCCTGTAATCCCAGCACTCAGAAGTCAAATATGGATCCTCAGAGCAAACTGTCTGTCCAGACTAGTAAATACTAGTGAGACTCTGCTCAATAATGACGTGGGAGAAGAGTGATTGACCAAGGAATAAACTCAGCATCAAGTTTAAATTTCCACATGCACATGCTTGTTCACACATATTCACATACATGGGAAAAACAGGATTTAAATAATACACTCAGATGCACAGAAACACAAAATTTTCAATAAGGTAGTCATCCAGGCAGTGGTGGCGCACACCTTCAATCCTAACACTCAGGAGGTAGAGACAAGTGGATCTCTGTGAGTTCCAGGACAGCCAGGGCTACACAAGGAAACCCTGTGTTGTAGTTAGGGTTTCTATTGCTATGAAGAGACACCATGACCACAACAACTCTTATAAAGGAAAACATTTAATTGGGGTTAGCTTACAGTTCAGAGGTTTAGTCCATTGTCTTCATGGTGGGCAGCATGGTGGCATGCAGGCAGACATGGTGCTGGAGAGGTAGCTGAGATTCTACATCTAGATTGGCAGGCATTGGGAAGAGAGTGAGCCACTGGGCCTGACTTGGTGTTTTGAAACCCCCAAGCCTACCCCCCAGTGACATAGTTCCTCCAACAAGGCCACATTTCCTAATGCCACTCCCTAAGCATTCAATGATTCAGTGGGGGCCGTTCTTACTTAAACTACCACACCCTGTCTTGAAAAACAAAAACCAAAACAAATCAGTGTTACTATATGTTACATTGTCTAGATGACTTTCCAGAATTGAATACCGCACATGATATCAGTGCCTACTGTATGCTTCTGAGTGCATCTATGTAGCTCCAAGGTAGGTGGCAGGAACTCAGTAGTGGACAAAGCAGATGAGGTGGACTAAATATGACAAGTAACAGCTTATAATTCTTGTGTCCCACTTAAAAGGAGACAGCAACTATCTATTTCTGCTCAATTAAGGCCTATTTTTGCCAAATCTCATTTTTATAAAGAAACTGAGAATTGAGACTTTTATATAAATTTGGAAAGTGATTTAAATTATTTTTAAAACTGGGAAATCCAAATTCAATATGTGTGTAGGCTTCTGACTTAAAATGATAGCATTAACTCTGTGTAGCGAATCTTCATCTGGTATCTAAAGTTGTGTCCTGGTTTGTGTGAGTTGTGTTTCCATGTTTCAAAAACAAGGGAAGTCTTCCAGTTAACACGGTAGATTGAGTCTCTCCATCCACCATCCACCTTCAGTCCTTTTTGAAAAACAAAACAAACCAAGCTCAGAGATAGCCAGCCATTAAGAGCACTGGCTGATCTTCTGGAGGACCTGGTTCACATTCCTACCACCTCGTGGCACTCACACTGTCTTGTCTGTAATTCCAGTTCCAGGGGATCTGATGCCCTCTTTTGGCCACCACAGGGTCTGCATAAATATAATAGGCAGATACAGATTCAGGTAAAAGACTCATAAACATAAAATAAAAATAAAAACCCTTGGCTGGTGAGATGGCTCAGAACATAAAGATGCTTGCCATGCAAGCTCGGCAGCCTGAGTTTGATACCCAAAACCCACAAAACAGTGGGAGGAGAGAACCAATTCTACAAGGTTGTCCTCACATGCTTTGGCATGTGTACCTACATGCATGTACAAACAACTACCCTAAGGAACTTTTTTTTCAGTCCCAACCCACAAAAATAAAGAGCAGGAGAGGGGACCATAGAAATGGGTTGTGGAAGCTGGAGAGTATGTGGCAGATAACTAAATGACTTAGCTGATCTGAATATGGTACATTATAGTTAACGGTGAAGCAAGTTTGAAAGTGTAAGAAACAAACATTCCAAGTCTGACCATCTATTGCATGCTGCCAAGACTGGGGGTGTGGAGAGGGGCTTACCTACTGTACTGAAAAGCAGAACTTGAAGTAAACTATGCTGGATGCTGAGCTTGCCCCCATTCAGCTTCCAGAATACTATAGAAAAGACATGAGTCTTCCAGGCCCAGAGTTAAAGAATCATCTGTATACTTTCCTTAACAGGGGAAAACCTGCAAACACAGCATTAGAAGTTCTCTAAATGCCTTCCAGTCAACAAGCCTCGTTTATACAGTTGGAGCTTCCAGTTGGCATTTGAGTGTTCCCAGTTAAGAATGATTTAGATAAAATGTGCAAAAGTAGAATTTGAGTCCTGTTCCTCTGTGTGTGTGTCGGGGCAGGAGGGGACATGTGTGCAAAAATGCACATGGAGGCTTGAACTTGGTACTGGTGTCTTCCTCCACTTATTTACCCAGGCAGGGTCTCCCTACAACTAGGGCTTGGTCGTTGTGACTGTCAAGCTGTCTGTCAGCTCACCCTGGTGTCCTCTGGCTTAAGACTCACCAGCCTTTCACACAGGCCCTAACACTGTTTATCACTGAACTGAGCCCCAGCCCCTGAAGCCTGTTTTAAACCAAAATTAACAGACATCTAAAGAACGTGGTAGAAAGGTGATCAAACTGTTTCCTGTCCCACAAGGAAACAAACAGACAAGGTCAACTGGAGGGAAAGTCAATGTACAAGGAACAAAACTTTGATAATAATGTAACATATTCAAGTAAAAAAAATACTTTCCCAAGGTGATGGTGCACAGCTTTAACCGCAGCACTCGGGAGGCAGAGGCAGGTGAATCTCTGTGAGTTTGAGGTCACTCTGATCTACATAGAAAGTTCCAGGACAGCCAGGGAGACACCCTGTCTGAAAAAGAAAAAAGGAATTCCAACAGACTTGAAAGGATCAGTGAGGAAAGCCTAGTGTCTAAATTGTAAGAGTTACAGAAAGAAAAAAGTGACATGGCAGAGAGGACATAGTCAAGATAAACACTAGACATTCCCAGAACTGAAAACTCTACTTTTCTTATTGAAAGAAAACCCACTGAATATTCAGCACAACAGATTAACCCGATCCACCCAGAGATACGCAGATTTAAAAGAGAAGAAAGAGCCAGTGAGTTTTCAGAGAGGAAAAAAACAATGCAAGAGTCAGAAATGATAGGAAAGCAGGGTTAGTTTAGCAGGAGATGACACAATGCCTTCAACATCTGCAGGAAATTAGTTCCAACCTCGCACTCAAGCCAGCCAAATTATAAATCAGAAGGACGAGCATAGAAGAGCGATGTACACAGGCTACTAGATCCAAAGTTACTTCCGTACATGTACCTTTCTCAGGAAGTTGCTGGAAGATATGCTCTATGAAAACAAAGGAGCAGTGATAAAGCGTGTAAACGGGATACAGAGTCCAACAGAGCAAGGTATGAAAAGGGCCTCCTGGGTAGTGGTGAAGGAAAGACCAGGTGGCAGGGGCAGAAGACCTCTGAGAGGCATCTTTTGATATTCCAAGCTGATAGAGTAATGCTTCTGAATTTCCCGAGAGTCAAGTAGTCAGTAGACTTGGGGATTGAATCAGTTGTGAGTACTGTATATAGAAAATGTAAACAAAATAATAAGACCATTGTTAACTCTAGGGATGTTTCTTTTTTTAATTTATGTTTATTGTTTTTAGCTATGCGTACTTGTGTGTGTGCACATCTGAGTGCAAGTGCCCACAGAGGCCAGAGGTGACTGCTGCCTCTGGAGCTGTAGTTACAGGTGCTTGTGAGCCCTCTGATGCGGGTACCAGGAAGCAGAGCAATGTGTGGCCTTACCCACTGAGCCATCTCTCTAGCTCCAAGAAAAAGGTTCTTGCTTAACTTAGCTTTGATATGAATATTTACTCAAAACGATTTAAATACTGATATAACTGGCATTAGGGTTTAACTCCCTAAGGCTAGGGGACTGCAAAATGGGAGGTGCTTGTGGATGTTGGTTTGGAGAGTGAACTGAAAATTCTTGTCTTTGTTAGGAAGAGAGTGATTGAAAGGGAAACGAAGTCAGAAAGCAGCAATGCAAGCATGTCATCCGATGACCAGGGATCCCGGTATCAGCGGCCGAGGCAAGAGAGTGTGAGGTTAGCTTATGTATATAGTGAGACCTCGCTTAAAAAAAAAAAAGCACTGGCTGGAGATATGGCTCAGTGGTTAAGAGCACTAGTTGCTCTTCCAGAGGACCCAGGTTCAATTCCTGGGACCCATGTGGTAGTTCACATCTGTGTGTAACTCCAGGGATTTGATGCCCTCTTCTGGCCTCCAAGGACACCAGGCATGCTTGTGGTATTAAGCTGTATATGCAGGTAAAACACCCATATGCATAAATAAAAACACAAAAGTGTTTAAAAAAGAAAGGCACTGTCAAGGCCCCTCAAGAAATATGTCCTTAATTGGGTGTGAATATTAGTACTTATGAGAGCTAGAGGCAGGAAGACCAGCCCAAGGTCATTCTTGGTTACATATGGAATTTGAGTCTTGCTGGGCTACTTGAGACCCTACCTCAAAAAAATAAAAAATGAAACCCATAGGATCCACGTGTGGTAGTGTCTGCCTATAATCCCATTACTAGAGAGACCGAAATGGGAATCTGGGCTTCATATTGAGTTCAGAACTAGCCCGATCAAAAGCCAATCCCAAAATATTGAGGGCTGGGAATATAGTTTAGTGGTGCAGTGCTTGCCTGATATTGCCTAGGTTTGCTCCCTAGCACTGAGAATAAAAAAATTCCAGGACAGCCTCCAAAGCCACAGAGAAAAACAGTCTCAACCCCTATCCCCCAAAAAAGTTAATTAGAAATCTTTTTTTTTTTTTCCAGAGACAGCATTTCTCTGTTTAGCTCTGGTTGTCCTGGAACTCACCTGTAGATCAGGCTGATCTCCAACTCAAAGATCCATGTGTCTCTCCCTCCCGAGTGCTAGGATTAAAGGCACCTGTGCCTCCACCTCCTGACTAGAGATCATGTTTCACACACAGCTGGGGTACAGGGCGGAGTTAGTCAGGGCTCAAAGTACTTCTTGCCACTCACTAAGCAGTGCGACCCTGAACAGTTCATTGAACTGGCCTGCATCTTTCTCACCTGAAACACAAGGATAACACTTACTTAATAGACCAGTAAGGATTCAGAGAGGTGGGTGGTGGTGGTGGCGCACACTTTAATCCCAGCACTCAGGAGGCAGAGGCAGGAGAATTTCTGTGAATTTGAGGCCAGCCTGGTCTGCATAATGAGTTCAAGGACAGCCAGGGCTACACAGAAACCCTATCTTGAACAGGGAAAAAGGGGTAAATGATGTGGTATTTTTAAAATTATTTATTTATTATGTATACAGTGTTCTGCCCAGGCTAGAAGAGGGCACCATGCTGCATTACAGATGGCTGTGAGCCACCATGTGGTTGCTGGGAATTGAACTCAGGACCTCTGGAAGAGCAGACAGCGCTCTTAACCTCTGAGCTGTCTCTCCAGCCCCATGATGTGGTATTTTTAAGTATGTTCTATAGTACATAGACTATGCAGGGTGGGAGATTAAATAATGTGATTTTTTAAGTATGTTTTACTGTACATAGAACATCCAGGGTATTATTTTTGAGGGCTGCCTTTCCAGTTTAAAGCAAGCAGTTAAAAACCACAGACAGGGGGCTGGCAGGTGGTGGTGCACACCTTTAATCCCAGCACTCAGGAGGCAGAGGCAGGCGGATCTCTGTGAGTTTGAGGCCAGCCTGATCTACAGAGCTAGTTCCAGGCCAGGGCTACACACACACACACACACACACACACACACACACACACACACACACACACACACACACCAACACACACACCAAAACCCTGTCTAGAAAAAGAAAAACAACAACAAAAAAAACCTAAAAAGCAAAAACACAGACTGCCGGGCATGGTGTTGCATGCCTGATATCCCAACACTTAGAGAACTAAGGCAATAAGATTACTACAAGCTTGAGGCAAGCCTGGGCTACATAACAAGACTCTGTCTCAAGAGAATGAAAGAACTGGAGAGTTGGCTCAGCAGAACAACACTGGCTTTTCTTCTAGAGGACTCAAGTTCAATTCCCAGTTCCCACTTGGCAGCTTGTCTGTCAGTAACTCCCAGGGGCTCCAACAATCACACTCTTGGTCTCAACAAGCACCAGGCACACACATGGTACACAGATATACAAGTGAAACACCCATATACAGCACACACACACACACAAATTATTTTTAAAAAACTTACAGTTATTTTACAAAGCAAAAAAGGAAATGTGTAAATCAGGAGAAGAGATAAATGTAGCCAAACTCTCCCTTTGGGATTTCTGACTCACACTGTGGTTCTGAGTGTTCTGGCCAAGCTCATTGAACACTTAGGGTTGTTAGAAATGGTGTTGCTTAGCCGGGCGGTGGTGGCACACGCCTTTAATCCCAGCACTCGGGAGGCAGAGGCAAGTGGATCTCTGTGAGTTCGAGACCAAGCCTGGTCTACCGAGCGAGTTCCAGGACAGGCTTCAAAACAATACAGAGAAACCCTGTCTTGAAAAACCAAAAAAAAAAAAAATGGTGTTGCCTGAACCATGAGTTTCGCACCTGCAGGTCTTCAACAAATATAAAGAAGCTTGTTTGCTATCTCATCTTCATGAAGAAAAGACAAATGAAAACATGTTAACGAGGAAGAAAACCTCTAATAAAAAGATGAGAAACAATAAAAGCAAAACAAAAATCTCTTCAGAGTTGAGAAACTAGAACTCTTTTTTGGTTTCTGTCTCTTCTGATTGTGAGTTCTCGAATGAAAGAAAGACACCAACTTTCCAACTCTTCCCCTGTGCAGAGACTCCGGAGTCGAACAATGGTGTGTACACGTCCTTCATGAAGTCCCATCGCTGCTACGACCTGATCCCCACGAGTTCCAAGTTGGTTGTGTTTGATACTTCCCTGCAGGTGGGTGGAGTCCCTTTCCGCCTCTACATTCCGTGGAGCCACTGGCCCAGTGCCCATCATCACGCTTCGCGCTTCCACACGTCAGCCCCTTCTTTCTCATCGCCTCAGGCTCTCTCTCTGTTGGCTATAGGTAAAGAAAGCCTTCTTTGCCCTGGTGACTAACGGTGTTCGAGCTGCCCCTCTGTGGGATAGTAAGAAGCAGAGTTTTGTGGGTAAGCAGAAGTTTCTGGCATCTTTTCCAGTCAGAGGGAGAAGTCTTGAACTGTGCTGAGGGCTCTTGTCTTGGCTTCTAGGGATGCTGACCATCACCGACTTTATCAACATCCTGCACCGATACTATAAGTCGGCCTTGGTAAGGAACCTGAGCCTTCAAAGCAAACACATCCCTACCTCTGGTCCTCGCCTGTGGGGAGAGCAAGTCTCAGACCTGCTGTTTCTGCTTCCAGGTGCAGATCTATGAACTGGAAGAACACAAGATAGAAACTTGGAGAGGTACATAGAGAATTGGAGGTTGTGAAAGATGAAGGGATAAGGAGGGTTTCCTGGGAAACACTTTTATGTGGCAGTGTTTTATGAACTGCCCCCTTTCCCTTCAGAGGTGTACCTACAGGACTCCTTTAAGCCCCTTGTCTGCATTTCTCCAAATGCCAGGTAAGTTAAGTTCTGGCTATGTGTTTATCCCTAAACACCTGAAGGTCCATGGGAGGGACTTGAAAGAAGAGAAACTTCTTCCAGTGCATACAGCCATGCTTTTTTTGTTTCGGAGAAAAGAGTCTCACATATCCAAGTCTGGCTTTGGTCTTACTGCAGAGCTCAAGCTGGCCTGAACTTAGGATTCTCCTGCCTGTCCTTGTGCTGGCATTAGAAGTACATCACTGCCCCCAGCCACATCACACAACTTTGAGTCTGTTTGAGTACTGCCCCTTCCCCTGACCATGACACTCTAAGGAACTGTACAGTTTGTCTGTAGCACTGTGGAGCCTAACTATGGCCTTCTACCTTTTCACAGCTTGTTTGATGCTGTCTCTTCATTAATTCAAAATAAGATCCACAGGCTTCCAGTTATTGACCCGGAGTCAGGCAACACCTTGTACATTCTTACTCACAAGCGCATCCTCAAGTTCCTCAAGTTGTTTGTAAGTGTGCTGTAACCCAGTTCTTATGTCTTATATGCTGGATTGGAGGCATGTAGTCAACAGTTGGGGGCCTTAAAAGTCAAGCCGAGTCAGTGTTTGGGGTACTGAGGATTGAACCCAGCACGTCATACTCTACCACAGAACTCCTTGAAAGCCAGTAATTCTTCCCTCAGATCACTGAGTTCCCCAAGCCAGAATTCATGTCTAAGTCTCTGGAAGAGCTACAGATTGGCACCTATGCCAATATTGCTATGGTCCGTACTACCACGCCTGTCTATGTGGCTCTAGGCATCTTTGTACAGCACCGAGTCTCCGCCCTCCCTGTGGTGGACGAGAGAGGTGAGAGATTGGGAAAGAAGAGGGAGAGTTTTGGGGGTCAGGTGGCTCTGGGAAAACCTGCTTTCCCCTCAGCTCAGCCTGGAGGGGTAATCCTATGGGTAGCAACAGCTTTGGCTACCAGGCTGTTTTTTTGTTTGTTTGTTTGTTTGTTTTTCTGAGCTGCCTCTGTCTCCCTAGGGCGTGTTGTGGACATCTACTCCAAGTTTGATGTGATTGTGAGTGACAGTGGAGGGGCTGGGAAGGAGGAGAGGGGAGGGATGTTGAATGTGGAGAAGGAGCAGGGGGGGCTCTTCAGTGTCAGATGCTTATACGATTTGAACCCTCTCTGGACAGTAGCTGCATGGACTGGTCGTGGCTTGTGGGCAGAGCTAAGGAGTGCCCTCAGTCCCTCTAGTACGTTGGGTTGGTCCAGGGTTTGGGAACTGGTCCCTTTTCAAGCCCATCCCCCCACCTCCAGAATTTGGCAGCAGAAAAGACCTACAACAACCTGGATGTGTCTGTGACAAAAGCTCTACAGCACCGGTCTCACTACTTTGAGGGTGTTCTCAAGTGCTATCTACACGAGACTCTGGAGACTATCATTAATAGGCTGGTGGAAGCAGAGGTAGGAAGCCGGCACCCCCTCAAGCAGCTAGTGGGGAGTGGCCTTGAGAGCGGTGTTTTCAAAGAGGTAGAGGCGAGGCGCTCACCCTGACCGAAGCTGGCACTCACATTACTTCTCGTTGTTCTGTGCCAGGTTCACCGTCTGGTAGTGGTGGATGAGAACGACGTCGTCAAGGGCATCGTGTCGCTGTCTGATATCCTGCAGGCTCTGGTGCTCACAGGTGGAGAGAAGAAGCCCTGAGCGTGGGGAGGGTCAGGCAGTGCCAGGGAAGATGCCCCTCACTGCCTCCTGGGAGCTCTGGGAATCGGGTGAAGTCCTGGAAGGACCGAGTCTGTTCCCTCAGGAGCTCCATACCCGCTCTCTGGAACTAGAGGAGATGGAGGAATGAGGAGAAAGCACTTGTAGCTTCCCTTACCATCATGTGTACATTTGAGAAAACGTTTAGCCTAGCCAGCCAATCCTAGCACCTGTGCCCTTAGACATATCCCCTTCTGGGTGGACCTTGGACTTTGTGCTTCTCAGGCAGACTTTGATCTCTAAGAGACCCCTATACCGCACTGCACCCCACCTCTGTCTCCACCCTTATTCTACCTAAGATAATGGCTTCACAAAGTCTCCTTAAAAATATTTTTATTCATCATGCTTCATTTGTGTGGAGGAGGCTGAGTCCATTTAATGTCCTTCCTTCCCATGAGTCTTGTGGGGAGGTGCATGTCTGGGTCCCTGCGCTGTTTGCATATGAAGGCAGATGGCTGTGGAGGAGGGCAGTGGGTAGGTAGCCAAGATTAATGCGTTTTGTGGCAAACCTAATTAAATGACAAGATTTTCATCATGGTATTACAGTGTTTGATTTCTATATTTGATAGACACTATCTCAATAACTTTCCCACCTCATAAAGCTGCTTCAACTCATTAATAACAACAGTAATAAAAGCATATATTCTTGATGCTGTAACTACACAGGTGTGTGGAACTGAAAGTGTTTTAGTTTTGGGAGAATTTGATTTTGAGACCAGATTTTGTACCATATGTAGATCAGGTTGGCCTCAGATTTGCAGCAATCCTTCTGCCTCTGCCTCCTAAGTACTGGGATTATAGGCACATGCTAATGCACCCAGGGTTGTAACCTGGGCATGGGGATGCACGGCTTTAATCCCAGCACTTGGGAGGCAGAGGCAGGTGGATCTCGTAGTTCAAAGCCAGCCTAGTTCACAGAGTGAGTTCCAGGGCAGTCAGGACTCTTGCACAGAGAAACAACAACAAAAACTTTGTGCATGCCTGCGTAGGTATATGGTGGCTAGAGTACAACCCTGGGTGACAGTCCCCACCTTCCACCTTATTTGACACACAGTTTTGGTTTGGTCTTCCACTTTTTTTTTTTGTTTTTGAGACATTGTTTCTCACTGGCTTAGGATTTCATCACATAGGTAAAGTTGGCTGGCCAGCAGGCTCCAAAGATTCATGGGGTTAAAAGCACATGCCACCGCCAGGTGGTGGTGGCGGCGGCGCATGCCTTTAATCCCAGCACTCAGGAGGCAGAGGCAGACGGATCTCTGTGAGTTCGAGGCCGGGCTGGACCAATAGCCTCCAAAACAATACAGAGAAACCCTGTCTTGAAAAAACAAACAAACAAAAAAAAAAACAAAAAGCACATGCCACCACATGTGTTTTTTTTATGTGGATTCTGGGGATCTAAACTCAATTCCTCAAGCTTTTGAGGCCAGTGTTTAACCAACAGAATCATCTCCCCAGCACCTTTTCCACTTCTGGCTTTGTTTGTTTTGTTGTTTGTTTTGTTTTTGTTTTTCAGCCCTGGCTGTCCTGGAACTCACTCTGCAGATCCACCTGCCTCTGCTTCCCAGGCACTATGATTAAAATAGTATGCCACCTCCACCACCACCTGCCAGCAACCTTTTCCAGTTTTATGAGAATTTAAAACTGAGACACACACTTAAAAGTTATCCCAGAGCTGGGGGGATGGTGGCACATACCTGTAATCCCAGCACTCCAGAGGCAGAGGGAGGAGGATCTCTGTGAGTTCAAGGCCAACCTGGTCTACAAAGTGAGTGCCAGGATAGTCAGAGTTGTTACACAGAGAAACCCTGTCTCAAAAAAAAAAAAAAAGAAAAGAAAAGAAAAGAAAAAGAAAGGAAAGAAAAAGAAAGAAAGGAAGGAAGGAAGGAAAGAAAGAAGAAGCTGGCCCAGAGCCACACACCTGGTAAAAAGCAAAGCTAACAGGGAAAGGTGCTTGCCAGGCAAGCTTAGTTACCTGAGTTTAGTTGCCATTTAAAGGTAGAAAGAGAGCAGTTCCACAAGGTTGTCCTCTGACCTCCACACGTACAGCAAGCATGGCATGTGCACAGACACACACAACATTGTGTCTGACTTCCACATGTACAGCATGGTATGCACATGAATAATTGTTTTTAAGGCAAAGCTGGTAGGCATGGAGGCATATATCTTTAGTTCTAGCACTTGTGAGGCAGAGGCAGACAGATCTCTTGTGCCTAGCCTGGTCAACATAGTAAGTTCCAGGTGCTACATTAGTGAGACCATGTCTCAAAAAAAAAAAACCAAACAGTATTTTCAGGACTCTTCCCAGCTTATTTCCTGTAGTTCCTCTTACCTTACTTTCCCCTCTACCCAGGGTAAACTCACTAATATGTCAGGTCTCCAGAACCTAGAGTGCTGATGAGGGTCTTTGGGCAGAGAGATCTGCCAATATCATCGGGAAAGTTGAGTTGTTTGGATTTGGCTGGACTGGTACTCTGAACTCAAAGATCCCTTTCCTTTCTTCTAAGGTAGAGTAAATCATGGAGGAAGAGAGAGAGCTTTAGTCAGCCCACCAGACCCACTGTCTGTACCAAACCCACACAGACGGGAAGGTAGCACCCAACACCACAAGGACTGCCAAACTGGGTTCCTTTGCTGGTAGGATAATTTGCATCCAAGCCAGGAGTAGGTTCTGAATAATTCCTTGGCTCGCCCTCCTCTGCCTATACCTTCAGAGGGACCTCTGCCATACTGCTCTTGTTCTTCCAAAGCAGGCTTCCTGATGGAACACAGAGAGATGGCACTTGTCAGAGGCCAGCTTTTGCAGTGATGCAGTCGCCAGCCCAGCCCCTGCTTCTGCATCCAGATTGTCAGAGCTCTCAGCACATTCCCAAGCTTGGGGGAGGGATGCTTCCAAACCATCAGAATTAGAGCATGTTTGTGTGTGGGGGGTGGGGGTGGGAAGGACAAATGTCTCCTTGTGGCACATTCCTTCATCGAGGAGGATTTGTTTAGGGAGGAGGCAAGGTTTAAAAGCTGTGGGACTCTGGCGGGACCTGGTGGAAAGCAGCACCTGGAAGTCGTCTTCAGTGCAGCTGGTAGGTGCAAGGAATCATAAGGGGGAGTGGATGGGGCCACAGAGCAGGTGGGTTTACTTGCCTCTTTCTCAGTGAGTCCTGTCTCAGCCCTGTAACAACCCTTTTGGTCCATGTCCCCTTAAAAAGAAGTCTCTGTACCCAAATGTTCCATGTACTTTTCTGAGATACAAACTGGGATCTCTTGTTCCTCCCATTTACCCCCTAACCCCCCCCCCCCATCAAGTCTCCATCTCAGGACAGTGCTGAAGACACAAGGGATACAATTCGGGAGCTCCCAGGCTTCTGTTCTTAAAAGTCAGGAGAAGCAATTGGTCCCTTCTTTCTCAGAAGCCATTGCCACCCTCTCTTCCCCCTCCCTGCACCCCTCCCCTCCACTGAGCTGCTGCCATGGTTGCCAGGCATGGTTGCTAAGTCTCTGCATGGAAGGGTTGGCGTGGGCTGTGCTGCCACTAACATTACCATGGTGAATCAGGGGACACCTGGTACAGGCTTAGGGGGAGGAATCCTGAGGATGCAAGCAACAACCCCCCAGAAGAGAGTGAGCCCAAAAGGTGAGCTGCACTTGAGGGTGGCCAAGTGAGCTAGACAGTCTTGAGTGGAGCCCCATCCTAGGAAGAGAGGCCACTCTTCCTTTCTGTTGCTAGGGGATTTAGCTGTACCACAGGAGCACACCATTCTTCCTGCATCCCCCTGTTAGGGTACAAGTGTATATAAGCACTCTATCTGCACCCCACATAAGGGCTGGTAGAGCTGTGTGGGCACAGAACTGTGTGATCCCAGAATCCTGACTTCAGGGTTCCGGGAGCCAGCATGCTCAAGGGCACCAATATCTAGAGTGTGAGTTGTCCTGCTGCTTAGGTGACCAGGACAGACTGAGTTCTACCTTACACACCAGCAGAGAAAAAGAAAAAGATGAGGAAGCAGGAGCCACCTTTGGCGGGGGGGGCGGGGGGCGCTGGGGAGCAGCTGTCCCCCAGAGTTGCACAAAAGCTTCCTGAAAGCGACCGCCTCTTCTCTCCACTGCTTGAACTGGTTACTCATCTCATCCGCACCCGAATGCCACTGACGCCAAAAATAGCCTGCCCCCCCAGCTGTGGGCCAGCCTCTCCTGCACCCCAGCCCCATGGAAACCAGCAGAGAGTGGCAGGCAGAGACCTTGAGTTCTCTTCTTACCACTCCCTGTCGGAGAACGGAGTCCAGGCAAGCAGGCAGGCAGCGAGCGATCACTGGTGGTCAGGCAACCTGACAAGCAGGAAAGCAAAGGGTTAAAACTTCGGGAATGGTGTAGAAGTGGGGGCTGGAGGAGGGGGCACAGTAAGCTTGGTAAGAATCAGAAGTCTCTCCCCACCCCCACCCCCCACCCCCGTCCATTTCGCGGGTCCCATCAGGCTTGGGGGACCTGAGCAGTGGGAAGGGGCGTCCAATCCCAGGCCCCAGGGGGCGGCCGTGTACATGGGGGAGGTAGCAGTGCGGAGCCGTCCACGGCAGCGTGTCACATGCGCGCGCGCCCGCGCGCGAGCACACACACACACACACATACAGGCAGGCACACACGTGTGCCCGGGTATATATAGTTGCCAGTCCCTGGGCCTGCCGCTCTGCAGTGGGCGCCGGCTCCCTGGGTTGGGAGGGGGCTCACGGGGCGGGTGGGAGGGTGGGGGGCCGGGGTGGGGTGGGGCAGGATGCTGGATGGCCCGTTATTCTCCGAGGGGCCCGACAGCCCCCGGGAGCTCCAGGATGAGGAGTCGGGCAGCTGCCTCTGGGTGCAGAAGTCCAAGCTGTTGGTGATTGAAGTGAAGACTATTTCCTGTCATTATAGTCGTCGCGCCCCTTCTCGACAGTCCATGGACATCCAGGCCAGCTACTGGGCCCGTGGGCCCCAGAGCCGCACGTGAGTGAAGGAGGGGGGTGAGGGGCAGCAAGTGGTGGGGCGGGAAGTGGGGTCCAGACCTTCCTGCTGGCACCAGCGATTACTGCGGGCCCCTTCTCTTTCCCGCGCCTTCCATCCCCCACTCGTCGAGGACTGGGGCCTGACTGTTTAGGGGGACAGAAGAGGGAGTGAAAGGGGGCAGGAGGTGAGATGGGGCAGTCGCTGTTGAAGTGTGCATGGAGAGATGGCGAGGAGTCTCATTTTGACTTCAGCCCCAACACCTATGCACGTGCACTCGCACACACACTCACGCGTACCCTCCCACATGGCTGCCCCAAGTGGTCTCCAGTACTCCCAGCTCCCCGGGCCTCGGCTCCCTTTCCCCGCAAACTGCTCACCTGGGTTCCTGCTCATTGTCCCAGGTGTAGGCTGCGCCCGGGATCCCCTGAGCCGCCACCCCGCCGACCCTGGGCCACCAGGGTGCTGCAGGAGGCAACCAACTGGCGGGCGGGGCCCCTCGCCGAGGTCCGAGCCCGAGAACAAGAGAAAAGGAAGGCGGCGTCGCAGGAGCGGGAGGCCAAGGAGACCGAGAGAAAAAGGCGCAAGGCTGGCGGGGCCCGACGGAGCCCCCTAGGTCAGCCCCGCCCAGAACCCCGGAACGCCCTTCGGGCGGCCCAACCAACAGGGTTCCCAGTTTTCTCCAGACCAGAGCGCTTCGGACCGGTGGGGCGAGCGCCCCGTCCATCCGCGCTCCAGCAGAGTGACCCAGGGGTGGCATGGGCAGGGCCATGGGGAGGTAGGAGACCAGGGCCCCCTAGCTACGAGGCTCACCTGATGCTGAGAGGTGCTGCAGGCACAGCCCCAAGACGCCGGTGGGACCGGCCGCCACCCTATGTGGCTCCACCTTCTTATGAAGGCCCTCACAGAACCCTGGGGACTAAACGAGGCCCAGAGCTCTCCCGGGCGCCCACCTCATCAGCCCCAGTTCCAGCCACGGCCAGGACAGAGGGAGGGCGAACGAAGAAGAGGCTGGATCCTCGAATCTACCGGGATGTTCTAGGGGCTTGGGGTCTCAGACAGGGACGGGGACTCTTAGGAGGAGCTCCAGGCTGTGCAGCAGCCAGAGCCAGGCCAGAGTCCTTCAAAGGGGCGATAGAAAGAAGCTCGGGCCTAGCTGCTGCTGGCCTGAACAGTGGTGGTGACGGCCATCCCCAAATCAAAGCGACTGGCAGTCCAGACACCGAGGCAGCTCCCGCTGGGTCTAAGATCCGCAGCCCGCCATGTCCTGCTCCTAGGTCCAGGCAGCACCTCAAGGGCTCCAGGGAAGGGAAAGAAGGAAGTGAACATGTCTGGCTTCCTAAGTGTTGGCTTTCCTCCCTTAAAAAGCCTCTAGTTAGGCATAGCCAGACTCTCCCCAGACCTTGGGCTCCTGGAGGCACCGGGTGGAGGGAATCCCTTGGTCAAAGAGAGGGGACAGAACATGAGACCCTGGAAGTTTGGAAGGCGACCCGCCGCGCCCACACCCTGCCCCGCAGTTCCCGAGGCCCCTCTCGTAGAGAAGGCATCTTTGTCATCGATGCCACGTGCGTGGTGATAAAGTCCCAGTATGTTCCGACCCCTCGAACCCAGCAGGTGCAGCGCTTGCCCTCTGGGGAGCCAAGCATTGTGAGCAACAGCCCCAGGCAACCCAAGCCCTGCCACGAGGAGGGTGAGGGGGTCACTGCCAATCCCTCAGCTTGCCAAAAGCTACCGTTGAGCATCTCAAACCAGGCGGGTGGGGGTCGCGAGTGCGAAGCTGAGAGAGGACAGCAGGGGGATTCTTCTCTGGAGGACCGCACCTCCCGCACTTTAGGGTTCCCTGTCGGCGAAGTGACCCTACGAGACGTCGTCCCCACGCAGCCAGGCAGCCCTGAGCATCCGACCTTAGGCCCAGCGGCTCCGGGATGCGCGGGCATCTTGAAGGGCTCAGAAGCGGCTGGGGTCCTGCGGCGCGCGGGCGGGGGCTGGGCGCGGACTCCTGGACCCTACGCAGGGGCGTTGCGGGAAGCCGTGTCCCGCATCCGCCGCCACACTGCCCCGGATTCGGACTCAGACGAAGCTGAGGAGCTCAGCGTCCACAGTGGCTCCTCTGATGGAAGCGACACAGACGCCCCAGGCGCCTCCTGGCGGAATGAGAGGACCCTGCCTGCGGTTGGAAACACCCGGCCCAGGGAAGGCGGGAAGACAGCTGAGCCCAGCGACAGTATCCGGGAGGTTCTAGATGTCTAGTCAAACCGAGGAAGGCCTCTTCGGAGAGGACACCAGGAAAACGCCGCAGGGGAAAAGAGAGAGAGAGTGAGCGATGCCCCTTTTGTTCTCCTGTGGCTCGGCCCATCCTTGGGCTCACCTTTCTCCTTTACTCTCTACAGGCTTCCCTTTTTCTTCTTTCCCCACCTATACCTGTTCCCACACTTGAAACAGAGGAAAGGAAAGGAGAGAGACGCCAGGCAGCACTCGCCAATTCAAGGATTAGCTTCAGGGGAGATGAGGGTAGGATTCGACCTCTGCTACAATCAGCGCTTCCCAGAACTGAGCAGAGGCAGTCTTAGTCAGGTCAGGGTCCCTGGCAGGAGAAAATAAAAAAAGTAATGAAGAGGCCTTGAACCTAGTGACTGAGTGATCAGGTGACGGGGGAGAGGGGGCGGCTTTGGGCAGAGAAGGAATGGATGCATATACAACCAGCAAACTGGAAAGAGGGCTCAAGTTTCAGTTCCTACTCTGCCACTGACTTGCCGGTGGACCTTAGACTAACCGTGTTTGCACCATTTGCCCGCAAGCATCCGGATTCCTGCAAATGTAAAATGAGCGATCTCTGCCACCCATTCTTCCTTCCCTGGAATTTTGGGAACAAATGAATAGAATTTGAGTCAAGGTTTTCAGATTTAAATGGACAAAGGGCTTCTATCCCAATCTCCCAACTTTAGGTGAGTGCTTCCCGAGGCAGAGCAGGATGATGGCCCTACCACTGCGTCTGGCCTGTGGTGGGTCAAGTTGGAGAGGGAAGGCAGTCAATGAATCAGCTTGGGACATTTTTAGGCCTTCCCCTTTTCCTCCATCTCCGTGTCCTCAGTGATGCTCTGAAATGTTGCCGGGATTCCCCACGCAGGCGGTATCGCCCACCTGATGGGACCCCCGACAATGTCTGCATCTCTCCTAGAAAAGCCAGGCAAGGAGGAAGGCTGGTCTTCAGCAGTCGGTGTGGGGTGTGATACTCGCTGGAGCCACTACGGGGCGCGCGCAGGTCGCGGATTCCCCCGGTTGCTGGTGCTCGAGTGCCCCTACACCAGCACTGCCAGTTATCTGGATCCCCAGTTACCGGGCGCCGGTTTCCCGCCTTGACACCTCCAAGCCGCCGCGCGCGGGGCCGGGAGCAGGCCTCCGGTCTCCCAGACCTCTGGGGCGCGCCGAGCCCTTCTTTGTATTGACCCCACGCCAACAAGCTTAAGACTGACGTTTACGTCTTTTTTTTTTTTTCCCTCTCCAATCCTGGGCACTTCCTCTGTGTCTGCCATTTACTAGCCATGTGACCTTTGGCCAAATCACTTCACCTCCCTGAGCCTCAGTTTCCTCATCTGTCAAATGGGGGTTTATAAACACCTACCTCGCAGGGTTGTTGTGAGGATTTAATGCGGTAATGTATATAAGGCGCCTTGTACAGTGCCTGGCACATAGTAGGCGCCCAATAAAACTACTCTTCCCTTTATGCAGCTCTGGATTCTCTCTCTCTCGCTGACCCAGCCCCACCTGCCCCTCCCTGGGGCTTCTCGACTTCTTCCCAGTCGCTGTGGGGGAGGGGGAAGGACTCCTCTCTGGTGGAAACTTCTGGCCCAGCCTGTCTCCCTGGCTGGGACTCTCCCTTTCTTGCCCACCGCCCCACCCCTGCCCGCTCTTTCCTCTGCCCCGTGCACTCCACCCCCCACCCCCCATTCCGGGCAAGGGCTGAGTCAGCCTAGGTAAATTTAGCCTCCGGCTGGGCAGAAGCGGGGGCTTTGCCCAGAGTTGGTCGCCAGGTTGAACCCATCCCCTGGCCCCTCTGTCCCTACTCCCATTGAATCCCGCCAATCCTGACTCCCGCAACTCTTTAGACCGCTCTCAAACCGCTTACGCTTTCAGTCTCCAATTAGCTTGACTTCATACCCAGGGAGACTCAGAGACAGGATGCTGCGGAGGGGGTGGGGGTGGAGGGCTCCCAGTTCACAGCCAGCCGCTCGCCTTCGCCTTGATTCAGCAGAAGAGGGTCTCCCTTTCGGGTTTCCCAAGTCTAAGGGCGGCGTTCACTGGTCAGAGCTCCCCAGGAATATCCACCGGTCACCCTGTCTGTAACCTACACATTTCCTGTTGCTCTTGGTGGAGCAGGCCAAGGAGTCCAGGTTACCTTGGGCAAAGATCAAAGATACCAAAGGTCTTACCACTTTCCCACTGCAGTTCTAACTGCTGCCAAGTCTAACCTAGCATTTATTGAGCACTCGCTAAGAACGAGTCCCTAGGTTGAGCTCAAGAGTAGAAATGGCAAGGCCTGCCTGGTACTGTGATAAAGACAAAAATAGGAAGTACTGGGCTCTCGTGTTAAGTTCCGGAGGGAGCCAATCAAGGGAGACCCGAATTTAATGAGATCCAGGGAGAGTCCATAGAGGAGGTGACAGTTATATAAAAATTAGAAAGGAACCCAGGTGGCGGCACATGCCTTTAATCCCAGTACTCAGGTGGCAGAGTCAAGTGGATCTCTGGGTGTTCAAGGCTAGTATGGTCTACAGAGTGAGTTCCAGGCCATCCAGGCAAAAAATAAACATATATTTCTAAAAGAGAGAAAGACATCCGGCATGGCGGCACTTTCCTGTAAACTTGAGGCAGAGGCAGGAAGATGGTTAGAAGTTTGAGCCCAGCCTGGTTTACTTAGTGAATTCCAGCCCAGCCCAACCCAGCCCAGCCCAGCAAGATCTGTCTCCAAAAAAGAAGGGGCCAGGGAGCGCAATCCATCCCTGGGAGAGTAAGGTTGGAGGGTGGCTCAGAGGTAGTATGCTGGCCTAGAATACACAAAGTCCTGAGTTTGGCTCCTGGCATTGAAAAAGATAAATCCTAGGTTAGATAACAACCACCACCCCTTTCAGCGCAGGGAACATTTGGGCATTTAGTGTATCAGGGCAACACATGCCTACTTTCAGAGCTTGCCAAAGATGAAGTCAGAGCCAGCTGCTGAAGTTCTGGGAGAAGAGAGCGAGGAGAGGGATGACTTCAGGTTTCAGGGCTAGACCCTGGTAAATAGTATCTTAGGCTGTCCCCACAGGGCCCTGTGGGTGGCAGGTTAGAGACTCCCTGCTGTGAAAATGACTTCTAAATCTAGCTGTGTCTGCCAGCCACCCAGCCTCCTGAAGAAGAATGGCACAACCACCCCCTCCCTGGAACTGCCTTCCTGACCAGGAGAGAAGGCAACAGGTGCAGGAGGGCTGCTCGATTGGGGGCAACAGATCTTAGATTAACGGGGACCCCATGACTCCCCCCAGAGTCAAGGTCTCCCTGGAAGCATTTTCTGGCCCACCTTTCTGTCATACTTGATAAGGCACTAGGGGAGCCAGGAATTCTGTCCTTTTCAGACTTGGGAGAACTCTGAGGTGTCCCAAGGTTGGCAAGGAAACCAAGACACAGGCTGTAACTGCGATGCCACAGAGATGAGTGGTGAGGATGTGTTCTTGAGGGAGGAGAGGGGAACTGGAGAAACTGCTGGACACAGGGAGGGACTTGGGATGTGTGCACAGAGTGTCCATGGAGGGCAGGATCCCGTTCTGTCAGTAATTATTCATTTGTGCACTTGCCCATTCACCATGTGTGCCAGGGATGCAGAGGAGAGTCAGGTGTGTTTCTGTCTTCAGGGAACTCACTCATACACTAAAACTGGAGCAGAAGAGAGGAGATTATCACGGTGCCTGTGCAAGGATGACATTCAGATCAGTGAACCCGCCCAGAGTTTAGAAGAGAAGAAGGGGGAGGAGGATAGGCGAGCACAACAGAGGGACAAGTCCTTGACTTGGACTTACAGGGAATGAGAGTACATCCATGAATGCCTCTGGGAGACAAGTTTCCAAGGTTACATGCATTAGCGGGGAAATTTTAAGTTATGTGCTGTCCCTGCCTCTGCATGACACGGCATGGGGCAGGCTCCCTTTCTGAACCACCTTGTATTAGCTAGGATTTGTGGGTCATTTGTGGATGGATGCTGCATTCATGCATCCCACCTACCCATTTACCAATCTATGCACCAACTCACCCGTCATCCATCTGAGCACCTCTCCACATCCCTCTATCCATACATCTATTTCATCATTTCATGAGGGCATATGATGCCCCTTCTCGGAGCTGGAAAAAGAGCCTGTGTCCTCAGGCATGCAGAGGCCTGCTCAGTCGCATACATGGTGGCTGTCATGAAGAAAAGCCCCACCAGCACAGCATTTCAAGAGCTCAGACAGGCAAAGGCACTCTGCCAAGGGAAACATGGAATGGTCTCCTTGGGGGTAAGGATGTTTGAGGCCGTTCTCACTGAGATGAGGGAAGAGGTACATCCAGAGTGTAAAACATGGCTTCCACCAACAGCTTAGAGAAGGTGAGAGCAAAGCCTGTGGTTTTCACCAGGGGCAGTGGCATGCACCTGTAGCCCCAGTTACTTGGGAATACTAAGAGTGGAGATCTCTTGAGTCCAGGAATTCGAGGCCATCATGGGAAAAACATTGAGACCCTGCCTCTGACCAAAGAGGATCTGGAAGAGAGATGATGCATAGTTTTGAATGGGGAATACCTTACTGTATTTTAGTGCTGAACATTTTCCTGAATTTTGGTTGTGACACCTTTGCCGTGTTTTCTCTTCTTGGTTTGTTTTAGTTTTGTTGTGGTGGTGGTGTGGTGTATTTGAGACAGGGTCTCACTAGGTAGCCTAGGCTTGCCTAGAACTTTCTATTTAGACCAAACTGGCCTTGAACTCCCAGAGATCCACCTGCCTTTGCTTCCAAATTGCTGGGAGTAAAGGCCTGTGCCACCATTTGTTGATTTAAAATTTTTTACTTATTTTTATTTTGTGGGCATTGGTGTTCTGCCTGCATGTATGCCTGTGTGAGAGTGTCAGATCCTCTGGAACTGGAGTTACAGACAGGTGTGAACCACCAGGTGGGTGCTGGGAATTGAACCCGGCTTCTCTGGAAGAGCAGTTGGTGCGCTTGACCGCTGAGCCATCTCTCCAGGTCCACCTTTTTTAAATTTTATTACTGTTTGAATTTTGCTGCTATGTGAGGTACTTAAGAGTTGTGTTTGATTCTGCAGCTCCTAAAACTTGGCATGAAACACGTCCTCCAAAAAGGTTGGTGTAAGAAGGGGATAATGAAGCCTGGGGATGTAACTCTGTTGACAGAGTACTTGTCTACCATGCACAAAGCCTTGCATTTGGTCCCCAGAACTCTATAAACTGGGCATGGCTGCCCCAGCAATCCTAGCACTCAGGAGGTACAGGCAAAAAGGCCAGGTATTCACCGGCATCCTCAGCACATGGGAAACTTGAGGCCCCACTCTGGGGTGCACGATACACCACTTCCAAACAATGGAGGGGTGATGTAAAATAAAAAACAGTAAAAGCAACACTGCCATGACAACTTGGCATAAAGGAGGGTGGCTGCCCAGACAGACATGCCTGCAGCTTTGCTTCTCAGCTAGTGCCTCAGGAAGCTCTCCCAACATCTACCACGAGGTGGCGCTGTTTGAACTTTCGCTCTGAGATCTACCAGTATCCTTAGGGTTTCAGATGGTCAGTTGCCCATCCAGGACAACTGATGATCTAGATATCTCTTTCTACCAAGTACTAGATGAATGAAGATACTGAGGACAGCTGTTTTTTTTTCCTTTTTTTTTCTAACGGTTTGTTTATTTATTTATTGATTGTGTGGATGGTGTTCTGTCTGCATGTATCCCAGCAGACCAGAAGAGGGTACCAGATCTCTCTATAGATGGCTGTGAGCCACCATGTGGTTGCTGGGACTTGAACTCAGGTTCTCTGGAAGAGCAACTAGTGCTCTTAACCTCTGAGCTATCTCTCCAGCCCCCGTGAGGACAGCTGTTTAAGATTTGGCAGACCTCAACTTCTATGCAACTACTGGCTTGACCTATCCTGTCATTCCAGGTATAATATTAGATAATATTAGGATCTTGTAAAAACAACAATAACCAAAACATAATTTTTGCCCTCAATGATCTCATAACCTAGTCTTATTCAAGTCTTTCCTTTTTATTTTCTATTAAACACACACACCTATCACACAAGCACATATGTGTGTGTACACAACACACATGTACACCCACACACGTACACACACACATGCACACCCACACATGTATAAACACACACACACACACACACACCTGCTCCCCAGGACCGATCCCCTTGACTCAGAAAGCCATCTTCATAGGCCATCTATTCTTTGGGACTACTCACACATCTAAATTAGTTTTTTTCTTGAGCTTGGGGTTCCAGACACTTAACAACCATCACACTGGGGAATATTCTGGCTCTGGATTGCTTCTTCCCAGGATGACTCTTCACCCTGACACAGCCTTCTTGTACTTTCTTTTTTTCTTTTCTGTGGCTTTGGAGGCTCTCCTGGAACTAGCTCTTGTAGACCAGGCTGGCCTCGAACTCACAGAGATCCGCCTGCCTCTGCCTCCAGAGTGCTGGGATTAAAGGCGCCCAGTCTTCCTGTACTTTCTTCTCCAACATACCCACAGCCACTCTGTCTGCTCTGGTGGTTTCCAGGACCTCTTCAGAGTACTCTTAGTAGGGGATAGCATGCTTCCTAACACTCTAGAGTCCTGTAGGCTGCAGGGGCACCTTGGTGCCATCTACCCAGAAAGGAGAGTGCCAGCTTGGCTGTGGCTTGAGGGCTCTGCCTGACAAATTTGTCTGCTCTCTTTTCTCACCTACTTTAGAAGAACCAGGTTTCTCCTCGACACAAACCCATAGTGGTGGTGGTTTTGGGAGACAGTGCATGAATGTGGAACTTTGTGGAACATTGTCCACTTTCCCAACATGCTCCAGGGTCCATCTTAGCCCTTGGAGCGTTTTGGAGAGGAAGGGAGGGAGGGTTGGTGCCGAGAGTGGGAGCCAGGCCCATCGAGGTCCCGAGAGTGAATGCGGCATTGTTGGCCAGGCCAGAGTCACAGATAATTACCTCAATTAGTGACAATGGGAGAGTAATAAATACAGGCTTAGTGTCTCCTACCCCACCAGGGCTCCGAAGATTAATCCAGGCTGACGGGCGGGCCCTGAAAGGCGTGATGGACAATTCATTAAACTCCCCAAATGCCGCACAACCTGGGCGTGAAGGCTGAGTTAGCCCCCTGGGGGCTGCGCCTTTGTCCTGATTGTATGTCTCCGCCACGGCAGAGCCGAGCAGCCCCCAGAGAGCCGGGAGGTGAGTGGGGCTCCCTGAGCCCGGCCAGGCGGAGGGGGGATTAGGCCTCGGTCTGGCCCTGGTTGCCCTGGCATACTGGCCCGGCCTGACAGGAATGTCCGTCGGGGGGAGCGGGCCGAGCGGAGGGGCGGGGTCGACAAGGTGGAGTAAGGGGGGCACACAAAACCAGGGGCAGGAGGAGTTAATTAGACGCCAGCCGAGGAGGGCGAGGGGCCACAATAGGGCTGAAGGGCCGCCAGGGACGGCCCCTTCACTTCCGAGGATTAATAGGGAGGAGGGAGAAGGGAGGGGTTCAGTCCTGGAAGAGGAGGGCTGCCCCTCTTGCCTAGGTGGGCACCTGCTTATCAAGTGTCTGGGTCGGTACCCTCAGCATCCCACAGAATGGCTCTCCCTTCCTGCGTGCTGGAACACTGCAGTCATGGAGAGTATCTTGTCTTGTCTGCCAGGAAAAGCAGAGGAGCCAACGCATTGAAGGGTCTTATTCTCAGCCCATTTTCCCCAGCCGCTCTTATGGCCCACTCTGAGACAGTGGTTATGCTACACAGCCAACCTCACTACCCCTAAGAGGCCACCAAGTCAAAGGCAGAGAACCCTGGATGCAGACCAGGCTGGAGCTGTTCCGAGCACACAGGAATGGAATGAGTGTGCACTTGTGACAGCAATTGTGTGTGCACACCTCGGGAAATGCCTGCTGAGGGAGTGAGTGAATGAATGAATGAATGATTGAACTATGAATGAATGAATGATTTCTTAAGGGTGTAAGGAAAGAAGCAGCCCCAGGGTACACCGTGACACTGGATGGCTGACTGAGTTCTTTCATGCTGAGGGAGGGTGGGGAACCCCATGTATGAGATAAAAAAATATCCAAAAGTACCTGCACTATCTGTGGTACATTCACCTGGGAAAAGGTATAAACAGACAAATATTGCAGTAGCTGGTCGGATGTCCCATTTCCTCCGGGCCTCAGGGAATAGGGCAGCCCTGGCTCCTCCCAGGTGCCACCCCACCCTACCCCCTCCCAGGGGATGACAGGGGAGCGAGTTGGCGGCAGTTCCCTGGGCATATTTATAACCTGCTGCTCTCTCACCAACCCAGTGTGTCTGCTTTTAGCCCAGACGGGGGAGGGGGCAAGGGGGTGGTCTGTCTCATGCCGGGCCCTGGCTGGGTGTGGAAAAAGTGAGTGAGGTGAGTGGTGGGCAGCCCTGCATGGATATTCCTGCTCACACCACAGCCAAACAGCTTATTTTCTCCTCGTTTTGTTATTTTTCTCCCTTGGGCTTGGAGGACAGGACTGAGCCTGCCTGGGGCCATAGGGAAGGGGGGTTGGACCCTAGGGTATTTGCAGCCCCACTGACAGGGTTTTTCCAAGGTGCAAGGGGCAGGGTGCTCATGGAGTCAGCTCGCTGACCCCCAGGGACTGTGCAGTCTGCTGTCTTGGTCTTCTCAGCTTTTCCATCACCCCTGGGATATTTCAGGACTAGTCCCTGCAGCACTTACTGAGGTCAGCTTTTATCCAGGCCCTTGCCAGTCCCAGTTCCCCCTGGTGTGTATTTGTGTGGCACCTGAAGGTCAGGAGTGGGTGGAGGTTGCAGGAAGATTCCTCAGGCACATTCCCGATGACTGCCATCACCCAGGGGTTTGGGCCCTGAGACTCTTTCTAGGCACATCCCTCACCTGACCCCCAACCCATTTCAGAGTGGGAGTAGCACAGATAACACAGGTAACACACAGCCCCTTTACCTCACCTCCACCAAGTGCTGGGGATCAAACCCAGGACCTCACACATGCTCTATTGTCAAGTTACACTCCCAACCCTTTTAGTTGAAGTTTTTCATTTTATTTGTGCGTTCTGTTAGGACTCAGCCTTATTCTGCATTTTACTAGGGCAGCATTCTTCCAAATTCCAGCCCTTGTATGAGAGGAGGGTTTGCTGTGCTGAAGGCTGAGGTACCGGACTCTGTCCTCAGATTCCCTCCCTGTGCATGCAGAGGGCCTTTCCCTGTAACTCTCTCTCTCTCTCTCTCTCTCTCTCTCTCTCTCTCTCTCTCTCTCTCTCTCTCTCTCTCTCTCTCTCTCTCTCACACACACACACACACACGTGCACACATGCTATGCCGACAGTGTTTGTTGGTGTAGTTGGTTCGCTGACTGGATCCCTGGCTTGCACATCACCATACTGCCTGCATTTGACATATGGCTGGTACAGAAAAGGTATCAATGATTGTCCACACAACCAAGCCATCACAAACACTGTCACATGTAAACCTTACCACTTGCTTAAAAGGACAATGAAAACTATTCCCAATTAATAGTCAAGGCAATGGACACTGAGAAGGCAAGAAATATGCTGAATACTTATTTAGGAATTCACAGAGAGAGGGGGGAGGGAGGGAAAGAAAATAAAAGCTTTTCTTCCAATTCCTGCAAGTCAGCTCACCTCAGTTTCCAGGTGCACAAGTTCCAATTCCTGGAGTTAGGAATTAGATGGGTGTGATTGGAGATGGCCTGGGTCCCCCCATCCTGTTACTTCTCCCTGACACTGGGCACTGTCAAGCAGTGGCCCAAGCTTACACACACACACACACACACACACACACACACACACACACACACACACACCCTGGGACAGTCCAATAATTTATTACTTAGGAATAGTTGGGAAGCTAATAGCTTTCCTTGGATTTGGCTCTTCTCTGCTGGAAGCCCTTCACTGGAAACCCAGGGCCTTTTAGATGCCTGCTATCTAAAGTTGGATCCAGTCTTCAGACCTAGATGGTGCTGGCTTTGCCAATGGAAAGGAATGTCACTTCAGGGTTGGGCAGGCCTTGAATCTACTTCCTTATGCACAGGCAGAGCTCAGACCCAACTTGGGGTCATCGTTCACACCCTCCAGGGAGAGATGGTAGCCTACAAAGACAGCAAAGGACTCTGGAAAGAGAAAGAAACTCCCAAGTTGGCTGAAACCAGTTATTGCTCTTGCAAAGATGGGTGTTCTGGTAACTTCCTTCTTTCTGGCAATCTTTTGTAGGGAAAGGGGTTATGGTGAAGAACAGACCTTAGAGTTTAGGTAGGAAGGACTAATGTTCCCTTAGGCAGGGCTACAGGTATGGTTTAACAAGGAAGACAGGATCCAGGATCCGAGTCAGGTTGAGTAGTGTTAGCAGGCTTTCTATCCTGCTGACTGGTGACTGTATGAGCAGAGGTATCCTGCGGGTGCAGTTAATAAAGGAATCCTCATTCTGGGTCTTTGTGGGAGGTGCTAGCTTAATGATTTGGCTGTGAACCAATCACTCTTGAGTTTCTTTTTGGTTGTGCTACTAAGGCTCACTCTTGTTTTGATGCTAGAGTCTTTTGCACCTTTCTTCTTTCCTGCTGGAGTCTGTAAGTTTTCTGACCCAGGTCTCGGGCCCACGACTTGTTAGCTGGATGTTTCCTCACCTCAAGGCTAGAGTTGGGGTGCTCATAAGTCTTGTACAAGGGTGTAGGATATGTGCCAGACCCCAACAAAGAGGACATCTGCTTCAGGGACAGCAACATCGTTTCTGCTTGGGCCTTTCTTGCTTTTGTTTTTACATGATGTTTCTTTTGTTTTTAAATAAATGATGGTCACAGCCATCGTTTCATTGTAGCTATTTTCCCAACTCTTTCAGGTAGGAGAAGTTTACTGTTGGTCTGTTTAATCCCCATCAAGTCGGCATATTTGTCCTCAAACAGCTGCTAGAACAGGATGTGAGCCCTACACGGGCTCCTGGGCAAGCATCTCTCTCAGGAGACCTGGATCCCTAGTGGCCTCAGTTAGGGTCATCCAAGGGTCAGAATCTCAGAGCTGTCTTTCAGGGCCGGGAAAAGAGTTCTTCAACAATATATCTCTTATATTTGGTTAGGAAAAATAAATATCCTGGAGGGGAAGAGAGCACTGTAAACCATGCTGTGCTCTGGATTCAAGGAGCAGAGTCATTGATAAAAATAGCGATTTTATTCTTCAGAGAAAGATACATTGGTGGGGGCGAGCCACTGATAGCTACAGGGGAAGGGAATACTGATCCAGTGGGCAGGGGCATCTTTGAGAAACCGGGTGGAAGAAAAAAGGTTGGATGGCAACAGGGCCGAGGGCAGAACAGGGGAGTGGGGGTGAAAGTGGTCTCTGTAAGTCAGGCTGGAACCCAGCACAATAAATAGTTTTATTTACATAACCGAACTCGTGGCTTTGTATCCACATTTCAGTGCAAATTATTTACACGCTGATGAGGAGGCTGGACAGGAAGGGGTGGGAGGTGGCTGAGGGAGGCCTGGTTCACAGCTGTTCAGTGGCTCCATATCAGGGACTAGGAGAATGGAGGCTTTTCTGTGGGGTTTCCTAACCTCATTTCCCACATCATCACAGCCGCCCTTCCACCTTGGAACGTCTTAACTTCAGCTAAGGGTGGGCGGGGAAAGGCCTTGATGCCCAGGTGAGTTGGTGAGAATGGAAGGGGCCTGTCTGTAGGGACTCGGAGAGGATGGAAGCAAAGGGGGAGACAGAGAAGTCACTGGCACAATACAGCAGGGACTACAACACCTCCTAACTGACCCCTGGCCTCCCCCAGGAGAAGAGGAACCCTCTTCTCATCCCCTGACCAAGTAGGGGGCAGTGCAACAAGGGGTCTCCCACAAAGAGGGAGGGAGGTAGGTTGGGGCAGGGCCCTCAGGATGGCAAAAGGGTTCGTCTCAGACAAGTGGTTTAAGGAGCCCGCAGGTAGGAGGTGGGAAGAGGAGATGGGTCGCTAGGAGCCTCGGGAATGTGATTGGAGGCGCTAGGGTGAGTCTTGGGTGCCAGAGAGTTTTTCAGGGGAGAGCTGAAAATGAAGGAGTTCCCGGACGCAGGCGCAGGGCCTCACAGACACTCGTGCAGTACGCGCGTGTGCGTGCAGTTGCGGCAGCTGACATGGCAGCACCAGTGGAAGGTGCAGTTGCAACGCTCCGTGACGCGCTGCGTGCGCGTACGGTGGCCCCGGCCACAGCACAGTAGCTCGCAGCCGTCCAGCGCTGGTGAAGAGCTATTGCAAGCACGCCCAGCTGTGCCGGCTGTGCCCAGGCGTCCACTGTATGTGCAGAAGTTGGGCGATTTCTCGAAGTAGACAAGGTCATGAGGGGAGGGCGGCTTGTGCGCAGGGTCTTCTGGCTCTAGGCGCAGCAGCTCCGCCCGCGAAGCGCGATTGTTGCCCCGGTTGCCATAAAGGACGCGGGAGGCGCCGTCGAAGCGGTCGCGCAGCACGTCGCCCACAGTGCGCAGCGTGGGCAGCCGCATCCAACACGTGCGCACCGTGCAGGAGCCGGACATCCCGTGGCATTTGCACTCCTGGCGCATCTCAGAGAACACGGTCTGGGGGAGGAGGGAAGGAAACAGGGTCAAAGCCAACATCCCACATACCACCACCGTCACACCCCCACCCCACCCCCAACGTGTGGATGCTGTGGAGACCTCAGCCAAGGTCCAAGAGTAACCAAGTCCAGAGGAGAAGTGCGAAATGACCTGCTGAGATGCGGTCACTACACCAGCCTCTGCTCCAGTTTTACTTCTCAAAAGTGTGCAATGCAGCCATAGCAATTCATCCTGTGTGTTGCGTTAACCTAGTCTGTTAACCTAGTCTGTCATCAGATCAGGGATCCCTTTGCCTCTCTGTTTTTCCTCCTAGACTCCCACTCCCTCAGGAAGCCCTCTCCGTGGGCCTCTGGCTTATCCTGGAACGTTTCCCCAACTCACCCCCGCTCCTGCCGCTGGCTCCAGCGTACAGCCGGACATACCAACATACCGTGCGCCCTGCCTCGTTGTTGTGAAGATTCATGAGGAAGCGCAGGTCTCGTCCCTTCTCCCCAGAGTCCACGAATTCTCGGCCAAAGAGGCGGCCGAAATCGATGTTGTCGCTGCAACCTCCCCAGTGCCAGTCGGGGCCCCCAGGGCCACGCCGCCGGTAGTCACAGGTGCAAGACTCAATGGAACCTTCCGAGCAGGAGCGCGCCACCGAATGTGTGACCCCAGCGGAGGTGATCGCGAAGATAAATGCTGTTTCCCGGCAGCCTGTGGGTGAAAGGACCCCGCACCAGTTGAGAGAACACGTAGGGCCGGGTCAGCACCCTCTTTGGAAGGCTTGGTACCCTTCAATCCAACACCAGGACTCGACAGGCCTCGACAGGCCGGAGTGCTGAAAAGCTGGTCCCCAGGTCTCCCAGAGAAAGCAGGTGCGCATGAGTGAATGCATGTATGCACTCCTCACCGTGCTTTTCTGAGACTCCATTCTAGAACATAAGTGGGACAGCTCCAAAGAGAATGTCCCAAGTAGATCAAGTAACTCTGTTTAGCCAAGATCTCCATCAAATCAAACACTCAGTCGGTGCCAGCTTTGCTGAGTGAGGAGCACAACCCCGGCCCTCTGCGAGCAGGTTCCCAAGGCACCTTTGAGGGACACTGGGGAAGGACAACTGTCGCCCAGCGCCCATTCTCCAGAATTCCCTTTCTGTGGGTCAGTGGCTCAGAAAAGTTAAAGATCACGCTCAAAATGCATGACGGGAAAGAACCTGGGGCCGAAGTCTGACCTATGTTAGCACAGGGCATCAGGCCATGCGCAGGTTGATCACGGAACCCTGTGACATCTGAGACATCTTCCCTGCTTTCGCCCGCCCATGCCCTGGAGCTGACCCTGCTTTTCCCCTAATCCCGGAAGCGTGGCTTTCCTGGGCACCTACCTCGGTTGACGATCTTGCCGAAGAGGTGGGGCCCGGGAGCCGTAGGGCAGTTCCAGCGGCGGTTTCGGAATTGCCACTTGCACTCCCGAACTGCGCTCTGCAGCCCTCCACTCACACTGTGCAGGATCCCCGGATTCTGTCGGATCAGTCGCCGCTGCTTGCGGCTCAGTAGCTGCAGGCTGGGCTCTAGCACCAACTGGAGACTCTTGGAATCCGTTAGCAGGTTTGTGGAGGAGGCTATGTTCACGATGCCCCTGGAGGGACGCATAAGGGCTCAGTCTGGGGAAGGGGGCCTGCATGTTAACCTTGCGGGTTGTACCAACCCCGTCCTGGCCTGGACCTCTGTGCCTAGAGAGATCAGCAGAGGATCAATAATAGCTCCCCAGCCCTTGAGTTTGGTAGGACTTAGCCCCAGGAGCCCTAGGTTTAGTGAGTGGACAGAGAAGGCACTGTGAGTCCATGCATGGCTTTCTTAGCTCTTCATCTTCCCTCAAGACAGCCCTGGAAAGGGATCCCAGCCTGCAGCTTTGCCTACCTTGAGGTGTTTAGGAATCCCACCTTTTTCTCACCCCCTTTCCAAGCTAATAACCTGCTCTTTGGCTCAAGACCCTAGGGATACTTGAGTACCCACCACAGGGAGGCTGGACCTGGAGCTCAGTGGGGAAGGGCTCTATTAGATGGTGGGCTCTGAGCCTGGTGTACCTGGGCTTCCGCCTGAAAATGATTCTCCCCACTTCAGCCTAGCTGGTCTTTAGGTTAGCTTTAGGTGAGAGCACCCTGGATGTGGTGAAGTCATAGTGCAGGAGGGAGTCTGCGGGTTGGTGATGCCCACGGCGTGGGAGCTGGGTAGGGCCGATTCCTGGCTCTGTGCCCCAGGACAAGTGGGCGACCCCGTACTAGCTCACTTACCACCATCGGCCACTGCTGTTGGCGGCCAGGGCTGCTGGCAGGGCGGTCAGTGCCAGTAGCAACGTAGCGGAAACCCAGCTGGGCAGCAGCACCCAGAGCCCCATGGCCTGCCTGGCCTTGCCGGTTCTGTGCTGCAGTTCTTTCTGGCGGTTTTGGTTGCTGCCCGTGACGGTGAGACTGGACGCAGCGGTGAGGGCAGTGGTGAGAGTTCGCAGGCTGGCTCTAGTAACTCAGGAGGCGGGCCACAGGCAGCATGGTTTGCTGTCCTGGCTGTTGGGCTGAAGCAGCCACTGCGGGAGGCACCGCCTCTTATAGTTGCGGCTCTGACTGCAAGGGTGAGAAGAGACTGCCCCTCCAGGCCGCACTATGGCACCAGGACGCACCGGTCAGGGCCACAGACAATGAGTAGCTAGCGAGCAGGGCTGTGGCTCTAGACGGTCTGAGCAAAAAGCTGACAGGCTAGCCATCGGGGCTCACCCCCGCCCCCTGCCTGGTGGCCCCCGCCTCCAGGTCTGCACTGGCCGCCGACCCCTCCCCTTGGGATGGCCTCCCACGCGCGCCGGCTTCACTCTTCGCGTCCAGAGTCCGTCGTCGGGGACCAGCATCCGCCAGGGGGCGCGGAGACGAAGTGCTTAGGGACAACCTGTCTGCAGCCTGGATTGCCTCCCCACGCGCAGCGCGGTGGGGCTGTCCCCTCGATGTCACCCTGTCCTCCCCCCCCCCCGCTGTGGTCCCTTTTCTTCCTTGTTCTGAATGGCGGGATGAAATCTGTGGTTCTGGGCAGCGACTCTGCGGAGTTGCTTCCTCGCCCAGGAACCCCGACGGCGGCGGGGGACAGAGAAGGAAAAGAGAGAGACAGAGCATGGGTGGAGCTGTGGTCAGGGATTCCCGGGCGTGGGGTGTAAGGGGTAGGCTGACCACACCGAGCTGGTGGTAGAGAGAAACTCATAACCATGCAGCAGTGTGCATTATGTGGGTTAGGAGCATGCAAGCATCTGTGTGTCACAACGTATCTGTGTGTCACAACGTGAGGACAAGTGGAAATAGACATCTGTCCTGAAGGAGCGCGCTCCTGTGGATTTGTGTATCCAGAAACTTCTAAACAAGGACGTTTTGAGCCCTTTCCAAATGATTCTGTAATTTGGCTCAGGACAGGGAGATCATGAAGTCATTTTGCTACAGTCACCGTTTAAAGCAGCGATCAGGAAGGAGGTGGGAGCTGTGACAAAAGAGGCTCAGAAGCCTGACTCAAGAATGGAGTGTCTGGGATTGTGTTTGCAGGTGGGTGGGTGAGTGTGTGAGTGTGTGTGTGGGAGATTAACTATGTGCATGTGTGTGTCATCCTGTCGTTCTGGACACCTTGTGTCATCCTATGGTGTGTCACTCTATGCATGTGTCAACCTGTGCATGTCACTAGCGGAGGGAGTCATGAAGATGAGCCAGGCCCGTTTCTCCAGCAACTAGGCTCAGAAAGGATGGGACTGAGGGGCAATTGTCAAGAAACGATGAGGGCTGGGAAGAGGAACGCTTGGGAACCTGCAGCCGCATGCTTGTTTTGCTTTTGTTGTCTCTGCTGGTTTTGTGACAGGATCTTGCTGTGTAACTCTACCTGACATAGAATTTTAATATGTAGAACCATGATGGTGACCTGACTGCTGGGATCACAGGCCTGTACCACCATATCTGCCCACATGGTGGCTCACAGTCACCTTTAACTCCAGTCAGGTGCTGTCTGAACCCCACTGGCACCAATCACACACAGGTGCACGTACATACATGCAGGCAAAACACTCACACGTACATAAAACAAATCTTTTATTTAGAAATAATCATTTTACAGATCAATCCCCCTTCCCTCTCTCTCCCATCCTCCTATGCCCCTTACTAACCCCCCAAACAAGCCCCCACCTGCTCCCCAAGGATGGTGAGGCCTTCCATGGGGGATCATCAAAGTCTGACACCAACTCTTTTTTTTAAAGATCGACAGTAGCCAGGCAGTGGGGGCACACTCCTTTGATCCCAGCACTTGGGAGGCAGAAGCAGGTGGATCTCCATGAGTTCCAGGCCAGCCTGGTCTACAGAGCAAGTTCCAGGACAGCCAGAGCTGTTACACAGAGGAACCCTGTCTCAAAAAAAAAAGGGGGGGGGTTAACAAACCTGTGCTTCCTATGTGTTTTCTGCTTTTCATTGGATTTTCTTCCAAATTTCTGCAGTCCCCCAAACCCTGTTGTTTCCCCACTCTCACCCCAGTGCCTTGTAACTCTTCCAGTGCACACTTTCCAGAGACTCCAATTATCTTCAGGGACACACAGTAATCTAGGATTTCCAGGCTGCTGTTCCCTATGTGGGACATAGGGGGCGCTGCTAGCTTGACTACCATGCCCCATTACCACACAGAGAAACCCCCACCTCACCCCAGGAGGTTCTAATAGTCTTCCTCTCTTCCATTTTACAGAGTAAGCAATTGATGAAGCAGTGGTCCCAGCCAATAAATGAATCAATGTTAAAGCTATATCCTCAGGGACTGGAGTAGAGTGTTTGCCTAGCATGGGTTAGATTCCCAGGACTGTAAAAACCAGGAATGGTAACACATGACTGCAAACCCAGCACTCAGGAGGCAGGAGGAGCAGAAGTTCGAGGTTATCTTCCTCCACCTGGCATACAGGAGACATTCTCAAAGCACAAAAGCAGGACCGGGCACAGAGGCATACACCTTTAACCCCAGCAGTTGAGAGACAGAGGCAGGCTGAGCTGAGTGTCTACACAGTGGGTTCTAGGATAGTCGGGGCTTCACAAAGAAATCCTGTCTCAAAAAACTGAGAGAGAGAGAGAGAGAGAGAGAGAGAGAGAGAGAGAGAGAGAGAGAGAGAGAGAGAGAGAGAGAGTTTGCTGCTCTTCCAGAGGACCTGAGTTTGTTTCCCAGCACCCAGGCCTGTAACTTTAGCTCCAGCTTCATGTGTACGCGCACACTCTAAATGAATAAATGGAAACAGTTCAATGAACCAACAAACAAAATCAGACCCTCCAGGCATGGTGGAACATGCCTGATCCCAGCACCTGGAAGTCTGATATAAGAAGATGGCTCCAAATTTGAGACAGCCCTGAGATAGGTAGCAAGATCCCACCTCAAACAACAAGTTAATAATTAGTGGAAAATATAGTAAATAAATATCTACATGGTGGTACATGCCTGTCAATTCCAGAACTTGGAAGGCTGAGGCAGGAGGATTAAGAAGTCTTGGAGAGGCTAGGAGCAGTGGTTCATGCCTTAATCACTTGCAAGTTAGAGGCAGGTGGGTCATCTCTGTGAGTCTGAGGCCAGCCTGGTCTACAAAGTGAGTTCCTGAACAGCCACCCTGGAGTATATAGTAAAATTCTATCTCAAAAATCAAAAGCAAACCAAGTGGTTATTTCTTTTTCTTTTGGTTTTATGGGGAAAGGAGAGGGTCTTGGGGGGGGTGAGGCAGGGTTTCTCTGTGGATTTGGAGGTTGTCCTGGAATTAGCTCTTGTAAACCAGGCTGGTCTCAAACTCACATAGATAGAAAGGGTCTTTTTTGTTTAAATTTTAAAAAATGTGTATGAGTATTTTGCCTGCAAATTGTGTATGTACTGTGTGTGTGCAGTGCCCTCAGTGGCCAGAAGAGGGCTTCAGATTCCCTGGAACTGAAGTTACAGATGGTGGTGAGCCACTATGGGGTTGCTGGGAATCAAACCCCTGTCCTCTGCAAGTACTCTTACATACTGAGCCATCTTTCTAGCCTCTTTTGTTTTGTTGTTTGTTTATTTGTTGAGATAAGGTCTTTATGTAGCCTAGGCTGGCCTCATATTCAAGAAGTAGTCTAAGCTGTCCTGAATTTCTGCTTTCCCTGCCTCCACCTCTTGAGTGGAGATTAGAGGCTGCACCAGGCCTGAAAGCCCAGAGTATTTGAACTCAAAACCTATATAGGCTTTTTCTATCTATCGGTGGCCCAGTGGTTTGCCAATCTGCAGCAGAGCAGGCTGGGGGCCCTTTTTAGGATTGACACAGAAAGAAAATGATTTTTAGATCTTGCCTGGTACCCTTTTAAGTGTTTCCAGCTCTTCTGTTGGTATGATGTCTGTCTAGATCACTCAGGTCTGATCCCAAAGAGCTGGACTCCCAGAATTGATCATGCTTTCCCACTGATCACTGTAAGGAAGAAATGGCTGATACATTTAGTTACTGTTTAATTTTTTTGTTTTTGTTTTTACGAGACAGGGTTTCTCTGTATTGTTTTGGGGGCTGTCGGTCCAGCCTGGCCTCGAACTTACAGAGATCCGCCTGCCTCTGCCTCCCGAGTGCTGGGATTAAAGTCGTGCACCACCAACACCCGGCACTGTTTATGTCCTTTCCAGGGCTCACCTTTGCCTAGTTCACTTTCTCCCTCCAAAGATTCATTCCTAAGGGATAATTTGGAATGGTCCAGAATTCTTTGCAGGCCTAAAAGCCAGGAGTTTTGGCAAATAGTTCCCCACAAAAATGGCTCAAGGGAATGAACAACATACATGGGTAACCTGACTTTGTCCCCAAGAAATTTCTCACCACTGGGGTCTGGATCACATACATCTTTTTGTTTTCTTTTGGTTTTTCAGGACAGGGTTTCAATGTGTAGCCCTGGCTGTTATGCAACTCACTCTGTAGATCAGGCTGGCCTTGAACTCAGAGATCTGCATGCCTAAGCTTCCTGAGTGCTGGGATTAAAGGGGGTGTGACACCAGAGCCTGGTGTCATATACCTTTTTAAATCTGAATATTGGTATAACCCTATAGGGGTGGAAAACAGGGAACTGTTATCATCGATGACCACTGGTGCCAAAATGGGAAGAAGAAAGAAAGAATTGACTTTACAAAACTGTCCTTAATCTCCAGATGTTCACCATGGTGCACACCCAGCACCCCTTACACTAATAATAAATAAAAATTAAAAATAAGATGAAAAAATACAAATAAAAAGGCAGAAATCAGTAGAGGAAGACATCTCATCTTGACCTTTGGCCTCTGCATGTGCACATATATGTATTTGTACAACACACACACACACACACACACACACACACAGAGATGACTTACCTAGCATATTTGAAGTCCTAAGCTGGACAATGAGTATGGTAAAATAAAGAAAAGATAAAGCCAGATATGCTACCACACACC